CATTCGCCCATTTGCGTTGGATCTGCTTGACAATATCTCTGCTGCATTGCAACAGCTGTACCATGGATCTGTCACTGAGCCTCCTTTTGACGACCAAGCCACCTGCATTTGCATTCCTACAAGTGGATGCCTTCAAATCTTTCAAGTCTTGCTACGAGAATTACGATTCCGCGGTGCAAGACTTGACAGATACTTGTGGTTCCATCCACCATGAACTCGTACTGGGTTGCATCCGCACCCACTTTTCATTAGTTGCTCCATCGATGTTGGTGAATCTGGATCAAGATGCGCCCCTATCGACTTTATCGTCGGAGATGGCAGATCACCATCGCCGTCTTTCGCAAGAAGAAGAAGAAGATTCGCCCCCGACAACGAGCAGTCATGAGAAGGATGATTTGCAGACTGATGATGATGATTATGATGAAAACAATAATTCCACCATCACTAGAGGCAAGTCGTCGGAATACGAGTTTTACAAAATGGGAGAACCGACTCGTAAGTTTGTCAAGAAGTTGCCTCTTTCTTATAGACTCCATGGTCATGCAGAAGTTTTTGTCTAGACGGTGTCCGAGGATCTCGTCAAGTTGTGTAGCTGTCTTTGGACCTTGGGGTATGCCATTGCTGAGAGCATTGTCTACAACGACATCAAATACGAAATCACAAAACAGTTTTTAAAAATTGAAAACAAAACCAATGAAACCAGTAGTGTACAAAAAGGCACAAAATAATCGTAGCATGATACAAAAAGGATGAAAAGAAATAAAAAGAAAGGGCTTTTTTAAAATAATGCGAATCGAAACCACCAAACTCATGGCACTGTCACTAATATTCAATGGTGACAAGCACTGTATCCTATTTCTCTCAGCATCTCCTGCTACCATTTTGGTAGCTGGATCGATCCTCTACATTAGACATCGTTGTCAGATTGACGCATGCAAACAGATGCAATATAGTGTGATCTATGGATCATTCAAAAAACAGTTTGTTGTTTTACTATTAGAAATAATATTTCGGCTTGATGTAGCCACGCCCAGCCAAGACATCACTGTACAATATTACAGAGTGCAGTTTAGTACGATATATATAATCCAATGCATGCCACAGTGTCTAAGACTCGACAGTCTCCATGACCACATCCACATCGGCCAAACTGACACGAGCTGGATGTGGCTGAATGAGAGGATTTCCAATGGTAGGAGTCAATCCTGGCACCATGGAAAGAAGAGACGACTTGTTGACAAGAGCACGAAGAGGAGCCACTTCATTGGGCTTGACGTCGTTACGACGGTAATCCTTGGTTCCATCAGTCCTCAAAATGCAAATATCACAGTTGGAACCGGATCCCAAGTCATTGAAGATACCCGCTCCAATGGCTCGCTTGACCAGCTGGACGGCTTCTTCTTCGGACATGTCTTCCTTCCAGTCGGATTCAAAGATGGACATGGCCGCAAGAGAACCAGATCCCATGGTAGAGTAGTTCAATTTGGCAGTAGAACCATGGGGAGCAATGTTATAGACGGCAGGTCCATTGATATTGTCCACTCCGCCAAGAACCAAAGCGGCGGAAATGTGTCCCTGGTAGCCAAAGAGTCTTCTCTTGAGAAGAGTACAAGCAGTAATGACACGAGATTGAGAGTGAGTATTCATTCGAAGCAGCTCCAATTGAGAGGCCATCATTTGAGTGATCATTTCCGTGTCAGCTGCGGTTCCGGCACCGCAACAATAAATGTTGGGAGCCAAGTAATGAATCTTCTCACAGTTCTTTTCGGCTACTTCAGTGTCGGAAGTGGCGCGAGTATCGGCACCCAAGACGACGCCTCCCTTGTAGACCATGCCACAAATGGTGGTTCCAGTCTTCTTGGTTAATTTGGGCAAATATTCGGCGCCCTTGCTGGCCATGATCATGGGATTGCGGGTGGCATTTTCAAAGGAAAATCCACCGGAGGTTTCCGTGGCGTAATCCACTGGAAGGGAGTTCATTACCATTTCACTCATATTGGATATTGATCGTCTATTAATATATATTGATAGAGAAATATGAATGCAAATTGCTGTAGTTGGCTTTTTGAATCGATTGCAGGACAATTTTGAAATTGGAGTTTGCAACAACAACAACAACAACACTCTTTCCACTTCCCTACAAAAAGTTGATTGGGCACATGGCGACCGACGAACCACAAGGATCTCATCCGAAGTGATCTGTCGGACAACCCGAACAATATTGTTCGTATATTCGATCGATGAGTCGAAGATGTCCGTGAAATGTCTGACTACTTTGAGTCAGTCAGTCATTCTGCTGACGGTTAGGCGTCCGCCGGGTACACGTACATACCGGTACCATGTCATTGTCCAAAATTTCCGAAAACTCGATCGAATGCTAATGCTCTTCATCGAAACACATTATTATACTTACAGTATTGTAAGAGACTTCCGCTACCGTAGCGTATTATTGAGAAGAATCTTGAGGAACCGTTTCCTTCACCATTACAAAACAAGCCTCAGCTTGGAAAGTTTGTCAACTAGCAAGCAAGCAAGCAAGCAGCCAACACTCGCTTGTCCTTCGTTGCTCGACCACAAAAGACTGACTTGACAACAATGACGACGACGATTCCACTCCTGACTCCCCGACAAGTCATTTTTCATAGCGCTGATTTGTTATTGGCCAAAAAGGCATTGCCGGATGACAATGTCATTCGAAATGCTGCTGGCAAGCCCATGGTTCAAATTCAAGGACAGGTCGCCCTTTGGGATCCCGAATTGCAACGGCTCGATATGGTCCATCAAGGTGCGAAATTGATTGTGAGAACAACGCAGTCTTGCGACGTTACATGTTTGGAAGTAGGAAAGACAGTCGTGGTGGAAGGAGTGCTCAAGAAAGAGCAACGGCGGACCTTTTTGGAGGCAACTAAAGTACAGATAATGGATTGAAGGCATGCATGCATCAAGGGATGAGACTAAATCAAGGGGAAACTGCATGAAGAATGGTGCCATATTTGCTTTTAAAATGCGATGTTGAAAGATTGCACACGAAACAACAGGTTCTAGCTGACACACACCTGACGCGCTCACGTACTCACGTACCTCCCATGTCCAATGGAGACGAAACATAATCAGGTTTAAACAAAACAGGGCAACTAAGACATGGAGCGAAACACATTGTTGCAACGCGGTTATCAGGACCTGAAACCACACAAGCCAGGGGTCGAGGAGGAGAAGCATCCAATTGTTGTCATCATAGCTACCAGGCAATCGCAGTAATTTGCCCATCAGACTCTCACAAAAGTCTGTGAAGTAACGAATGAATGCTTCGTCAGATAGCGCAACAATAAAAAGGGTAGCGGCATACCACTATTGATAATTCATTGTTCTGCATTCGTACTGCAGAATGTGTTGAACTCCAATTCTCGTGGTTGTTGTGGTTGTTATGATTACTAAGACATCTCATATTTTATTTAAATCTACAGTGGTGGTGGTGCATTCAGTCATGCGGTCCTAGTATAAAACTAGACTGAAGATGCAATGGGCAGAGGCCTTTTACAGTCGTCGCCTGAATGCATCAACATAAACGCCGGAAAAGCTGAAATCGCAATACCTGTATGCATTCTTTCGATTTTGAGACGATTGTAAAAAATTCTGAGAAGTTTGATGGAAGTTCGCCGTTTGAAAGTAGTAAAATGTCCGTACTCCTTTTTTATATATGTTCTTTGTCTGAGCAGAATATTTTGTAATAGCTCGGAAACACCGAACAATGATCATGTAGGGTTTACTAGTCAATGCTGGCATGTGTGCGCAGTCCAGTCGCGACCAAAACTGACACCTCATCGGCTTTCATAATACAAAATATGCGTCATTTCGTGGAGGTAATTATGACATGCTTTAGAAAGGGCATACTGTACCAGTACATCTTTTGGGCCTGCGATTCGTACCACATCCTGATGATCACCACCAAAATCGACGTAAGTGGTAAACCAACGAGGAGATTAAAAACGAGATCTGCGTGTCTGCGTGGCTTTTTGCGAAAGCAGGATTATTTGGTGTAGACTTTTCAAAAATGCTGAACATGTCCCAACAAAACAACACTCCTGTTTCCTGCGGATCTTCACTTATGACCATCGCTCAAGACAAACATCACTCATCTGAGACAGCAGCAGATGATTGTTTGTTGCACCTTCTCTCTATGCCCTTGATAGTTGGTCCTGATCATCATGTTGTTCTTGTATCGTCCCCCCCCATGTTGGAACCGCCAGAAGCGCCTCCGCTATTTTCCACTTGTGACGATGACCTCTTTCACTACACCAACAACACGACGATCCCAGAGATCTCTGTCGAAAGTTCGTCCAACGACTCAATCATGGAGGCATCCTCGTCATTCCATGTACTAGTACGACCATCATCAGAAGAACAACAGCCCCCTCATGATGATTTCGAGCCAACGCCCATCCACCCAAGACTGTCAAACGTGCATAATAGTGCAAAGCCTATGATCCTCCCATTCCCATCACTGACTGGCGCTGTACCACTAACCGATTTTGCACTTGACCGATTCATTGCACAAGAACTCAAGAATGAAGCCGCCCACACCAAGCAGCAGCAGGATGCACCTGTAATCGTCATCTCCGGCTCCAAGCGTGCCATGACGCCAACCGAAGAATCACCACCCATTACTCTGCGTCCCGCCAAGCGGTCACGTATTCGTCAGGTATCCAACAACGACACCAGTGATGATGAGGAAGCAAGGGTTCCTCGCTTTCGAAGCCACCAAGAAAAGCAGTGGAAAGACCTCTTTGATCAGCTCTTGGAGTTCAAAAAGGAGAAGGGACACTGTCTCGTTCCCCATACCTTTGACGAAAACCCACCGCTCGCACGATGGGTCAAGCGCCAACGATACCAGTACAAGTTGAAGCAAGAGAAGATGGTTTCCACTCTCACAGACGATCGAATTTCCCAGTTGGAAAGCGTCGGCTTTGTGTGGGATTCTCACGCCGTCGCGTGGGGAGAGCATCGGCTGGACCTGGTGCAATTCAAAGCCGATTTTGGCCATTGCAATGTTCCTTCTGCTTACGAGAAGAACCCATCTTTGTCCACATGGGTGAAGCGCCAAAGACGACAGAATAAACTATTTTGGAGTGGCTCAAAGAGCACCATGACGATGGAACGATTCAATGCCCTAAACAAGCTCGGATTCAGCTGGGAGATCAAGACTAGGAAGAACAAGATCCAAGGAGCCAGACAACAACACGTATGCACAACGGTACTCCTGCTACCTACAAGCTGAGGTTTTCGAAACTACTGTTCGAATTGCTTGGAAACCCTTCACCACAAGTATTCGCGCCAAAATTTTGCATTTTAACTTTTTATACTTCTTTTTGTTTTCTATCCTTTACACTTTGTTTCGATAGCTGTTTTTCTTTGCTCTTTCCCTCTTGACAGTCTTCACCACCTGGAGAGGATAACGAATCGTTCCCCATTCCAACAGTATGATATAGTCCGATTCGTGAGATCAGATAGTACTACTAGTACTAGCTTAGCTACTAGTAGTAGTAGTAGCTAAGCTCAACAATAGTACTTCCCCCCGCAGATATTGCATATGTACAATATCAAATTTTGTTACATTGCGATGCGAAAAAATATTCTAACGCTATGTCTAGAAAGGTGTTTGCCTTATTGCCAGCAAAAGGATGCTCCAGCGATGGTTCTTTGTTTTTCGCGTCATCACGCACGCTGCTTCACAACTCACTAACTACCATCATGCCCGGTACGGTAGTGAGCACCCAAATGACCAATATTAGCGCACTGTGCCTATAATAATAAATACTTACTGTTGCGTTGCGCAAAAACAAGATTCTTGTACAGTGGTACCTATTTCTGTTGCTGATGTGTTTTCCATATACATGGCCAACAGAAAGGACATCATCAGGGTCGTTCTCGGTGTCACCCCCAGTGTCGTATGTAAAAATGTACTGAACAAGAAAAATAAATCTACCCGCCAAATAACCCGCACCCGACAACGATGAGAAATCATACAGCAAAATTTATAGGCGCGGTAAAATTATAGAAAGTGTTTTCAAACACACACGGTTCAAATTCAAGGACAGCTATAGGTCGCCCCGGTAGGATCCAGAACTGCAACGGCACGATATGGTTCATCAATATAAGGTGCCAAACTGATTGTGCGAATAACGGAATTTTGCGACATTGCATATGTATGGAAGTAGGAAAGACAACCGTGGTGGAAGGAGGAGTGCTCATATGTATATATAAGAAATAGCAACGGCGAACTTTTTTGGAGGCAACTAAAGTACTGTACAGATAACGCATTGAAGGAATGTACCGGTATGAATGACTCAATCGCCATATTTTTCAAGTGCAATGATGGTGCCATATTTGCTTTTGAAAAAGACGTTGAAAGATTGCAGAAGAATTCATCTCAATTGAAAGAAGTCATGAAAGGATCTCAGTGTGTAACATGTTCTAGCTACAATGTTATTTGTTAGTTGCTCAATTGACAAGTGCTAGACGGCCTAGCAGTCACGTACACGCGAAGTTGGAACCATAAAGGAAGAGAGACGCACAAACAGGACTCGAGTATCTCCGATGGAGTGACGATACGGAATGATGATGCAGCTAGGTCGTGTTGGAAAGTCGTCCCATGCAGCGAAAGAGATGGTTCGGAAATCCTTCAACGTAAATAATCGTGAGGCATGAATATCGACTCATCGAGATGTTGTTGCATGTATATATATATAAATATATACACATATTCCGGTAGATGAATGTGTATGTGTCGACTAACTCAAGAGGTGCTGCAGGTCCACCTATTTGAAATCATTTATCTCACGCTTAAAACCTGTTTCCAAACTCGTATTTCTTCCTGCTTTGCAGAATGAGATCCTTTCTACCGCTTCTTGCGACGCTGCGCTCTGCAACTTTTTCATCTGGCAATAATAAGAAGAACCACCAAGCAAGGCAAATAAGATGGATCCGCATGGATTATGTAGCAAGACGCAAGCACATCTTCGAGATGGATTTGAGCACGACGTTCGCCGGCCACAAGATTATGATTGATACCTGGAAAGAATTTGTTAAGGTCGATTTCGTCCATTTTTCCAGTCAAGCCTTATTTGGCAACACTGTTGGAATGTTCTTGGGAGACTTCAACGTTGGAAAGAACCTATTGCCATATTGAAAAAAACTCGGTAACGAGTCGCAAGTCCTACCGTGCAATACGATGGCATGCTGTTCCATGACATTTCACTGAACGGCGCTTGCTTCCCGAGGATCCTCAAGGACAACGACGAAAACTCTTGGAAGGTAGAACAAACCGAAGAAGCTTGTGCTCACTCGTAGGACCCCTTATTGAATGTCAGCTAACGATTGCGTCTTGGTTTGATACATACCGGTACCTGCGGATCTGAGAGCTTACAACAATTATTGATCGTGTCGATTCAACTATTATCGTCTTGGCTTTATTTTGTATTGTCCCATGGTGTACCGTATTATATTATCTCACAAGTCACAAGCGTCTCAAATCGAATCCTCAGCGGCACGTGCCGGGACATTTAAGGGCAAATTTAAATTTAAACCATCAAATCACGAATGGTGTTTGTTGTTATGTGTCCTTTCTTGAGTTCGATTTAGGGCTCAGACTGAACACATGCGCCCTTTCCAATGACCCATAATTGTCGGAATCACGAGTGTTCTTCAGAGGTTGTCGAGCGTGTGGCCAACTTTGAAAAATATCATGTGTATTCGAGGAGTCTCGAACAAATAATCTTTTGTCTTCTCATGTGTTATCAATTCAAATAGCACCACATGCCAGTTCGTTAAATGTAGTACTTTTCTGGATTCAAATGCACGTGTAACTTTCCGCCTCCAATCTTGACAAAACTCAAAAGATTCGGTTTACAATTTCAAAAATCTTTTTTTTGCAAAGGTCTTGAATGCAATCAATCAAGTGAGTTAGCTTGTTTCATGGACATTGACTTTAGATGTTGTTGCGTGGATTTACACTTATGCGACAACGTGTTTGTTGTTATTGTCATCAATTATCAATCATCAATCATCAATTACCAATTACCAATTATGAATTACCAATATCTCACAAATGATTCATTTTGGTATCCAAACTTCTCCTTCGTACCCTCTCCTTCCATACCTGGTACTTTGGCAGGATGAGGTCCTTTCTTACAAATCTCGTCGCGCTCTTCTTGGGCGCTGCGCTCTTCAAGTACTATGGCACCAGCAAATCTCCTGCCGTCGACCCTGTGCCAACCCCATCCGTGATGGAAGCCTCTGTCTTGGCACCCGTCCAACCACCGAAACCAAGCCCAGCTGATGCGCAACTCAAAGCCGTCATCCAAGACGCTGGAATGATCAAAGTTACTGTCCTTGACTCAATTTCTTACAATGCTACAGGTGGAGTCACCTCTCTTGCAGAATCAGATGGGCGCAGGCTTCAGTGTGCCGAATCTGTTACATTGACCAAGAACTGCTACGCGCCTGGAGAAGCAATTGGTGCTGATTTCGTCATTTGTGGCGATGTTGCTGGAGAGTGGGGTGGTATTCATTCTCCTGGCGACCAGGGTTTTCAAGCAGCGCTCAAGTGGCAGTTTCTTACCGGTCCAGGACGATACTTTTTCACAAGTTCCAATCAAGGTTCAGTTCCAGTGGGCACCAATTTGGCCCAAGCTACAGGCTACCGAATCTTTTACCATACCACTGAAGGAGGTTCAATTGGATCAGCAGAATTCGCTGTCCAATCGAGCTGTGCCTCTTCTTGCACCAATTCGATTTCAATCCAACAACCGTGCTATAACCCTGGTGTTCAACAAGTGATCATCCAAATTCCGGCCGCCGAACCTGGAGATCTGATTGAACTGTTTGACGACAATTCCGGTTTCAGGATGGCTTCATTTGCACCCCAAACTGGAGCGACAGCTCTTGGATTCGGCCCGATTGATTGGCCCCGTGGAACTTACAAATTCGTATACGAGAAGGCAAATTGTGACCCAACTGAGGCAGTTTTTACCGTGCAAGACATTTGCCCATCAGGAGTAGGAGTGCCACCAACACCACCGCCAAACCCTCTTCCAACCCCGCCGCCAGCACCACTTCCAACACCACCACCGGTCACATCATGCACCCATTCGATTTCCGTTGATCAGACCTGTTGGGGTCTGGGTCAGACCATCACTGCGACTATCCAAACTTGCGGTAATGCTGTGGAGTGGGCAGGTATTTGGAATGCCGGGACCCCGGATTTCCGCGCTTCTCTCAACTGGCAGTACCTCTGTGGTAATCAGCACTGCGCTTCTAGGGTGAATTCTGGGGCCTACCGAATTTCCTTCAATTCTGCAACTGCTGGATCCATCAATTGGCCTCTGCCTGCTGGAAGGACCTACGAATTCTATTTCCACTCTCAAGCTGGATCGTTGAAATCACAAACATTCCAAGTTACATCTGGAACATCCTGTAACTTTTCACCAACAGCATCCTCTCCTCCACCGCCAACTTCACCGTTTTCGCCAACTACCAGCGCCCCTGCGGTTACAAGTGGTGGCGGAGGATCGGCATCCAGTGCCCCTGCTGCTACAAGTGGTGGAACAGGATCGGCATCCATTGCCCCTGCCAGTGCTCCTATTGGAATTCAATATGTTCCAGCCAGTGCAGCCGATTGCGACGCAATTCGTAGTGGAAACATTGTCATTGGACAAAGCGCCATGACAAGCCAGACCTTCTACGTTGTCTTCTCCCTTGGAGTCTATGGTCCAGCACTCGGGGCCGAAAGAGTGGCTGATCTCGTGAAAAATGCATTCCAGAATTTGATTGGAACTAGCCTTGTGAATTGTTCGCACAGACGAAAGCTCATGCAGTATGTCCAGAGACATCACCAGAACAATAGACGTCATCACAAGCACAGACACCATCACCACAAACACAGAATGCTGGAGCAGTCACTTCCAGATGGTCGACGAAGACTGACCTTGGAGGCGAATGTCATTGGAAATGTTCTTTTCACCATCGACTGTATTACCTCTGATTGCCAACCTGGCATGGCAGGATGTTTCGAGTGCACAGCAACTATCGATGTGTTCATGAAGGGACCAGCACTCGTCGTCGACATTGCAGAGGCGCTAACCGGTCACCTCAACGACCCCAACTTGATTGCCGATGCTGCTTTGGATAGCTTCGTGGAGGACGGAACGGTGGCAGAGGTGGCATATATCCGAAGTGGAGATGTCACATACATCACTGAAAACCCAACATCTGGGCCTACAGCTGGGCCAACCTCTGGACCAACATCCGCACCTTCTCCTGCTCCAACATCCGCACCTACCTCTGGACCAACAGCCGCTACCCCAGTGCCAACATCCGCACCTACCTCTGGTCCAACATCCGGACCCACCTCTGGACCAACAGCCGCTACCCCCGTGCCAACGTCCGGGCCTACCTCTGGGCCTACCGTCGCTACCCCCGTGCCAACGTCCGGGCCTACCTCTGGGCCTACCGTCGCTACCCCCGTGCCAACGTCCGGGCCTACCTCTGGACCTTCGCTTGCACCTGATGATGAGGGCGACAAGGGTCCAGATGATACAGGTGGTGATCCAAACACACCTGGGGATGCAGGAACGAACGGTGATCCACACTGTAAGTATTTCGAATCGAATTCTATCAATCTTGCTATTTGGTTGGAATTCAATTCTCATTGTTCTCTTTTCTTGCACAAATAACACGTACAGTCAAATCATGGAACGGTGACCATTTCGAGTTCCACGGACAGTGTGACTTGGTTTTGGCCAAGGATGCAAACTTTGCTGATGGACTGGGATTGCATGTTCAGATTCGCACCAAGCTTGTTCGGTATTGGAGTTACATCAAGAGCGCCGCCATCCATATCGGGGATGATATCCTTGAAGTTCAAGGATCGGCTGATACGGAAGATATTGGATCTGCCCACTTCTGGTACAATTTGGAGTACCAAGGCAAGATGGATACCGTTGGTGGATTCCCTGTCAAGGTCCGCATTGATAATGGACCAAGACGCAAACATATCTTCGAAATTGACTTGAGCTCGATGTACCCCGGCCACAAGATTATGATTGATACCATGAAGGAATTTGTTAAGGTCGATTTCGTCCATTCTTCCAATCAAGCCTTTGGCAACACTGTCGGTATGTTGGGAGACTTCAAGTCTGGAAAGAAGCTTGCTCGTGACCAAACTACGGTGATTGCCGACTTTAACGAACTTGGTAACGAGTGGCAAGTCCTCCCATCAGATGACATGCTGTTCCATGACGTCTCTTATCCTCAGTTCCCTGAACGGTGCTTGCTTCCTGAAGATCCTCAAGGAAAGCGCCGCCAACTTATGGAAGGTTCGATCAGCGAAGAACAAGCCGAAAAAGCATGTGCTCAGTTGAAGGACCCCTTGTCTATCAAGGATTGTGTGTATGATATCTTGGCGACTCAAGACATGGACATGGTAGGAGCCTACTAAATACATCTAGACTCCCTGTGACGTCACTCGCCTCTTGACTTCGTCATGTGTCTCTTGATGAGTTATACCTATATATATATATATAGTCTATTTTATTTTCTCTTGAAGAATTGTGTGTTCCTATTGTACTTGAGTATCTATTGCAACGAAGACAGCTGCTATTTGCTTGTTTTAGATGGTTCGTTTGTGTAACACACAAAATTGCTTTGACTCGCGGAATTGTGATGTCTCACCACAAAGTTCTTGCGGTACGATATGCCGACTTGAGACTTGCAAGGACAGACCAGGTCACTGAGATAGAGCCCACCACGAGTTTTAAGACCACACTTCCTGTATTACCGTAGTTTTTCCAACCGACATTGGTTCTATTACAACTGTTGTAGTCTGTATTTTCCAATATATGCACTTCAACACAACACTATTGTAGCACAAACCAACTCCTTTTCCTTGTTCCGTTTCATCAAATTCTGGCATTTGGTGATCAAACTATTTTGTTAATTCTCCAATTGTTTGGCATTTGGAGCAACCCCATCAGACTGTCAATGAATCAATGCATCATCAGATTGCAGTAATAAAAGGGGTGGGTGGTGGAATACCACTATTGATGAAAGGATAATTAATTGTTCTGCATACTGAGGAATGCGATGAACTCCAATTAAACAGTGGTGTTTTCTGTCATTCACAGTCAGTACCGGTAGGGAAGCAAAGATGCAATGTGTAGATAGAGGCCTTATATTTTCGTCGCCTGGCGGATGCATCAACACATATTTCCAAAGTATCCGGTACTCTAGTACGAGTACCTGTAGTTGGAATGAATCGCAATCCTGTATGCATCCTTTTATATTCTACCGGTACGTATCTTTCGATTTTTGAGAGGATTGTTTGGGTGTCAAAAATTCCAAACGCAGTTTCGGTGAAGTTCAAAGTTCGCCGTTTGAAAATGTTACATAATGATATACAATGTCGTTACATAAGTTCTGTTTCAGAGCAGATTTTTTTTAATAGCTCAGAAACGCAGCAATTCACACAAAACAGGATCAACCTCAACTGGACCCCTTATCGATTGATACGATATGCGTCATTTGATGGAGATTATTATATACGACTTGCTCCTTGTTGCTTAATGCTAAATGAAAGGGCATAGATGTTACCAAGTTGATGATGGTGATCATGAACTGAGAACCATTTTTTCGGCAGAATTCGGATTCAAGGCAATCAGAATCGACTTTTAATTGTTGAGTAAACCTAGTAGATAAATTATTACTGGATGGCTTTTCCCGAGTTGCAGAATTTTTTTTCTTCCGGGATTTGGGGTCCCTCTCGTCGTCTCACTTCCTCACATTTCAAAATCCTGAACATGTTCCAACAAACCGACACTGCCATTGGTAGCAGCACTCCTGTTGCCTGCGGATCTTCACCTATGATCCCCTCTAAAGACAAGCATTACTCATCCGAGACAGCAACAGATGATTCCTTGTTGCACCTTCTCTCTGTGCCCTTGATAGTAGTTGATCCTGATCGTGTTGTCTCGTCCTCCGCCACGTCGCAAACGGCACAAGCGCCACCGCCATTTTCCAATTGGGACGATGTCGTCGACCTCTTTTACTACACCAACAACACGATCCCAGAGATCTCTGTTTCAAGTTCCAATGATTCAATCATCGAGGCATCGTCATCACACGTAGTAGGACCATCAGAACAGGAGCTCCTCCTTCATGTTGATTTCGAGCCAACACCCATCCACCCAAGACTGACAAACGTGCACAATAGTACAAAATCCACCCTCCCCTTTCCACCACTGAATGGCGTGGCTACGCCTCTATTTGACTTTCTTGCACTTGACCGCCGATTCATTGCACAAGAACTCAATGAAGCCGGCGGCGTTTCCCCCAACGTACCCGATCAAGTCATCTCTCGACAAGTTTTCATTGGCTCCAAGCGCTCCTTATTGACCCCAACCGAGGAATTACTACCCATTACCATACGTCCGGCCAAGCGGTCACGCATTCGTCAGGTATCCAACAACGACACCAATGATGATGAGACAGCAAGAAGGGTCCCTCACTTTCGAAATCATCAAGAAAAGCAATGGAAAGACCTCTTTGACCAGCTCTTGGAGTTCAAAAAGGAGAAGGGACACTGCCTCGTTCCCCATACCTTTGACGAAAACCCACCGCTCGCACGATGGGTCAAGCGCCAACGATACCAGTACAAGTTGAAGCAAGAGAAGATGGTTTCCACACTCACAGACGATCGAATTTCCCAGTTGGAAAGCGTCGGCTTTGTGTGGGATTCTCACGCCGTGGCGTGGGAGGAGCATCGGCTGGATCTGGTGCAATTCAAAGCCGCTTTTGGTCATTGCAATGTTCCTTCTGCTTACGAGAAGAATCCATCTTTGTCCACATGGGTGAAGCGCCAAAGACGACAGAAAAAACTGTTTTGGAGTGGCTCAAAGAGCACCATGACGATGGAACGATTCAGTGCCCTAAACAAGCTCGGATTCAGCTGGGAGATCAAGACTAAGAAGAACAAGATCCAAGGAGCCAGACAACAACACATACACTCTATGGCAGTACTACCTACAAGCTGAGGTTTTCGAGACTACTGAACAAATTCGAAGCCCTTCACCGCAATTCTCAGCAGCAAAACTTAGCATTTTAACTTTTTAAAACTTCTGTATCCTCTACACTGTTTTAGATACTAGCTGTGCTTCTTTCCTCTTTTCCTCTTGACCCTGGAGAGGATGCTAATCGTTACCCATTCGTACAGCACAGTACGATTCGTGGGAGCAGTTAGGAGTAGCTATGCGTAATAGTACTTCTGCCCCAGAGTTTATAATACCGGCATGCAAAATTAGCACCCTTGTGTATAAAGGTGTTTGCCTTACTGCCAGCAAAGGATGCACGATGTTCTTAGCTTGCTGCCTTTTGGCGTCATGATCATGATGGTGTTGCTGGTTCCCAGCTCAATAGTCAGGGAGCACCCAAACCACCAATATTAGCGCACTGTACCTTATTACTTGTTGCATTGCGGGAAATTTTTTTGTTGTTGGCGATACAGTATTTTGGTTGCTGATGTGGTATCCTGATGGTCAGCAGAGAGGAACCCACACCATCATCATTTTGACAAAAAATGAATAAACTCGCCAAGCCGCCTGCGCATCCGACGAGACTGCCACTATATTCGCTCGCGCGCCAATTCATCATCACGCGGTATAAAATTGACAACACGGCATGCACGGTTCAAATTCTAAAGTCAAGGACAGCTATAGGTCGCCCTGTGGGATGCTTTATTGCAACGGCTCGATATGGGTTATCAAGATGGTTCATCAAGACATCAAGATGCCAACTGATTGTGCGAATGGAAGTAGGAACGACAATCATGGCGGAAGGAGTACTCAAGAAAGAGCAAGGAAAGAGCAACGGCGAACTTTTTTGGAGGCAGTGAAGTATACCGGTAGGTAATGGTTTGAAGGAATAAATATAAATGGATGGCTCACTGAATCGCCATCTTTTTCAAGTGGAAAAAGTGCTTTCGGAATGATGGTGCCATATTTGCTTGAAAGAAAGACGTTGAAAGAAGATTGAAGACGAATTCATCTCAGGGGAAACTCAGGAAACGATAACAAGTTCTAGCTGCAATGGTTGTTGCTCAGGTGACATGCGTGACGACACGTGTAATGGCATGGCAGTCATGTACCCGGAAAACCATGACAAGGGAGCACAAGCCCCCAATTTTTTTTCATGGAGCCAAACACATTGCTGCAATGCGGTGGTCGATACTTGGAAGCACACAAGCGAGAGGTCAAGGACGAGAATCGTCCAATTTTTATCATCATCATAGCTGGGAGGCAATCGCAGTAATTTTCCATCAGAAGTCGGTGATGTCAAATAACAATAGTAAAAGGGGTGGTGGCATACCACTATTATTGATGAAAGGGTAATTCATTGTTCTGCATACCACTGTGGATTGAGATGAACTCAAATTCTTGTGACGGTTGTTATTGTTGTTGGGACATCCCATATTGTATAAAAAATGTGCCGGTACTTGTATTTAAAAACAGAACCAGTGGTGCCATTCAGTCATGAGCCAGTATCATGATAGGGAGAGCATTATTGTCGAGAATAGATGGCTGTAGATTGAAGATGCAATGGTCGCATAGGCCTTCCATTCCTCGCCTCAACACACCAACACATGCCGGTATGTTTCAAAGTATCGCAATAATATGCTGCGTAAGCATTACAAAATGTATGATATACTGTACCGTACTGTATGATATCTTTCGATTTTTGAGAGGATTGCTGGTTGCACGTCAAAAATTCTGAAAAGTTTGGGGAATCAAGAAATGATGGGCGATGGACCGACCTACCGTCACTAGTCGAGTCAATGGATTAGTGGAATGGTAATCACCAGGCCAGACCTCACTACTGTTTGGACACCGTACTGTCACTTGTATCCATGCACATCAAGCAAGAAGTGATGCCTCAAATTCTGGACTTCGCGCTATGGCTCTCAAGAAGGAGTCATTCTTTCTTCCAAGAAGTACCAAGCGTCGGTACAGTACGTGTAAACACGTACACGTACATACTTCTGAGGAGAAGTTTAGCTCAAAGACACTCTTAGAAGACACTTTTTAAAAAAATCGATGTTTTTGTATACGAATTATTATAATTGCAATTTATATATATATGATTTGGATATGTTCCTTTTGGCTCAAGCGCTAAATGAGAGGGCATATACATATTTCGAATTGTGATTACCAATGATGACGATCGTGAATTGAGAATTTACGGATCTCGAAATCGACGTGACCATTAAGTACTTAGAATCAAACGAGATCTGTGTCATGCGTTTTATTATTACAGCGTGCTTTCTCCGGCGATCGAGTTAAAGATCAGGACTGCGTTCATTTTTCGTTTTTTGCGAAAGCAGGATTTGGGGTCCCGTGTCTCCTCGTCTCACAAAATCTCACTTTTCAAAATGCCGAACTTGTCCAAACCATTCAACAATGGCAGCAGCGCATCTGTTTCCTGCGCATCTTCAACCATGATCACCTCTCAAGACAAGCATTACTCATCTGAGACAGCAGACGATTCTTTGTTGCATCTTCTCTCTGTGCCCTTGATAGTTGGCCCTGATAATATGTCGTCCTGCGCCACGTCACAAGCACCTCCGCTATTTTCCCCTTGTGACGATGGCGACAACCTCTTTTACTTCACCAACACCACGGTCCCAGAGATCTCTGTTGAAATTCCGTCCAACACCTCAATCATCGAGGCATCGTCATTACACCATGCAGTAGGATCATCCGAACAACAGCTCCTCCCTCATGATGATTTCGAGCCAACACCCATCCACCCAAGACTGTCAAATGTGCAAAATAGTACACAATCCATCCTTCCATTTCCACCACTGAATGGCGCAATCGATTTTGCATTTGACCGATTCATTGCACAAGAACTCAATGAAGCCGCCCGTCCCAAGCAGCAGGGCGCACCCGAACAAATCATTTCCGGCTCCAAGCGCTACTTATTGACCCCAACCGAGGAATTACTACCCATTACCATACGTCCGGCCAAGCGGTCACGCATTCGTCAGGTATCCAACAACGACACCAGTGATGATGAGACAGCAAGGGTTCCTCGCTTTCGAAACCACCAAGAAAAACAGTGGAAAGACCTCTTTGATCAGCTCTTGGAGTTCAAAAAGGAGAAGGGACACTGCCTCGTTCCCCATACCTTTGACGAAAACCCACCGCTCGCACGATGGGTCAAGCGCCAACGATACCAGTACAAGTTGAAGCAAGAGAAGATGGTTTCCACACTCACAGACGATCGAATTTCCCAGTTGGAAAGCGTCGGCTTTGTGTGGGATTCTCACGCCGTGGCGTGGGAGGAGCATCGGCTGGATCTGGTGCAATTCAAAGCCGCTTTTGGTCATTGCAATGTTCCTTCTGCTTACGAGAAGAATCCATCTTTGTCCACATGGGTGAAGCGCCAAAGACGACAGAAAAAACTGTTTTGGAGTGGCTCAAAGAGCACCATGACGATGGAACGATTCAGTGCCCTAAACAAGCTCGGATTCAGCTGGGAGATCAAGACTAAGAAGAACAAGATCCAAGGAGCCAGACAACAACACATACACTCTATCGTAGTACTACGTACAAGCTGAAGTTTTCGAGACTACTGTACAAATTCGAAGCCCTTCACCGCAATTCTCAGCAGCAAAACTTAGCATTTTAACTTTTTAAAACTTATGTATCCTTTACGCTTTTTTAGATACTATAGCTGTGCTTCTTTCCTCTTTCCCTCTTGACAATCCTCACCTGGAGAGGATGCTAATCGTTGTACCTATTCCTACTGCTCAATCGTACTTCTGCCCCAGAGCTTACAATATAATACCGGCAAGCACCCTTGTGTTTTATTGCAATGCGAAAAAACATTCTTTGACGCTATTTCTTCTATAAAGGTGTTTGCCTTACTGCCAGCAAAGGCATCCACCGCGTTGTAAACTTTTGGCGTCATGCTGCTTCACAGCTCAATACGTTTACCTAGTGTACCAGGGGTATCGGTACTGTATCTGTGGCGATGCGAAAAGAGATTCGTCTGCGGCGCTATTTCGATTGACTTTTTCCGGCTCATATTTCATAAATGGGGTTGGGTATTTTTGAAAACCGCCGTATTTTTCGTACCACCTATACGTGTCGGCAAAGGAACAACATCGTCATCATTTTTTGATGACGAAAAATGAGGACCCCAATAAGATTCATTGGCGAAAAATGAGGCCCTGCAGTACAGTAAGTACTGTACTGCACAGTATTTTAAAATTCCTAAATTGGAGGCGTGGGAGGTCATCGTGTCGAACATCCGGTGGGTTCGAAATCCAATTAGCAACTACTGATCACACGGTCACTCACTCATTTCCCTCACCCCCAAACTTCCAACATTATGGGTGTATGCTAGCTGCAACTGCTGCAATGATAGAGAAATTCTACATTCTCTTTCTTCTACTTTATAGTCTTTCCCTATTCTTGGATAGGATAGTATGAATGAAATAATCACTTCCTCTTCACATTCTTGTCCCTCCTAGTACTTCTCCTGCAGTACTCCTGCCTCTAGTAGTAGTAGCGACGAAGGAGGAGGATCCAGAGAAAGTTCATTGGCGGATCCAGAGCAGAAAAAAATACAATGGGACTTGTCGCAATTCGAATGATAGATTCCCAGTTCGTACTCCTTTTGCAATTGCGGCTCCAGAGAAAGTGAAGCCGTACGGTATCTGCCGGGGCTAGTACGGTCTATTTGATTGCTTCACAAACTCAATAGCAAGTTCCCACGAGTAATGTAGCTACCGTTAGTTTTGGAAGTAATACCATAGTAGTACTTTGCTGCAATTCGAATGGGTCCCAGTTCGTCCTTTTTTTTGAAGTATTAGACGGGCAGTTGTACCTGCTGCAGTACAGCTAGTACTACCTACTATTACTAGTTCCCATAACCAGCTACTGGTAGTAGTCATAGGATTTATTGCAATTCGAATTGTTCCCCGTTCTTACCAGGTACTCCTCGATAAGTCTCAAGAGAAAGTGTATCTGCTGGATATTGTGGTACCGATAGCAGCTTATTATTTTAATACAGTAGTTCCCGTTGCAAATACATTACAGTACGACTTCTATGGCAATGCGAAAAACGATGCTTCGGTACCACTTACTTCCCAAGAGAATCATCGTTGCGAGGCCTGTGGCGGACGAAAAAAAAAAGGTTCGATGAGGCTCCAAACTAAAGTAGTGCCGGCACTCGAAGCTTGGTCAGAGTTGTCGAAGGTCATAGTTTCGAACTACCCAACAGAATTTACTTCTAGGATATATACGAGTATTCGGGTTGCGGTCATGATATATATAAAGGTCTGTGGGCCCGTCATTCAATAGAAACCATGCAGTGTCCAGACCACCAAACGACCAAACTCAATTATGAACCGATGCAATCTGACAAAAAGTTTTGTTTTGCCGGGTAATCGAATTCGACAGTGCGCGACCTGTAATCGCAGAAAAGGCTCAGCGGCTAGAAACCATGACCAACAAACAAGCTACATACGCACTGCTTGTTTGCGTATTTTATATTCGTACACGTACGAACTGTGCTCCCATTTCACCCAAAACATCTGTGCAATTGCATTCTGCGACACACACAAAAACAATCAATCGATCAATCAATCACGCACTCATACATTCAAAATGCTGGCTGAATCATCGACCAAGCGAATACCGCACCGTTGTCCCAGCAGTCAAGTCCTCCTCTCAGCAGCAGCAAACAAGGCTTCCTCCTCAAGAAGAACAACACAAACCAAGTCATTGGGTGAGCCTACTGGTCTTTTCAACCTAATTTCCATGTCCTTGGTAACCGGCAATGATACCAGTCAATTGTTCGAGACCTCGACCAATAATCCAGGCCAGCAGCTTGATCTGTTGGATGATTTGCTTGCCAGTGGTTTCTGTGATCCGTATCCACAGGATGGTGCTGCCACCACCACAACAACAGCAACATCAGACACGGATAACGCCCTTGCGGTTGCTCGTCCTCAAGAACCTTCTGCCAGACCAACAAGAACTGGCTCCTTTGATTACATGTTTGATGCCGCTTTGGAACCAACACCGCTGGGCCCAAGATGGTCCGAGACTTCCTCCTCTGCCTCACCATCTCTTGCCACCACTCCTAACCTCATGCCAATGCCCGCTCCTGTCGAAGGTGCATTGGAGCGATTGCTGTCACAAGAGTTTCATCTTGGGGACAATTCTACTGCACCAGTGAGTGAAGCTACTACTCCTATGGCTGCTGCTACTACTACCACTCCCAAACGAGCCCACCCCGAAGGACAAATCACGAGCAGCTCATCCTTCCCGGCACCCAAGAAGAAGCAGCGATGCATCAACCACAAGGCAGCAGAAGAAGGCCCTAAGTTCCGTGACTACCAAGAGCAACAATGGATTGACAAATTTCAAGAATTGATCCAATTCAAGGCTTCCCATGGACACTGCCTCGTCCCCCACACCTTTGATGAAAATCCGGCACTGTCACGATGGGTCAAGAGACAACGATACCAATACAAAATGTTCCTCAAACTAAATCAGCATGATTCCGCTGCCACGTCCACCATGACGGAGGGCCGCGTCAGAATGCTCGAGAACATTGGCTTTGTCTGGGACTCCCATGCCGTGGCCTGGGAGGAACGTTTGTTGGAATTGAAAGAATTCCAAAGTAGGTTTGGACATTGCAACGTTCCTTCCAACTACACCAAGTCTCCACCACTGGCCGTTTGGGTCAAACGCCAACGACGTCAAGTCAAGCTATTTTGGAAGGGAGAGCGATCAACGATTACCCAAGAACGCTTTGTGGCCCTTCGTGATCTAGGATTCACCTGGGAGCTGCGTCGCAGCAAGAATTCATGCTAGAGTTCCATTGTGTTGTGGCTGCTGTGGCTGTGGCTGTGGCTGCTAGACTATGCCCACACGACATGACACGACACCACTGTTTTTAAATTTTGCTATATATGCTGTAGGACTATGATAAAGATTATCTTTTTGTTTTGTATTATTCCTAGTCCTACTCTTGATATTTTGAAATGAATCCTACCGGTACTGTAGCATTTTAATTTTGTGCCATATATTCTGTGCAGTAGTAGAGTACTGGTACAGCGTTATTGTTGTGTCATCGACAAGGAACTTACCGAGCTACTACAGTGTAGCGTGGTTATTGTGGTTTGTTCACCGACTATATATATATACAATACTGTGGTCCCGTTCGCAGTAAGGCTGATGAGTACCGCCAGATAAAATGTCTGCCTTTCTGCATTGTCAGACACTTCAGAAGCCAATGACAACCACGTGAATGTATTGGCGGTGTGTAGCTGGTTTGGACGTTCCTCTCGTTGTATGTTCGCCGAACACGTGGAATGAAATGGGTGGTGGTGACGCAAGTCGGAGGAGTGAGTCAGTCAGTGAGTCGATGAGATTGATTCATTTCGATTCGCGCCAATTTATTTTCGACCTTCCCGCCATACCGTAGCGCCAAAACACATCCATCACGAGCCACGGCTGTCTCTACAATTGTTGCAAGGGCGAAATCACATCCACGCAGGTGAGTGCCACACATTCATCCTTTCCAAAACAATATAAAGATAAGGAGAAGAAGAAAAAAACCATGATCCAACAGGACGATTATTCACCCTACAATCAAATCGTTCGAGACAGCAGTAACCACCAACACGAAATGACGAGTGCGTTTGTGGCAAGAACCACCAGCAACCGAAATGACAACCACGCAGCAAATGATACTTGGAAACGCAACGTTGGCCAAACCACCGCCAGTCCTTTAGGAGTGGACGATGATCGTGTATGGAAGCGCCAGCGTTGTGGCTACCATGAAGGCGAGGCTTTCAATGACGGAGCGATCATGAATCGTCATCATCATCAGCAGGAGAAGTATGATAGCTTTGATGGTATGGACGACGCCACAATGGGGAATGCCACAGCAGAAGCTGCTAACAATGCCAATACCAATACCAATGACAAGCGCAAAGAACCCAGCAATGGCATCTGCTTCATGATGGCACCGAAGCAATCCTCTACTACTATCAGCGAGGACATGGCAATTGATGATGAACTCGATGCCATCAATCCACAAGACTATTTCGAAGACAAGTGGCACTGATTTTTTGGTACTACATACATATAATACGTTTTTGAATATAAGTAATGGGGGGGAATTTTGTCAAATGATGATAGCTATCTTTGGGCACAGCAGAATTGGGATACATACTGTAGATAATTGGAATACATGGGTAGGGGATGATTGATTGAATGAATGAATTGATTGAAACGGGGATAATCTTAAGCTGTGTTTATGAAAAATTGAATGTGCCTATACAGTGTGGTTCTAGTCCCTGTTGCTTCGTTCACATCAAAACAAATTCGTAAAAGGTGCGGAGACTATCATACAGTTCTTGCAATAAAACAAACGAAAAATACTGAAAAAACTAATCCTCGCAATTCGTCTGGTCGAATTTCAAAGCCTTCATCCCAAATTCCCTCTTCATTTCTATCAAAGATCATCGCATATCCCGGCAATTCTTATGAAGTTGTCAATCAGATGAGTGACAACTATAATACACAAGGATGTGAATACTCGTGTCGTCCAAAAATGAATGATGATGACAGAGAATAATATACTGTAAGTCGTATTTTTCTTTCCAATTGCCAACGTCATATATACCGGTATATATATACCGGTGTATATGTATATAAATATACATATACATATTGCACCACAGAAAACGTGGTCATTTTCGTTCGATAAACGTACAGTCCTAAATCGGCAAATCACAATATTCGTATCGCAAAATTTAAAAAGTCTCGCCATGAACTGCGCTGAAGAATCACAAACGTCAGCAGGCTGGGTGTATTCAGTATTGCCCTCACAATGTCATTTGGGCTACCACCAATGATCAATCCTTTGCGTACTCGATCTGGAATCTTTGAACTAGTCGGTTCCTTTCAATTCTTTTTTTTCCAAATGATTGGGTATCGTCGAAAAAGGCATCTCGAAACTTTCACGTTCGTTCCTTTTCCAGCATATGGACTTTCGCAAATGCACCCCAGTTTCGATACAAGCGAATAGCTTCATTCGCATGATGTTCCGCCAAATCTTGAAATGCTTCGTACTCATGCTCTGTCTTCGTCTTCCTATGAAAGAGAAAATCGGCATACCTTTCATTGAAAAGTGCTGCTTGGTGGATATGCCCAGTACGGGCGGCCAATGCAATGGCCTTGCGATACTGATCATCTGCTTGTGTGTGCTTTGTCTTTTGCAATGAAGCTTGTTCAGCATTCAAAAGCATAATGTAGTGCTGAGTATTCGGATTCTTCTGTTCTGCCCACTTGTCAACGGTACTTTTTATGTTATCTGCAGCCTTGATGAATTTTCGCTTCTTTGTCTTTCTTGCCATTGCGTAGAGGGCAACGCCACGATGAAAAATTTCAATCATTCCGAGAAAGTGCCCCGGTGCGCCTTTCGCAACGCCACCAGCATCAAGCGCCAGCTCTGCTGCTTGCTCGTAATCGCCCAAGAAGACAAATAATTCTAGTTTCGCTAGTTCAATAAATCCTCTTTGAGCGGGTCGTTCTGGGACAAATGTCTCGGCATCAAAAATCGTGCCCTTGAGCTTTTTGGGATTGTTTGATTGTCCTGCGAGATTCAACATCAACTGCCAAAAAATTCGAGTAAGCAATGCCTGTTCCGGTTGCTTGAAATCTTCCATCTGGGAAACATTTTGTCTGATACGTCCTAGAATATCTCCTAATCTTTTCCCCATCACGTATGGATACAGAATGCTGTGGAGCTGCAAGGCCCAGGAGGTGGCAATGAAATTACCTGATTGCAAACCAAGCTTATATGATCGTAGAATACTTTCAGCACAGCTATGGAGTGGATAGGTGTATGGTAGCACGAATTGGCAGACACTTGCCAGAGTGCTTGATTCACTGTATTTGGAAGGTTCAGTTTTCAGCAAAAGGAGGCCCACCTCGGAAAAGTAAGTTGCTGCTTCGTAGTCCTTCATCGCCATGCCAGCCAGCATACCCAGCGTGCTGAATGCTAAACAGGATGTTTTACTCACGCCACGTGCCAGTGTGATCTCCACCATCTCATTCGTAGCCCACATTACCATCACATGTCTCTTGACCATATAGGCAGAATAACTTAGTCTGAACAAAATCGTCATGATTGCTTCATCCTTGGCATTTCTGAGAGGAGAAAGATTCCTGAATTTCTCTTTTGGCATCTTCTTTGTCTTTTTAATAGTCGAAAAAATCGAAGCCAGAGCTCGAACTGGTAATGTCCACATACTACCAGGAGAGAGACCCAAGTCGTGAAGTGCTACGAGGCAGGTCTGCACTGCGTCTTCGGGCTTCATGTCCGATGTCGTTAGCTTCGCAATCTTGGTGATATATGTCGGGGCCTTTTCAAGAGTAGTAATGCTAGACTGCGACAGCACTTGTTCTATGAACCTATTTGTCTCCTCTGTCCGTCTCAAAGCAAATGCCAACTGTGCCGCCATTGTATACAACCGTAATGCAACATCTCGGTGGGTACTCCATTTTCTCTCTGGAAGCAGCTCCATAGCTTTCGTGGCGTATTTCAACGCACTGTTGAACGCAGAGATATGCTTCGCTTTCTCTGCCGCCCAGATATTCAATTCTACCAGCTCGCCGGTGTCATATACTTCACCTTTGTTCATGAGATCTGTGACGTCAAACAGAACCTTCTCCAGCATAGCTTTATCCAATTTGAGAAATAATATTCTGCCAATTTCAGATTGAAAAGACCCGCTGCTCACATTACCAAGGCTCAATGCTGCTTCTTTCACTTTATCGTGGGCAAAGCGATATGCATCTATTCCATAGAACTCTAGAAAGTTTGCCTCTTCAAGACGACCAAATATCTTTGTAATGTCCTCCTTCTCTTTGCCAAGAATCTTCACGGCATGCTCCGTCCATAAGAGATCTATAATGGAAAGTGTTACGGAAGACGATCCAAGGCAGGCGGCGTATTGCATCACCAATAGCACATTATCAGGCAGTTTCCTCATTCTTGCCTGTAGAAGATCAACTACATTTGCTGTAGACATTGTACGATCCTCGATCACTGTCTTGTCCCATTTCCATTCAAGTGTTCCAAGATTATACGAGATCAGATCCTCTTCTTCCAGCATGGTGATGAACTCGATGAGAAAGAACGGGTTCCCATTAGTCCTCTTAAAGCAAATCTCGGACAAGCCTTTGGTGCGTTCTTCATTGTCAATTGATAGCATAGCCATGATCACTTTATTGCTTTGATCTTCATTCAAACTTTCAATTTCCATTTGTGTCAGTTGAAACTGCTGTTTCTCCGGTTTCTTAGAAATTTCTTCAATCACACTGTACAGAATGTGGTTTTCATTGACTTCATTTGAGCGGTAGCAGCCGACGATCATTAGCTTGTTTGTATTTTCGGTATCCGAGATCAGCAAGTCCAAGATTTCCAGCGATGAAACGTCAGCCCACTGCAAGTCATCCAATACTAAAACCATAGGAGATGCAAACGAAGTCAACACTCGCGTCAACACTCGGAAAACATACTCGAATTGCATCTTTCCAGCATCCAGATTGTAGCCAGCCGGTTCCGCCTTTGTCTTTTGATACGAGTCAGGAAGTAGACCATCCAAGTCTGGAATTAATCTCAGCAGAAGAGAAATCTCAGATCCCAGACCTGACGCAATGGCGTGGCCAATGCCATCATCACCATCATCATCATCATCATCATCATTTTCACTAGAGTCGTCTCCTCCTGCCTCTTCTTTGAGCGATGACGACCTTTTCTTCTTCTCTATGGAATGGTTCTTCATGCTTCGGCAGATTTCATTAAAGGCAGCAGCAATCCCCGAGTAAGGCTCATCGCAGGATTGAAAATCAAATTTTCCAACCACAAACATTCCATTTTCGGTCATGGATGTCGTCTTTTGAAGTGCTGTATTTACTAGCTTTGTCTTGCCTGTTCCACTGTAACCTTTCAGAAATACAACTTGCTTCTTATTTTGATTGTTGTTCTTGTGGTCTTCTTGTATTAGGAGATTGTCAAGACATGATCGTAACGTATTCACTTCCGTTTCCCTTCCAACCAAACCAACGGCGTCATATTGGAGTTTGTTGATGGTCAGTTCTTGGATGTGGATGTTGTCCCTCAGTCTTGAGCTTTTGGAAATTTGAGATTCATACGCCGAAGAAAGGTCGGCTTCTCCTAATGACCGACGTATGGAGGAAGACATTATTATACGTGAAAAGGAAGCCGCCGTCGATGACATGCTGGTGAATTCACCATTGCTGAGACTTGTTGAGGACTTGCTTTGCTCATCCAGTGATGGTAAAAGTGATGATGACATTGGTTGTATCTTGTTTGATGAGCGGTTTGGACGAATATATGCATAAAATATTCTGCTGAATAATGATAATAGTCACGTGACTAAATAACTGCTGATATTGCGTAGCAGAAAGGATGGACTATTTTATGAAAGGCGTTTAAATCACGTCACCACCACCTTACAGCCCCCTTTTGGCAAAATCGGAAGTTGTGAACATTTCAAGTTAAATTGGCTCATGCCCTGCGAGCTCAGAGATGCCTGCAAAGTAGCAATAAATACCTTATTATTATTGGGACCCATGGGCATTGTGCGAACTGTATGTAAGCAATGATCAATGTTTTTTTATAGGACGACTACCTACAAGAAGTACTACAATTGCTGACTTGGATACACTAGTAGCTACCCTTCTAGTAGGAGCAAAAGTGAATGCTTTCAAATAGTCTTATTTATTATAAAAACGAAAAATAGAAGCCACCTCTCTGTTGTTAGGCCGAAACAAACGGCACCATTGGGGTACACACCACATGATAGTAGTACGTACTGCGTACCGGCATATTTTAATTCGCAAAATGAGAGTTGACTAAGTCGACCCGTTTCGGGTACCTACCCGCTTCTGTTATTGCCTCCGCTCAGTTTGTCTCCATGTATTGTAGTGTAATGGCAGGTTAACACCAATGTCTGATTACTCTATCTATACCTGCTGTCACGCCCAACCAACAGAATGGTGATACATTCCGGTGATCGCCATGGTATCCTACATACTAGCGCCACTTTGTATTCCTTACAATATATATTAACTCATTTGCATTCCCAATTCTTCATTGAGATTGGTATTATGGCGGTGTCTTCCAAATTGAGAAGATTCCTTCGCTGCTTCATTGGCCATGTAGGTGGCCCCTCCGGTGGCCAAGAGAGCCGCACCGGCACCCTTGTTGCCGCGGGCCAACAAAATGCCACCCGCCAAGACGGCAGCTCCCGTGAGGACATTGGCAATAAAGGACGTGGACGAATCTTGCTCCATTGTGGTAGTTTTGGCAGTTGCGTTCCGAGGTGGCGACCGAGAGGCATGCCGAGCATGAGCTGGTGGAGAGGGCGACCGAGACTTTGGCTTTTGAAACACTTGTCCAATCCGTTTGGTCTCTTCTTCAATGGCCTTGCCCAATTTTTGGGATTCCTTTTGAATGGATGTCCCAATCTTTTGGCCTTCTTTTTGGATTGACGAACCAATCTTTTGTCCCTCCTTGCCAATGGCATCGCCCAAGTGCTTGACCGAAGCTCCTAGCGACGCAACAAACTTCTGAGGACCTCTGGGAGGTTGTGTCGATTGTGGTGGAGGAGAAGCATCTTCATTGTTGTTGTTGCCACCAGTCTCCTCTTGTTGCTTGGGAGCATCTTGCGCCTTGGAGTCGTGCGTACAATTAGCATCATCCTTGGACGCAGCTGTCTTGTTTTCATTATTGAATGATGTTTCTGTTTCTGTTTCTTCTTCGTCTTCATTGTTGGGCACCACGACCGTGTCCACAAGGAGTGAATCAGCAGTAGTTTCAGCATTCGAGTCCATGTCGTTGACGGCCGCGTTGATATCCTTATCCACTGTAGAGTGCTCCATAACAGAACTATGATTATCGACAGAAGCATCGTGCATGTTCTGTGTCAATGGCTGAAGGAATTCATTCAGACCTTCGTCTTCACCACCATTGACCGACATTTGACTTGCGCTTGAGGGCAACAGTTGACGACGTTCCTCTTCTTCATCATTGTTGTTATCGTAATCGTCCACGATTAAGTCTTGCTCCGAGACTTCGTCCTCCGCAGCGGAAGAGGAGGAGGAACCCGCAGAGATGACTTCCCAGTCGTTTTCTTCTGTGTAGTTTGGATTGAGGCCCATTCTAAATTATAGTCTTTTGTATTAGTATGGAGCACTACTGTACAGCTGTCTTATTGTCTGTACTGTGTAATTTATGAGCTTGTTGGTCGTGTGTGGATAAAGTTTATTGACTTGTGACTTGTGATGATCACTTTGTGGATGTCAATCGAAATGCCATGAGTTTACTTTTTTTAACTCGTGCTTCAAAAAATCAACACGGTGATATTCTTTCAACTGCTTGCCTGCTCGCGCGATCGATCGCATCGCTCGCTTGTACTAAGAAGTTCGGCTCGACTGAACCGACTAAAATGAGGTTACTGCCCTATGCCCTATGTTCTTTTATTTTCACTTTGAACTTGTATTTACTTCATGGGTCCGTGAATTCGATGAAACGGACAAGCATGAAGTGTTAGTTGTCTTTGTGTGTTTTGCTTAGCATTACTACTAGTTTGTAATAATCAGTCTTCCTTGCCCACCAAGAGAATCAATCCATCATCTATTCATTCATTCATCTAATCGTCCAATGCTTAAGAAATTTCTATTTGAGCACCCACAGCTTCCAATTGTGCCTTGAGTTCTTCGGCCTTTTCTGGCTTGAGTTCCTTTTGAATAATCTTGGGAGCAGATTCCACCAATTCCTTGGCCTCCTTCAAACCAAGACCCGCAATCGATCTCACCTCTTTAATGACCTTGATCTTGGCCTTGGCGTCAAAGCCGACCAACTTTAGGTCTTTCAAGAGCTTTTCTTCCTTTACCTCTTCAGGAGCCGCCGCTGCAGCAGCACCTCCAATGGGTCCCGCACCCGCTGCTTGAACCTGGTTCCATTTGATGCCCAACTCTTCATTGACCACCATGGTCAACAAATGAACTTCGACCATGTCCAAATGCAAGATTTGTTCAAAGAGGCCATTGACTTTTTGAATGGAATCTTCCGAAAGTGGTGGCGGAGGAGTAAAGGCATATTCAATCTCCGTAGGATGCGGTTCGTCATCACTAGTACTAGTAGGGTCTTCTCCTCCTGCTTGTGGGGCGGCATCCACAGCAGCAGCGGCAGCAGCAGCATCTTCCAATTGGCTAGGAGTCGCATGAAAGGAGCGGTATAGCAAGGATTTGGCAGCCGAAATGGATGGCTCGGATGTTATCGAATTTTGCAGGATGTTACTACAGCTCATCCATCGTCCCTGTTGATTCATTGGCGAAGTAGTAGAGAATCCAGCTGTAGTAGTACCAACAGTAGAAGAAGAAGAACTGCATGTAGAAGCAGCAGCAGCAGCAGCAGCATACATGGTCCTGCTGGATTTGTGCCCTCCCAAACTTATTTTTCGAACCTGTGACCGGACTGCAGTCTTGGCGTGAGCAGTAATGGCGGCGGAGAGTGGTGGTCGTAATAGAGGATTCATTTTGGAGTTGTGATTTGTCCTCAATATTTTGGGAAATTTGGAGTTCTGTATTTGATTTTCTGAGTCTTTCGAGCCAGACTTGTGCAGCTTATAAAATTTACCGCGATAAAGTTGAGGATATCTGGGTCTCCTTGACCTTGATGGATGAGATGAACAACACAAGGATGATGATGTGCGGTGGTGTTGATGAACGATCATCATCCGTTTCACATATCATGACGGGTGCCAGACGGACACTGTCAGCTGGGTCGAATCAATCAATCATAATAAAGCCATTAGAAAACTACAGTATCCAATAAAAAATGATAGCGTTTTTCCACAATTTGAAATTGATGCATTTGCTACAGCCACAAGCAAAGAAAATCTTTGCTTCTAGTTCTCATTGCCGCTGATGGGTCGATTACTGTTGCTTAGGAACGCCCTGCTCAAGAATGTAACTATCTAGTAATCAAAATCTCTGCGCCTTCTTTCTAGGCTACCAAATCAACGTGCGCATCAACAAACACTTGGTTGGCTGACATGCCATTGAGTTCACTGGAAGGATTGGAATGGGATGTCAGTGCGAAAATGGCAGCAATCCAACGGTAGGATGATGTAGTAATAATCATTATCAGGAGGAATCATGATCCATAGCTGCAACAGGGGTAGTAACACCAAAGGGGATCAAAAAAGCTCGGGACAGGGCAAGTCGGACGACAATAATGCTGATCGATCATTATCTTGTCTTCTTTTGTATCATCTGACTCGGAGGAGAAGTAGGGTACTACCATTATTGGAAGAACTTGAATGCCAACGGCTGCCTTTTCGGTAAACATGCTGGTCATGATGCTGTTCTTTGATGTATATTATAATCCCTTGCGCCGTTCCGTTTGTGGAATGTTGGACGACTCGCGAAAATGGGAACTTTGGGTCGGCCCCAAGATTGTTCCAGAATATATATTCGGCTCACGGACATTTCGACACTGAAAATCGTTCTTCTCATCGATCAGCGCTGTCTAGTGGAAGACAGCACACGGCTCAGATTCATGGCCGGCGATGGAGCATTCTTGGAAAGTGATGATATCTAATACTATTTTCGCTGCTCGTCTTGGTGGGTTCGTAGCAGATGAAGATCGACCTGTAGTACTACCTGATGCAGTGTTTAGTTCTTGTGTTTTGCATTGGGAATCCTCTCAGAGCAGCCAGTTTTCTCTCTGCGGATGCCTCTTGCTCCCTCTTCCCAGTTCATCATACCGGCATTCCACCGAAGAAGCAATGCATCCATCCGAGTTGCAAGAGGATGACGATGAGCAAGAATCATCTCGATCAGTTTGAAACGTTTTGTTCTTTGGGAGATTACTTTTCTCAAGAACAATCACCTCAAGTGATGATGGATAAGTAGTTCAGTAGCAGATCCAATTCGATTTGATAGTCATATGGACGTCAGGTGAACGTTTAGAGGCTAGCTCCAAGTCGATGTACCGTAGTATCAAACGAAGCACGCAGTATGCGAGATTGCTTTGGATTTATTGTGACTGCGGATTTTGTTTGGTACCGGTTCAGGCTATAGTCCGTCGTCCGCTATATTATTTTCCAGAAAACCCCGCCCCCGGGTTATCCTCCGTCTTGAAGAGAGGAGCGCGGGAAAGTGCAAAAGGCCCGTTCTTATTTCCCCGATGGGCGTTTTCAAGGTACTTTTAATGCCTCTTTCTCCGAGACAATCGTTCTGGTCATGTTTTTGCACGACCTATGTTATTATGTGATATTAAAAAGCGAGTTTCAAATGAAAGGGAGTTACGCGTTTCATTAAATCCAAATCTTTTTTCCAAGTGTTCCCCAAAGCGAAGATCTTCGTTCGGATGATTGAGCGTTGGCGTCGCGGTAGCATTAAAGTTCCTGAAGGTTAAGTGAAAATCATCAAGAATCTTGAGGAATGGTTTTGGTAGCCTCCATTAAATGTGATTCCAGAATTTTGAAGTACAGGGACATTCTAGGAGAGAGGATTTATAAGCTGCCTGTGAAGAGAAAGACCGAAGATTACCCAAGAAAACCTCACGTGCGAACCAAAATGGGACACTACCAAAAACGAGATGTCATCACAACAGGATATTACACAAAGTTTAGAAACGAACGCTCAGATGAATTTTTCAATGACAACTGAACCATTCTTCAATTCACACCAGCTATCCAAGGAGTATCCACAGCAACTAAACGAGGCTGGACAACATTCTGGCGCTGAAAAGTCGTTGGCACAGCTTCTAAACCTTGACTACAAGTCAAATCCTGCGGTTCCCCGCGCCCTTTCATCCAACAACACTAATATGAATACTTCCAATTTGTTAAAGCCATCTGACCCCACTGATTACTCGAACTACAATGTCAACAGTCTCTTCTCTGCTTTGGCTGCTCAACAGGCTGCTCAACACACAGCACCAGAAGCTCCAGCTGGCATTCTGCATCAATCGCTCCTTTCAGCTCCTGTTCCATCCACTACTCCTGCCACAGCTGCTGCTGCTCTTGACGTGTGTCAGCACTCCTCGAACGAAATTCAGTCCCTGAATGCATCCTTGAGTGCCCCTCAAACCGCTACTGCTCAAGACAACAGCTTTACCGCTTTTGAACCTTCTCCCATCAACGAAAACAAGATGAATGTCTTACAACAGGGCGTAGACGGTGCCTATGCTCTGGAACTCTGGAGGCAACAGCAACAGCACCAAATTCAAAAGCTCTTTAACATGGCACTCCAACCAGGTTCAGCAGCCAATCTTCCACAAAATTCCGCTGCCAACCTCAGATCACTTTTGGCTGGAAGCACCAGGAGCAGTGGCAACGAAGCCGCTAAAAGAGCCTCCGCCAGTATCTTGCCTTCTGCTCTCGTGGATCCAGACATGTTCCACCCCGCTGCCGCCAAGAAACAGCGTGTAGAAGCCACTCCAGTGGCTCCTCCTATGGTCGAAGACTCTATGAATCAATCGGGTCGCTTTCGAGACTATCAAAGCTGCCAATGGTCCATTCGGTTCCACGAGTTGCAACTCTTCCGCAAGGAAAAAGGTCATTGCTGTGTCCCACATGGGTATCCCAAAAATATTGTATTGGTAAGAAGCCAGGACGACACAATCTATATCTCTCGCTTGTTGCAGCATTGGACTTTTGTTACTAAAATCAACACTTTTTGTTTTCTCTCAGGCACGATGGGTGAAGCGTCAGAGGTATCAGTATAAGCTCCGAGCAGAAGGGAAACCCAGTACAATGACCATTGAACGCATCAATGCCCTCGAAAGTATTGGCTTTATCTGGGACTCTCATGGAGCTTGCTGGATGGAACGATACAATGAGTTGAAGGAGTACGCCAGCAAACATGGCAGCTGCAACATTTCCAGTAGATACATTGACCTTCATGGAAGCCAGCTTTCATCCTGGGTCAAGTGTCAAAGAAGACTCTACAAAATGTACATGGATAACAAAGCAACCAACATGACTGCTGAACGCATTGCAAAACTTGAGAGTATTGGATTTGAATGGGAATTGAGACGCTCCCGCAATTCAATAAGCTCTAAGCAGGAATCGCAGGAAGTTCCTGACATCCAAAATTTTGGTCAAGTTTGATGATATTGAATTTGGTGGCTACTAACTAGTTTCCATCCACTATAGCATCTTATAAATAAGGGATTGAATATGTATTCTTCGATGGATGCCCATGTACCATGAAAGACCCAAAATTAGCACAACATATCTACTGCTCTCTCACTAGAAACGTCGATGTGCTTTATATATTTGAGGTAGTCACAGTCCAAGAACTACGAAACAAAGTTGCCCTTCAACTCGCTCATTGTGGCGCTATCATCAGTAAGGAGGAGCGAAATGATACGACCGGTACCAGTACAAGGTACCAAGTGCTACTACGATACTAGCGTTCAACGTTCTTGCATCGAACTAATTGATCCCACTGACTGGTACTTTACCACGAGAATGCTCCCTCTCTCTCTCTCCAAGTTCTCTTTTTAAAAGAGATGGAGCGGACCGCGGTGGGTGATATTTTAAGATCGATGTCTCTGGCACCACTGTTGCGCGTCATAATATAAAAGTAGGTACATCATAGGCAGTTTAGGGTCCCAACCGAGGAAAATGTGATCACAACCAGAGAAGAAGCTTTCGCGCGTTTTTTATCTCATTCTTCTGAAGCATGTTAGAAGGTTGGTAAAGCGGAAAAACTATTTAACAACACAAGAATTCCTCGATTTCTGAAATCAAGAGGTCGCGTCAAGCTTAAAACCTCAGAAACCCGCTTCAAGTTGGGTGGCGGTTAGAAATCCAGTCGAATGACTCCTCTGTTTGACTCAATGGACCACTATTGGTCATTGACAGTTTCCATTTGGTGGTGGCAATTGAAAAAAAGAAGGAACATCAAGACATTACCATAAAACAGAGCCTCCATACAGACGTGCTATTTCCATTACCCTTCCATTCAAAAGCACAAAATGAGACTTTGCAGTCAGAAATACAATACCACGACAGTTGTTAGCATCAGTCTTCTCCTATTGCTGTCATCAGGCAGGGTTCACAGTCAAGAACCGCGATCTTTGCGAGCAAGTCATAAGACTCACATCTGCGACAAGGATTTTCAACCTATCATCGCAAAAACGGATGCCCCAGACTCCTCCTCATTGCAACCAAGACCAAAGCAAGAAAAGCTGGAATATCATCTGAATCTACCACAACTACAAGAGGAACAAGATGATGATTCTGAACAACGAGGAGAAGACGCTATCAAATTGGAATACTTGATGGCTCTTCATTTCAATTCCTTCGAGTTGGATCCTCGTTGTACTCTCGAAATTCGTGACAAGCATGATGAACTTGTTACAGCGTTATCAGGTACGGGGTCTTCCTTTTGGTCGGAACACATCAAGGGATCGTCGGTTCGACTGGTACTGAATTGCAATGAGGAGGAGAAGGATCATGCTGGTGACCATCACAGCATTACTACTAGTACCGATGCGAATGACAGATCACCAGCACAATTCAAGTCAAATTTTATCATTGACGAGTATGTGGTCATTGATAGTAACATTGTTCAAGACGGAAATGCTGTGCAACGGACGCTTGCAGAAGTTTTGAACGAACCAGCACGAAACTTGGAGATCTGCCGGAACGATGATCTCAAGAATGCTCAATGTTACGAAGCGACGCATCCAGAAGCCTTTCAAGTGGCCAACTCTGTGGTCCGAATGAAATATGCCAATACTGATTTTTGCACCGGCTGGATGATTTCTCCAGGCTTGCTCATGACTGCTGGCCATTGTGTGGAAACGACAGAAGAGGTCATGAACACGGAATATCAATTCAGCTATGGCAGCAGCTCCTGTACTTCCGACTTGTTTGATACACCCGAGATTTATCGACCCATTGAGCTCGTCAAGGTAGACTATCAGTCGGACTATGCTCTGATTCGAATGGAAGGAAATCCTGGTTTCAAGTATGGGTAAGTCATCCATTGCGTAGGGGATCTGTCTGCGATTATATCATCGGCAATACACATATCTCACCATGGAATCACGACCATTCTCTTCTTCTTTTTTCACCGTCGCTCGTTGTTGTTGTTGTTGTTGTTTTTTCCTTTCCTTTTTTTAAAAAAATGACAGCTACTTGGAACTTGAAAATTCTCTCCCAGCAGTAAACGATGTCATTTACATTCCACAACATCCACTGGGACGCGACATCGAATTGGCGATCGAGGAACTTTCTCCTTTCAACGCCGGTGGGCTTTGCAGCGTTTATGCCAACGGTCAAGGAGCCGCAGATTCATCGTGCGAGAAATACGGAGCGTCCTTCCGGGATTTTGCCTATTATTGCGATACCGAAGGTGGAAGTTCGGGAGCCCCCGTCCTGTCGGCAACCTCCAATAAGGTGATTGGGATTCATCATTGCGGAAGTACTTGTGAGAACTTTGCCATTCCGGTGTTTCATATCCACAATGCCATTATTTCCATAGTCACTACTGACATTCTTACGGCAGTAGAAGTGGCACCTACCATGGCTCCAACAGCCGGCAGTGGAGGAAACGAAACCGTTTTGGACACTCCGGCATCAGGAGCAGGACGAACAAGAACTGGATCCAAACTATCTTTTTCGCTGCCTTCTTGCTGGGCACTTGGGCTCCTCCTATTGCTATCTAGTTTGATCGTAGCAATATAGAAAGATACCTTCTTTATACATATCAATACATATATTATTCTACAACAAGACTAGACCTCTTATATTGATAGGACTGTACCATACCGGTATTCTTATTCTGATCTCGTGTCAATTTCACTTTCTGGTCATGGATACACTACAGGGACGGCCGGGAAAATCAACATTTACTCCCAAGAATTGTATGCTAAATTTCTATTTCCCGGCCGTTCCAGTACAGTACTACTGTGGGCTTTGAAGTAGTCGGACTACTCGAAACGAAAATAACGGTAGTTGTGACGTCCGAGGAGAAGTTGTTTTTCGTCATCGGATCCCGAACACGAACGCGCAAATTTAGGATTCGTTTCTGTTCCAATGCCCAAAACACGTGTTGCGTCATTCGTTCATTCATGCATTCATTCATTGTCTTGTCCTCATAATATTGCACACCACTGCAATATAAAGGTAAAACAACTCCACTCTCAACACAACAAGCAACAAACATTCAAAATGGCCTTCCGTCAGGTACTAAGCAAGGCAATCCTTCCAGGATTGGAACAAGATCTTTCCCGAGCCATTTCCAAGGAGATCTCCAAGGTTCCCAGCATGGTGGACTGTATGGTAGCCCCTTCGGTGTTCGCCTTTGAACCTGCCGCTGTTGCTTCTGCTGCTGCGGGAGCCTTTGGACGTTCTGCCCAACGCCATTCCCGCATGGTCAAGGTGGAATACCCAGCCCCCAAGCCAGGTTTGTTTACCATCTAACCAAACATATACACATTTTTTAAAAGTAAAACTGTTTGGAACGTTTGGCGGAATGAAACAAGAATCATCAGCGTTTATGATGGTGGTGGTGGTGGTAGTGGTAGGACTGTTACAAGAGTCAAGAGTGCATTGTTGACAAGAAAGGGTGAATCACGAGGATTCAGGTATCAATGGTGGTGGAATTCTGACGCCCCCATGATTGTCAAGAATGCACGAAACGTACTGTTGATCATGATGAAAAAACAAGATGCATGATGCTTGTCAATTTCATATGGTAGAACATATTAAATTTATTATTCGATATTACACATCATTTCTCAATTCCTTATAAACATGTTGTGCAGACTAGAAAGAGAAGTTAGCATGTATATTGCTACAGTACCATCTACAACTCAGTGGAGACTACGACTGCTGAAATACGAACGAGGAACGAGTAAGGCTTTCGGTAAGAATGAGTCGAGTGGCCATTTTTCTTCTTCTTTGCTGTGGTCACGAATGAATACATTTAGGTGAAACGTATAGCACTACTATACTACGGTATCTGACCTGTATGGAAGTAGAGTAGACGAAGGAAGGGACAATACTAAATACTACTACATAATAACAACCATCTTCAAACAAATGCTTACAGCACTATTGCAGTATCCAACTCCTCAGTTTGAAGATAACATGGAGGATAGCTGCCAACTACATACATCTATTGTTCGTCGGAAGGGTGGTTCCTGCTTGGCAAACGGGAAATGGAGCTCTGAATAAATGGATGAATCAATCAATCAATCAATCGGCCATTTGCAAATCAAAGTATTCATTGCAAAGCATTATATATGTGTATATCATATGGACAAATCAACAGGTGGAAGAAAAAAATTGATAACAGCAGCAATAGCAATAGCAACATGGAGAATAAATCAAACAATAAAAGAACCAGCTCTCAGAAAACGCAGACCGCAGGAAGGAATGAAAACCAGACAATGAATACTGCACGAATATCAAAAGGTTTCGTCATCAAATGCAATGATTATGCTTAGATTGTTGCTTTCAACTGTCAGCCAGTTGAAAAGAAACAATTCAAGGACATCCTTGCCCTGATGATGGTGATGATGATGATGATGATGGTGTTGATGTTAATGTGATGCTTTGTACATGACAAAGTGCCGATCTCCAATCATCGCTTTCCTCCACACTCTTTCAAATCAATCGTTTATTGGAAAAGTCCCTTGGAAACCCCCATCGGTTTGCGAATGGGAGAAGCAGCTCGAATACTGTTGGAAAGAGAAAGAGCACCAGTCGTCAAGTTAGGTCCACTAACGCTGTACGCCAAAGAAGGAGGCTTGACCATGGGAATTTTTGCGGAACCAACCATGGCAGTGGCAAGATCACGTCCCAATCCTGGGGTAGAAATGCTGGGAATCTTTTTGGCAGCGATGCGGATTTGCATTGTTTGTATTTGTTGTATTAATATTTGTTGTTGTTGTTGTGGTTACTGTCGATATGGACTGAAGCAGAAGTTATAGTGGTATTATTATACCGGTACTCGTACCGGTACCGGTATATCGCATCGACACCATCATCGTCAGCACAAAACGTTCGAGCTGACAGACAGACGATATCGATGGACAAAAAGGGGGACTTTGTTTCAAACCCAAAACATGCAAAACTTCATGGTGATTGGCTGACAGCAGACAAACAAAATGATCCCGGCGCAACCCAAGACGACGTGCGTGTCGTACCAGACATGCCCATTTCCCCGAAACTTCCATTCCACTTATGGTGTTCCAACCTTTGAGCGTTTTTTTTGTTCGCCGACTGCTGATTGTGGTAGTCTGACACGAAGCAAGATATTTGTTCAATAGGACAAACACAAAATTATGAGAGCTTTATCCTATTCGGTACTACACGCGTGCCCACAAGCACTTGTGTGCAGTGGCGCTTTGATCACCATCTGCTGGCAGGTTTTTATGTGCTTTGACGTGTTCGATATACCGATACTGTAATCACACACACAGACACAAACAAGCTGTTCCTGAATCACCACCTCATTCTCATCTATAAAAAGGCCTGCGTGTTCCATTCTTACAAACATACTGTATAATATTATCAAGCAAGCAAACAAGCAAGCAAACATCATGGCCACTGAAATTGTGACCATGGTGTCTCCCCCTGAAAATACCACGTCCACTGCCAACAATCACAATAATGATAGTGCTTCCAGTTTTGGATCCAAGTTCAACAACAACAGCAGCAGCAGCAACAACAACAACACGAAACAACCTTCGCTACTGATGAGCTATCTGAGTTCCTTGATTGGGACAAGTCAATACGAATTGGTGGACGACAATGCACGCATGCACCGAACTCAGTCTTATTATCGCATTGAATTGATCTCATCCTTACCGAATTCCAGGCCCAGCAATAAGTGGAGTCCGCAAGATCCAGTAGTCGGGATTGCCGACAACACCAAAGATCGATGGGGTCTCGCCAAGAAACAAAATTCGGTCTTGTCGTTGGATTCGTCGGGCGCTGGTGCCTCATCATCATCGTTTTCCAATTACAATCATCATCATAACACTCATCGAAACAATAAGGACGACGAATCATCGTCTCATTTGGATTTGGCAGCCTCCAGTTCCGATTTTTTTCTCAAAAAACCCAATCGACGGGGGAGCATTGATCATCATGACGACGAATTCAATGATTTGGAAAACAGTCCTTCTGGAAGTAGTCGGCAAAGTATACGAACCGCCATGGAAATGTTGTCGATGGAGGAGGATGACGAAGAGGATGCCAGTGTACCCAAGCACACCAAATCAAAGAGTTCCAAATCAAAACGAAAACAAGCCAAGGCGAAACACAAGGCGGATAAGGAGCAGAGACGAAAAGAACGCAAGGAACGAAAACAGAAAGCATCATCATCATCATCATTATTATCTGACGGCAGCGACGACGACAATAAGAAAAACGGAAAAACGAAAAAGAATCGACGCAATCCACAAAAATGGGAACAACTTCTCAGGCGCAGTGAATCCTCATCATCCTCCCTTGGACGCAATGATGATGATAATGATGATAATGATGATAATGATGATAATGATGTCAACAATGACAACAAAATGGGAAAACAACAAAAACAACAACAACAACAACCACGCAAAGAATCAAAGAAACCCTCCTCGGTATTTTCACCAATGTGCAAGTCGACCACCTTGGTGCCACCCTCAAGGACCTTTTCACCTCCGTGGACGGCCAAGGTAGCTTTGGACATGAGTGACTTTATCGATGACAGTGAACGACATGATAATGACGATGACGATGACGATGACGATGATGATATCTATATCGATGACATGAATGACATGATAGTAGAGACTGATCAAGCGACATCTCCTTCTGCCACGCCCACTACTACTACTACTACCACTACTACTCGGTCGAGATATAGTACCAGTGCCATTCCCAAACCAATCAATCTCATGGACGATAGCGATCCGGAATTCAAAAATATTGATGTTGGACGAAGTGTGGCATCCTTGGATGGCGGCGGCTTTGGCACGGTCGCCTCGGAAGAAGAAAGTATGGAATGGGAAGAATACGAACTGCCCTTGGAACAATCGCTCAAATCGTGCATCGACCCAGATGATCGCTCCTCTCACAGTGACAATAACAACAACAACAACAATAATGACACGGGCCGATCCGAACGAACGGCAGAATCCTTTCAACGGCGACCTCCCGCCCACACCAATAGTTTTGAATTGACCCATCGACGATCGGCCGTCCGACAATCAGTGAAACGTCGAAGGATCAAAATGACACCCCAAGATTTGCAAACTAGGATATCGGATATTCAATTGACGGACGAACACAATCAACAAGAACAACAACAACAACAACAACAACAACAACAACAACAACAACAACAACAAGAGAGTGAAGAGAGGAATGGTGCTACTGATGATTATGATTATGATGGTGACGAAGTTCCAATTGATCCACCAACACTGTGCGACAATGATTATACGTCTTCGGCAGATGATTCCACAGAAGATGATGAAGCAAGGCTAGATCACAATGACTACACGTCTTCGGCAGAAGATTCAATAGAAGATGACGGAGAAATGCTAGATGAAGAAGGCTCACTCTGATGATTGCGAAAAAGGCATACTCCATTTGATCGAGACTACATTCAATATAAAAGCAAAGGAATGCAGACAATTTTTTATGTAGTCACCACCACTGAGACAAAAAGCCATCTCACTGCTGTAGTTGACTAATGCTTTTGCAAAGGCTTCCCTTGAACGAGTACCGGATGGACTGGAGTCTATATTGTGCCAACCACCACCAATTTTATTCATGGATAATATATCTAAAACAAACTACTACAATGAGAAAATAGCTACACAGTACTATTTCCTAGAAGGTATGCTTCCTACAATTTTTTGCGAAGTTGCATTACTATACGCAAACCACAATGTGTAGTTTGCGCTATTACTTCCACGGTTACATGACTAAATACTTATATCCTAAGGGCAGGAGTGAAAAGAGCCTTGTCTTTAGGCTTCTTCGTCGGTCTTGGTGTTGGATCCCTCGTCCTTGGCTGGTGTGCCCTCCGCCTCCACGGGAAGTCCAGTGTGCTCGGAAAGTTCACGGACCTTGGCCTTCAACCATTCCATGTCATCGGGAAGATCGTTGACGGCGTTGTTGCGCTTTTCGCGGGAAACCAAGCACTGAGTGCACTTCTCGGATCCACCTTGGTACTTGCAAAAGTATCCAGTGTACATAAGGACCACGGCCAAGACGACAACAATGATGGAACCAAGAGCGGTAAGTCCAGAGTTTCCGTCAGAGAAGAGGTAAGAGATACCCAAAAAGATCAAAGGCATGGCAATGAATGCAACAGCAATGTAGATGATTGGGAATCCACGGAAGAGACGGGTGGAGCGTCCAAGAGCTCGGGCCGCGTTCAATGGAATGTTGCGCATGAATGGAACTGGGTACCAGATGGCGATACCGGTAATGTTGAAGAACAAGTGGGCAAGAGCGACTTGCATACCGTTCTTGTTGCCAAGAAGGGCAGCCAAAAGACCAGTGACGGTGGTACCAATGTTGGCTCCGAGAGTCAAAGGAAGCATCTGTTCCAGACGAAGGGCACCGACACCGACCAAGGGAGTCAAGACGGAAGTGGTAATGGAAGAAGATTGGACCAAAATGGTGATACCGGCTCCAATGAGAATGGCGAGGTATCCATTAATGTTGGTGGCCTTGTAGAGAACACGGGTAGAAGCCCCCATCATCAATCGTTGCAAGATCTTGACCAATGCAAAGAGGCAGATGAAAAGAAGGATCAAACCAATGATGAAGGCGCAGACTCCAGAGGTACGGTCAACGTTTTCGGTGGCTTCGGGGTCGAAGAAAGCAGGACAGAATGGAGTGTCGGCCTTCTTGTCACAGGAAAGAAGTCCGGAACTGCAAGTAAGAGGATCATTGTAGTCGTCGCAAGCTAGAGTGCCGTTGTTGGGGTAGTAGGTGCGGCAAGTAGCCTCTCCAGCGGCGATTTGGCTGGCAACCTTCTTGTTGACAATGATGATGCGACTGGCAAGAGGAGAAACAAGCTTCTTGACTGGCCCCTCCCACTTTTCTCCATCTTGGGCCTGGAAATTCTTGACGCAGGCCTTGGTGAGATGGAAGAGGTATCCGGTAGCTGCCTCAACAGGAAGCAAGATAGCCACAGAAAGGAAGTTGAACATATCGTGGACGGTGGCTCCAGCGAAAGCACGTTCGAGTTGGTCTCCATCTCCCAAATGTCCCATGGCGACGATGGTGTTGGTGACAGAAGTACCAATGTTGGCACCCATAATCATAAAGATTCCTTGCTTGACAGTAACGGCGTCGGCTCCGACAAGGGAAACAACAATGGAAGTGGTGGTGGAAGACGATTGAAGAAGGACAGTGGCAACAATACCAACCATCAGTCCGGCGATGGGGTTCATGTCATCACCGAAAAGAGCACCGGCGGCACATCCTCCCATAACCTTAGCACCGTTTCCAAGAAGGTCCAATCCAAGAAGGAAGAAGTAAAGGAAGAAAAGAACTCCAACGAGTCCCATAAAGGCCATGCCCCACTCGGCTGGGGTCTTGACGCAGCAAGCTGTGCAGACTTCTCCCCAAGTGGCGTCCATCTCGTAGGCTGGATCGTTGACATCAAAATCAGCGTCTCCAACGTGCATGGAACCTGTTGGGCGGTCTTTGCGGCTAGGAGCATCAGTGGTTTGCTTTTCGTCAGACTACGGAATAGCGATAGAGAGTGCAGAGGTGTGTAAGCATGACTCGTTACTTGTGAATGTTGATACACGCAAGGAGAAGGAAGATCTTACCATGATGATTATTTTTTGGTCGATGAAAGATTGCAAAATCCAAATTATGAGGGGAGGTTTGAGAGCAAAACCTTGAAATACCCTTACGTAGAGATTGTACGATGAGTACAGGTATTCGGTACATTTTCCCGCGGAAACGACAATTCTGAGAACAGATGGCTACCATTAATTTCAGATCTTCGTGCTGTCGAATCTCTCGAATCTTCTGTGTTTTAGGAATTACACCATTTTTACATTTATGGGGCGAAGGTCACAATAGGATGAATCTCTTCGAATCTTTTCTCGTTTTGTGACAATTTACTTATTGCTCTTTCCTCGCGATCCAATTACACTCAATATTTCGGCAGACGATGGAGATGTTGATGAATCTTCCGGAGATGAAATTGCAACAAGGCTGCTTTGCCTTCTGCCGTTCACTCGATAATGTCCTGATTCAGCATACCATATATATATATCAAGTCTTCGTAAACCTCAAGCCTATCTTCCCTACAGCACAGTACTTGTACCAGGTACTGTGATGAAATCACAATAGGAGGAGCGAGGAGCGCCCTTGTGATGGAACTGGCGCGAAGGCTTGCTAAAACAAATGTGAGAAAACGCAACACCTACTGTACCTTAACACAACTTTGCGACGAGATGCCCAGGTGGGTAACAAAGAAATGTGAGCAAACGCAACACCTATTTTTAGAAACACACAACTAAAAAAGAGCATGTCCAGATTCTTCTCTTTCCTTCTGGTAGGTACTTCTGCATGTTTCTACTTCATGCTGTTTTGGAACCTGTTTATTAGCGTGCCAACTACAGGTATTCGTAGTATGATAGAGTTGTGAACTACAGTACAGTACAGTACTTGTCTATTGATTCGAGGTCGTGCACTGCGCACATGCGAGCTTATACATTCAGCAATCCTCTACACGGTAGATAGACATCCCCTGACCCGTCTTCTTTCCCAGGGCTGCTTTGTCACTTTGTGGGTGTGCACTGTGCACATGAAAACTGAACAGTGGGATTTCGTATTCGGGTGTCAAACAAATTCAAATTTTAAAAAGCTGTTTATGAAGAATACTGCGTGTGTCGTATCGTGTCGCAGTTGACATAAAATCTTCTCTTTTCCGCCGACTCAATTCGACTCAGTCGACTATTTATTTTTATTTTATACCGCATGTTACCTGTATCCGGTATGTCTACTTTTCTCACCATTTGCAGACCCCACCCCTGTACCAGGTACCGTACCAGGGTACCGGCGCGCATATATTCTAACGTACAACACCGATTACGACATCTCTTACTTTTGGCATGAATATTACCAACATCGTCGACTGAGTTGTTGCGTCTGTCCCACTGGCCGGTTGGGTTGCGTCCTAAGAATGAAAACAATAATCTTTCAAGGCTCATCCTGGTGTCAGCAAAAGATTTATGGGAACACGTTCGGTCCAACGACTGACATAACTTGGAACATAAATGCACGGTTTCAGATCTGTCTGATTGGTCACACAGGAAGAGAATTAGACGGATCGTCGCGCGTGCCGAACTTGTTCGAGAGACTAAGAGAAATAGAATTATGCATTTCAAAGGAGCCTTTCTAACGGAGATAAGTAATGTGATCTTGAGGATGGCATTCAAGCGCCGTGTTTTGGTCGCAATGCAAACTTTTTGCGAATCGGATCTTGGTTTTGATGGTTGCTGTGCAGGAAAGAAATCTTCCTCCTACACTGACGTACAGTACTTACGATCGAACTTCGAAGTGAAAGATTTGGATACCTAATACAGCTACTATTTGAAGGCAAACAAGAAGCAAAGGAAAAAGAAGGACGAAATGAGTGTGTTTGTTATCATTCCTGAATCCATCCTCGCAGCAGCAGCAACAGGACAAGTTGATCCCAATGTGATCACTAGTATGGACGACGACGAGTCTGAAGTTGAGAACTCGTCAGAATTTCCGTTTGTGTTCGACCAGGAAACTTCCAGTTTCGCCGACTCTGTAGAACTCCATAAACAACGATGCCCGCTGCTGTCCCGTCGCCATGTTGACGGTGAGGGGGATGAGCACGAGGATCTCGAATCACACAGCAACTCATATCATATGCCGCTGAATGATAGCAACGAATGTTACGAAGATTTCGCATCATACACTGACTACGATGTTCCACTGAATGACAGCAGTGAGGGAAAGATTGGACCCAGTGCCGTGACCATCCCCCACAGAAGGCGAAGGCTCGTTTCATTGGACTCGCATGTGCATCAAAGCCATGAGGAATATGGAAACGATGAATTTGGTGAGGATTATGACGAAGATAGCATCGATTTTCCATCTTTTCAATTTTCACAGCCATTGTCTATGAGCGAGCAAATATGTCAAGGTACTGCTTGCAATTAGGAAGCAGTCTGTCTTGACCAAGCTTTGTTGGCGATAACATTTCATTGTACATATAATTGTCTATTAATTTTCAAATACATCCTTAATACTTTTGATCATTCAACACTTTCATCGAAACGAGAACACAATGGTAGCATCTTCGACACCAAGAGAAGTTCCGATTGATCATCCCAAGCATACTCCATCACATTTCCCATCACCACGTCGGATCCACACTTCCACCGACAGCTTGTACGAGCTACCTCACCAAAATCGGAACTCTCGAGATGCAATGCAATAATCTTCATCTTCCATAGCGCCAGCTCCAGAATCGACGTAGTTTCCATCTTCATAAACTGTGCAAAATTCTTCATGATAGCCTGATAACACAGCCACCTTTCATTGTTGTTGTTGTTGTCTCCTTCCCATGGCGTGGAGTCGACATAGTCCAACAAGTGGTTCCTCCACGTATCTAGGCTGCAACCGTGCATTGCACGAGGCAATACACACTTGAGTGTTGTTTGGATGAGTGCGATTGCCTTTACTGATCGTTGCATCATCAAGTAGTCCATCATTGTCCTGCGAAAACCATCCGGTCGGAAAACTACTTCCGAAGAATATCGATCTAGTAGAATCCTGAGCATGTCCCCACGCAGTCTTGCGGATGTAGCCACAATGTGAAGAGGAGTCATACCGTAAGCATCTACCAGATTGTCGTCATTCGAACTACTACTGGAATCATTGATCACCTCCACCAGCTCGTCCAAACTCGTCTCAGAAGCATGGTAGCAGCATTGGTGGACTGGTAACGTATCAAATCGATCTCTCAATTTGTGTGGTTGGTACTCATATTCATCAATATCATCGTCACCGCCACCACCATGATGCAACTTGGGACATTTTGAAAAAGCATAATCCGCCGTCTGCTCCATGGACGAGGGAATGGACACTGTCACCAGCTCGGTGCAGCCGTAGAAGCAAGGACTTTTGCGAAAGGCAGACTCGTCACGGTATATCGTTAGATCGGAGCCTTTGGGTATCTCTACTCCGAGCAAACTTGAGCAGTCTCTAAACGCGGTGCCTCTTAGAACATTGAGCGACTGTGGCAATGAGATGCCACAGATGGATTGACAGCCAGAGAAGGCGCTGATACCAATCCCAACAAGTCCTTCCCTCAGATCCACATCGACCAATGCTAGACATCCTTGGAAGGCGGCATTCCCAATGCTGTACACGGAGCCTGGAACAGAAACACACGGCAAAGCTTCACAGTGGGCAAATGCCCGTTTTCCAATGGTCGTAACCCCTTCCCTCAAGGTGACAGATCGTAACGAAGTGCACGATGCGAATGCCTCTTCCTCGATTGTTTCCACGGTGAAAGGAATGTCAATTGCTTTCAGCTCAATACATCCATCAAATGCAGAACGAAAAATTGTCTTGAGGCCTTCATGTAGCTTCACTTCCGTCAATGAAATGCACATGTTAAATGTCCTATTCCAAAGAAGTTCCAGCGTGCTTGGGATAGATACCTTTCGCAGAGATCGACAGTTTATGAAGGCACTCTGGCCCATGTATTTGAGACCTTCTGGGAGGTGAATATCCGTCAATGACTCGCAGTATGCAAAAGCCTTGAATCCAATAAAGCGTAGCCCATCCAAGTGTTGAATGGATTTCAACGACGAGCACCCTTGAAAGGCTGCCTCTCCCACACGACCCAATGTCTTGGGCGCACGTACTTTCTCCAATGCATGACAGTTCATAAAGGCACATCCAGCAATGGTGTCCAATCCGTCAGGCAAATCGAGCTCCACCAAGCTGGAACAATTCTGAAAAGAACGGTGTCCCACTGTGGCCAACGATGATACTCCTTCATTTAAAAAATCAACCCTTTTCAAATCGCTACAGTTCTCAAAGGCACACCTTTCAATTTCTTTAACCAAAGAATTTACAATCACATGAGTGACATCCGGTTGGATCTGTCCAATGGACGTATCTGCCCCGCAATAATAGATCGATGGCTCCTTATTATTATTATTGGCATCTTCACTTTCGTTTTGAATCATATCTTCCATATCATGCAGCATTCGTTCGCTCCATTTCCGTTCGAAGACTTATGGCTCACTCGCACCAATTCACCACATGCAATGTAGAAAGGTAGGTTCAAACGCTGAGTGTAGAGGTACAACAATATCACTGTGTGGCATATACCGGTACCGGTACACTCAATGTACCAATTTATTGTTGTCAGGCCACGCGCTCATGACCAATAATGAAGACTGTAAGTCGAAGAAGTCAACTGATAGATGCGAGCGTATAATACCGGTATATATTTTATGCCATGACTCCTACGAGATTACATAGATTTTTCGTGGAAACCAGCTTTATTAATAGATAATAATGACAACGGTCTTCACACCACAAGTCGCCACAATGGATGCGTTGCCGATGTTATAGGACTATGTTATATGATTTGGTTTCAATATCAATAGTCGTGCCTCATTTCTTCAACGAGCTCGGTCATAGCGATGATCCTTTCGTCATCATAGAGGGAGGAGGACAATGGGACAAACGAAGAGCTCAGCGAGGTTTCAGATTCATTGTCCCAAAGATACTCGATCACATTTCCAAGCACAATATTTGATCCACATCGCATTCGGCATCCGGTTCGATGTTGATGGGCTTGGTCTTTCTCTTGCTCTTTGTCACAGAGGACGATGGCCCCTTTCCATACAGCCAGCTCGACAATTGATGTCACTTCTATTCTCAGATACTGTGTTAATCGCCCAATCAATGAATCTACATGCTGCCGGCTGTCTTTGACATCGTAGTCACACGGAATCTCCTCTACACAGCGACAAAAGTCCGACATCCACCGTTCGTCGATACCCCAATCGTTCAGCTCGTGTTTGATTGCTTTTTGGAGTACCATCTTGATCAATGGAACAGCTCGTTTCGAATTGTGAAATAACAAGTAGTCCATGACCGTCCGCCCATGCTTGTCTTTGGTCCAAAGACAGTTCACAGGTAGATGATACAGCAAGATTCTCATCATGTCACCCCGAAGCCTTGTAGAAGTCGAAACAATGTGAAGAGGAGTCATGCCGAAGGGATCTGTCAATAAGGCTTCTGAAGAAGAAAATGGTGATGATGCTTCTAGTGCCAGAGACAAATCGTCCACCGTCATGGTGGATGCGTAATAACAGACTTCATGAATTGGCAAATTCACAAATCGCCTTCTCAATTTCTCACTTGGTTGTAACGCTAATGATACTATCTGTTGGGCATCAATATGATGGTGCTGATTCTGGTCCAAGAGGAGCTTGTCACAGTCCGAAAAGGCATCCTCTGCCGAATGGTTCATGTTGATTGGAATGCAAACGTTCACCAAATTGTTGCAATCGGCAAAACACGACCTTCGTTGCAGCATTGGAACATTACCAATACTTGTTGGTGGTAATGCCATCTGCAAAGCGGTATGCAGAATTGGCAGTTCCACACCAAGGAGACTGTCACAGTCGGAAAATGCCCCGTCTTCCATGAAACAAAGCGACTGTGGCAAGGCAATGGCACTGATTCTTGGACATTTCGCAAATGCCCTCTGCCCAATCCTTTGGAGGCCTTCCTTAAAATGGACCTCCACCAAAGAAGAGCAACCCTCAAAGGATCCCGATGCAATCGTGCGGAGCGTGCTGGGGATTGAGATCCAACCAAGTGTTCGGCACAAAGCAAATGCCGATGCGCCAAGAATAAGGAGGCCTTCCGGAAGCTGTATGTGAGCGATCGAAGATTGGCAGAATGCTACATTGCCAATGCTGACGAGTGTGGGTGGTAGTGCTAATAATTCTTGTAGCGATTGACAGCTTTGAAAGGCTCCGTTGCCAATAATTTCCAATTTACTGTTGTTGGATAATGTCACAGTCTCGAGTAATTTACATCCGTAAAAAGACTTTTTGCCAATCACCACCACTGTGCTAGGGATGATGATTTGGCGAAGAGCAGTGCATAAGCGAAACAGAGAGTCACTTATAGAGAGAAGGCCTTCCGGAAGATGTAGGTCCACCAGTGAATCGCAATATTCAAATGCCCCAGATCCAATCTCTTTGACATGACGCAGAAGATCCGCTGGAACTGCAACCAATGATCTGCAATAAAAAAAGGCAAAATTTCCAATCTTTTTCAATGATATCAATGGCATGGAAACGATGACTTCCTTTAAATTGGAACACCTGTTAAAGGCAGCCTTGCCAATAACCTGCAACCCTTGATTGAACACCACATTTACCAACAAAGGACACCCTTCAAAGGCATGATCTTCAATAGTTTTCACCGACTTGTCGATAATAAGATGCGTCACTGTATCTCGTGGGATTTGATCGGTTGGTTGGCTCTTGTACACAAACGTTTCTGGTTCTGCAGACGATGCTGTTGCTGCAGTGGTATTGCTGTTGTTGGCGGTCCTGTCGTGGTCGTCTTCTTGCCAGTCAATTTCCATGGCTGTATTCATTCGTCGGTGGGAGTGAGGATAAGTAATATCATATATGATAGTCGTACGATGATGGTTTTAAAAATGAAGATTATGGTAGAATGATGATGGATTTCAGTATAGGTCATCTCCAACGATGTAAAATATTATACATAGTACTCTGAAATCCATCATCGGCAATATATGAAAATAAGACTTTTATTCTGTATTTCAACTGTCCGCCAACCGTGCAAGATGTCAGAACCAACAAAATTCAAAACCGAATCCTACTACCCATGTACCGGTATAGTTGCATCATTCATATCATCACACTTTGATCTCGACTAAACCAACCAACAAACTATTTTTATTACTATCCAATCATGGCAGAAAAGAAAGGTGAAGACACATCCTCCGAAAGTGAAGTCTCAGATGAAGAAGATGATGATTTGGTCTTGGAAGGAGTGATTACGAGAAATCCAGATGTTTCGGATTCGGATGATACTTCCAGCAGCAGCAGCAGCAGTAGTGGCGAGGATGACGACGATGACGATGACGATGACGTCAAACCACCGCCATCCAAAAAGGCCAAGCAACAGCAGAAGACAACAGCAGCAACGCAAAGCAAAAGGAATAAGAAGGAAGAGCCACCAGCACAAAATAAGAAGAAACAAAAGAAGAAACCCAAAGAAGGCCCCGAAGTGATTCAAGTGGATTTTACCTTTTGTGACATGCACGAAAAGTACTTTCACGGACTGAAAACCTTATTGACGGGAACCAGTCCCGTTTATGCAGCACAGTCGTCAGGTCTGGCCGACATGATGATCAAAAATGTTTCGGTGGGGACTGTCATTAGTACCGAAGCGGATAGTGACGGGGAAGGTACCATCTATGGATATGCCTCGGTCTTGAATTTGACGACATACCAAGAAGATCCGGCAATTCAAGCAATCAAAAAGATTTGCCTCGACAAGTGTCCCGCTGCCCACAAGGCGGAATTGCAAGTTGTCTTTTCGGGAAAGACCAAACGACCGGCTGGCATCTATTTGCAGGGACGAATGGTCAATTTGCCACTGGAGATTGTGGAAGTCTTGCACCAACAATTGGTCTTGGATATGGATTGGGCCGTCAAGAATGCCGAAGGAGTGGACCGAAAGTCCTTGGACTTTGGAGCCTTTGTACGAATCGCCCCCGCCTACAAGTCTGGCGGTGCGACGTACTTCAAATACTTTGACGATGAAATATTTGCCCAACATGCCGAATTTACCTTTGAAATAGAGTTGCCCAAGACATATGATATGGACGAAGCGCCATTTTGTGTGGCTCTGGTCATTACCAAGACTGGACACAGAGCCGGTATGGAGTCATTATCCGAAATGATCAACGGGGGTGCAGCATCTTGATGCTATAGCTAACACCATACTATGGTGTAGGCTGATAGGACTAGGGTCTTTTGATTTTTTAAAGAAACTTATGCTACAGTACTTCTTCATATCATGACTAGAGAAAGGCATCCCATAGAATCATTGTAGAAGTGGCAACACTGATCTGATATGCTACTTGTTGATGAACCGAGTTGATGAAACGAACAATCGAAAAGTAATTTGTCATGATGATACCTTACATGATATATATATAGAAATCGATTATGATGCTAGCGGAATGTGCATGTGCATATGTGTGTGTGTGTGTGTGTGTGTGTGTGTGTGTGTGCTCTGCAAAAGATCGTTTCTTGGTTAGTAAGCATAGTCCAGGTATGGTTGGTGGTGTATGCAATATAATGTCGGTTGGACTTGTGTGTAAGTGTGCTTGTGTGTGCGATCGTCTTTGTTCTATCCTTTCGTGGAAAGGATGCATATGTCACGGGAAATTCTTGATCGGACATGGCATTTGTTTTGTTTGGAAAGCGTTGTATGTAGCATGCAGACAGATGAATCAATGAATGCATGAATCGACCAATGAATGCACCATTGAATGAATCAATCAAATAATATGAAAGGGGGCAGGGGATGGAATCTCTGAATGGGAAGTCAATTCCATATATCCACTACTGCTGGCAACCAAAAGTCCCAAGGCGCAGAATAGGATGACTAGACTTTGCTGTTTTTGCAATTGCAAATGTTGTTCTTGATGTGTGTACATGCTGTCTTGCAGGACGGCAGCTTGTTGGGACAACTGAGCCGTAAGGCTCGTGCAAAGAATCAAGGCCCAATTGTCATCAGCGGCAGCAGTTGCCGGGGGAGGACTTGCTGTTCTTGTTCTTCGTTGCTGTAGTGACCGGCGTTCCGAAGGAGTACTGATCACCACCGCATTGGATGCTGTGTTGAAGAGACTTGCTGAGGAATTCATCATGCTCGCATCAATGTTAAAGGTTTCCGTCAATCTCTTGCGATCATTCTCGAGTTGCGTTTGGCGTTGTTCAAACTCTTTCCCTAATAGCATGCCTTCGGTACTCTCCTGTAGATAAAGATTGCGAAAGGCTTCTTCATCATCTTCATCTTGCGGCAAAGAGGATGACGATGGTTGATTTGTCAATTGTAATCGTGTCAGCGACTTCTTTGAGGACGATGCTACTGAAGCTGATACCAAAGATACAGCATCATAAGGTAGTGTCACTCGGTTTTTATTATTGTTTCCACCCATAAAGGCGTCGACAGCAGAGGGGAGAGCTGCCACAATAGCCAGAACACAAAGGATCCTGTTGTAATTCTTGGAAGCTCCATGTCCTCTTTGACGTTTGAAAGAACAATAAGGCTGCAGTTGCATGCTGGTCACGCTAGAGTCTTCACAACTGTTTCCATCTGATTGCCTCATGACTTTCATTATTGTATTCCTTACGATACGCAGTACAGTATGGATACGGTAAGGGCATGCAATCCGTTTTGTTTCAAGAGACCTCTTATATTGCTTTCATGAAACAATAAATAAAATAAAACTCAACAGAACACCTCATTCGTGATAACGTGGTGTGGTTGACACCTTCGATCAGACAGGTTTTTGAACCCTTTTGAGGGAGGGGCAAATAAGTTTAGAGGAGGGAAAGAATTCATCGATCGATCTCAGCCGAGAAAATAAAAGATTTTGGCGGCGGAAGGATGATCTAAAAAGTACTGTAGTAGTAGTACGGCGTCTCTCATCATCAACTCTCATCATTGATCATCGATAATGACGATGACAAAGTGGTGTCTCTTCATTTTATTGTCATGGCAACTATATCCGACAGAGTCCACTGGATCCAATACATCACAGATCCACCAAGCTCCAACAAGAGAAGAAGAAGACTTCCAAAATCATCATGATCATGACTACAACGTCACGGAATATTGGTTCAACTGCACGATTGACCACTTTAATTTTCGACCCACCACGGTTCCCACCTTTGGACTGCGCTATTTTGTCAATGACGATTATTATACACCCAATGGTCCTGTCTTTTTCTATGCCGGAAACGAGGCCGACATTTTGCAATTTGTCAAGAACAGCGGATTCATGTTCGAGGCGGCCCAAGAGTTTGGAGCTATGGTGGTCTTTGCGGAGCATCGGTATTATGGAAAGAGCAATCCATTTGGCGATGAATATGCTTTAGGAAAAGGTTACAATATTTCCTTTTTGAGTGTGGAACAAGCCATGCAAGATTACAACCAGCTCAATCTACACATGCGACGAAAATGGAAGATGCCAGCGGGCTTGTCAACTCCCTTTATTGTATTTGGTGGTAGTTATGGAGGCAATCTTGCCTTGTGGATGCGTCTCAAGAATCCAAATTTGTGGGCAGGTGCCGTTGCATCGTCCGTGACACCACTCAAGCATTTGCTCCGAGAAACCAATGGATTCACCAGAATTGAAACGGAAGCCTATGGGAATGTGTCCAAGGAATGCCCCGATCTAGTCCGACAAGGATGGAAGGAGTTATACGAATTGGCAAAGGAAGATCCAGGCAAAGAAGTAATCGCTGAAGCATTGCACCTTTGTGACAAACACCATGTGAATCCTTCCAACATTCACGGTTGGATTTCCGGTGCTCTGGAAACCATGGTTCAGTATGGATATCCTTATCCGACAAACTTTTACAATCCTGTTCCTGGATATCCATTCAAAGTTGCTTGTGAGAATATGATAAAGGGTGAAACAGGTCTAGGGGCCTTGTATGCTGCAGCTGCCATTTACTACAACTATACTGGTCAAGCTGGAGATTGCTTTGATTTTGGATCCATCCTAGAAGCATCCCGGAAGCATTGGAAGCGACATGGTCGTTTCGACTATTTGGCCAAAATCACTACTGATATGGGGAATAATGCTATGGATGATATGAGCACTTTAATGAAGGGCCGCATTTTGACGTCCCTACAGGATGCCACGGACCATGCATGGGGATATCAAACCTGCACCGAAGTCTACCAACCCATGCCCACTGATGGGGTAACAGATTTTGAGCTTCCCTACCAACCCGATCAAGAGTCCTACTTTGCAAACTGTCAAGAAACTTGGGGTGTGACTCCCCGACCGAATTGGGAAGAAATGTACTTTATGGGGATTGACATTGGCAGTGGATCCAACATTTTCATTACGAATGGACAAGTGGATCCTTGGCGGGCGGCGGGGATTACGGAGTTGCCCAAGGGATCCAATCCTTCGATTGTCACTCGCACGATTGCCATGGGTGCCCATCACTTTGATCTCCGAGGCGCACATCCAATGGATCCACCAGCAGTAACAGCTGTACGAAACGAAGAAAAGGAGCATATGAGAAAGTGGATTGCCGAGTGGGCAGAGAACCATAGCTAGCTAAGTAGCTAGCTAGCGCATATCTGGTATTGTTATTATTACTGGTCTTGTTATCCTGATAAACGATACACAAACATGATTTTACCTTCCGGGCCGGTATTAAAATATTATTATACAGATTGGATTTATTAATATTTTTATGGATTTAGATTTTTTGGATTGATTCTCGCGATCCTCCCGGTAGAAGTACGGACGAAAAGTCATGGAAATTATATCTTTGGATCTGTAAAGTATTGTAGGGTCACGGTCATCGAGGCCGCGTATCGGATATTATTGGCACAACACCAGAACACAACTTGCCGGATCTGATAGTTTTGCTTTCTTTTTTCCCTGCCAATTGTGAATAACATAACAAGATGAAAAGTTGCTTCTCCGCTGTTCTATCGTTTGCTGCGCTCGCCACTTTGTTTGCTGGTGTAACTGCCAACGAAGACGGAAATCTTGGTGCTGGTAGACGCAGGACTCATGAACAGTCTCGTGTTCGGCAAGGCATCAAGAACCGTAGCGGTGAAAATAATCATGGTGCGTACAGTATGATGCAGCAGACTCGTGAATTGTGCCATAACTCATGCTAAAAAAAACTTGAATTGCAATTTTAAAGTCCCCCGTGTAGATGATGCTGGAAGTCCCCGAGCCCATCAAGCCAACCGCCAACAGTTACCTTGTGTTTTGATTCTCAGGGAAATAGAATTTGCTGATGGTCACCACGAGGGAAACTGGAGGTGTGAGCTCCATGGTTACGATGCTGAAATAGCAGGGGGTGAGCCTGGTGACACCGTGATGGCTTCCATTGAAGGAATCGATCTCATATTGGAATCCAACCCCGGCGTTGTGAGTCATGTGACCACATTTTTTTCCCATGGAGCACGCATTCATGGTAAACGCATCATCATTTCTGAAGAAGATGAGCTTTTGTTTGGAGAGGTACCTCATCACCAAAGACGACTTGCCCTCAAGACCGGGGACTTGAAGACCCTTATCGTTCGAGTGACCTCAAACGACGGTACAGTGTTCAGCAGTGCTACGGATATCGCAAATACTATCTTTGGACTCAACGGGGTTAGCCCAAGTTTGAGCGCTGTGGCCAATGGTTGTTCCTGGAACGGACTGGACATTGTTCCGGCTACAGGGGCTGACATTACCAATGGTGTTCTTGAAATGAACTTGGATGCGACTGTAAAAGGTGGCGAGTGCGAAGTGTTTTGTGAAACTATCTTAAAGCAAGTCATGAAGAAATATTCCATTTCCGCAGCAGAGGGACTGAAATCTAAGTTTGATCTTGTTCAAGTTGTTCTTCCCGACGGATCTGGTCATTATGATGATCTGACTTGGGTAGCGCATGCAGATTTCGGAGGCGTCGATAGCTGTTTCAACGATTACACTATCCGCTATCCAAACCTTGCAATGCATGAGGTAAGGCATTGCTCTTTGTTCTTTTTTAAATATCATACTTGCTCATGACGATCTCGTCCTTTGTTCGATCTACTAGACTGGCCATAACTGGGGTCTGGAACATGCAAACGAAAATGGTGAGGCGTACGGAGATGACAGCGGCGCTATGGGGTCTGCTCCCCATGGTGAAGACTTTGGAAAGGTCTGCTTCAATGGCGGCCACTCTTGGGTATTGGGCTGGTATTATGACTACAACATCGAGGTGGACCCTCTAGCCAAGAATTTTGACGGGAAATTGGCAGGAGTTGGAAAGTATCCTGGAATTGGAGACGATGAATATGTGGTACTAAAACTTACTGCCAGTAGTGCTGGCAATTACTATATCATGTTCAATCATAAGATTGGTGTCAACGCTGATACAGTGGAAGGCGAAAACACAGTCACCGTTGTCACTATGAAAGACTCTACCATGACAAGTCTGAAGGCGAAACTGGCTGCCGGTAAGAAATATGCTATTCCCAACTTCGAAGGTAAAGCAGAAACAGTGACTATCGAAGTCGTATCCATTGACAGCTCCTCCAGTGGCTTTGCGCATGTTCGAGTCTACAAGGGCGCGTCTCCGTCTCCTCTAACCACTACAGCAGAAGATGAGCCCGCCAATGAGCCTGATGAATCCGAATGTACCGATTTAGAAGACTGGCAAAACGATTATGGCGACAGCTGTGCTTGGTATGACGTAAGTTACAGCATGCGGAACATTCGAGTTTCTGTCTTTTACATGGGAGCGAAACGTCTAACCCACCCTTTTGCGGATTCATCTTTTAGGATGAAGACCCAGGATGTCCAGAAACCAAAGACGAACTTGGTTATTTAACTGATGATGATGCCAGCGTAGGAATCCCGGCTTCGAAGGCTTGCTGCCAATGCAAAAAGTAGACCATCGACGTCTCGTCCTACAAAATTCACATGAAGTTCTTGCTGTATCCTATACGGCCAATTTATAAGTACCAGTAGGCACCTTTTTTGTCAAAATGTATCTTGTAAGACTCCTTTGTAGTGATAATTGTACATGAACGAATAGCCACTTGAATTGCAACGTCGGCTCTAATCTCCTGAAGCATCGAAACATTGTATCAAGGTCCCCTGTAGTGGATGCGTCTTTGCCAAAAAAAACTATGATTCAGCGGAAGCGTTGTGTCTCAAGATAGCCAAACCCCAGCGACTTCATTGATACCATACGCGGTGCTTGTTGTTCCAGCATCTAGCTGGTTCAAGTGCTAGAAAATTTTCTTAGCAAACGCTAAAGAAAAGTTCCATTCTCAACTGCCCCATGAGTCTTGGTGTTTCTCAACGAACTCACCGAGAGCCTCTAGAGCCAGTGGCATTCTTCGTTCGCCAAATCCAACACGAAAGTACTGCTGAATCTCGGGAGGAATAGTATCCGCAAAGCAATAAGCAGGCTTGATGGAAATGCCAGCCTTGGCCAACTCGTCTCCGAACTGGTTCGATGTCCAAGGCCCAAGAAATTTGACAAAGGCAATGGCTCCAGCATTCGGTCGATTCCACGAGAACCATTTGGCATATTTGACTTCAATGAATTCTTGCAACAATGCCTTGTTGTGTCGAATGGTTGTCATGCGGTCCTTCAAAATGGCAGACGATGCCGCCAATACCATTCGTCCTTGGATTTCACTAACCCGACTGACGCAGGCGGTTCCAAAGTATTGGACATCGACCAATGTTTGAATCATGGATCGATCCCGACAGACTAACCAGCCAATACTGATCCCACAACCTCCCCATGGTTTGGACATGGTCACCGCTGATATTCCCTTTTCGTAGGCATTGGCCATGGAAGGGATGCGCAACGACGACGACGACGATGAGGTAGTATGTATAGTCTTGCTCCCGTCAGTATCATCATGGTCGTGTTCCAACAATCGATAGACTTCGTCACATAGAATGACAATATCGTGTTCTCGACAGATCTCAATTACTTGCGCCTGAAGCTCCCTGCTCATGATGATTCCACTAGGATTATGTGGCTCATTTAGAATTAGAAATTTGGTGTTGGGTTGCATGGCTTCCTTCAGTTTTTCCGGATCGACTTGCCAATTGTTTTCGGGTGATCGTGGAATCTGAGTGGTACCCTGTGAGGTCTTGGCCCAGTCCGGAGATTCTACCGTCGACTGATATCCAGGTGTAAAGACAATGGAATGGCAATCTCTAGCAAATGCCAATGCGGCAGTCTGAAGAGCGACTTGGGCGCCAGGAAAGACCAATACATTGTCGGCTGTCATCGGCTCTTGATCCTCATTCTTGTCTTGATTGTAAACCACATTGGCAATATCTTGTCGCAGATCAAGAGATCCTCCATTTGGAACATATTCCAAGTCATGGTTCTGATACATTTCCAACAAGTCATTGTGGCATGACGATGAATCATCCTGTTGAACAATAAATTCGACCAGTTCTGGTTGCGACAATGGCTGAGCAAAGGAATTGGAGAGGCTAAACTTGGTGCCTTTGAATTCATGCTTGTGTCGTTTCGACCATGGCTCTTTCATCTTCTATTTTTTTATTATGAGCTGCCTGGATTGTGGATTGATGAACAAGGATGTATAGTCTCTATAATAGCAGGAGCCATAAACTATATTACCATAATATAGCACAAGCAGTGCACTATTGTCCTCGTGTTGTTGTGCATCCCTCCAATCCGTAGCGACCGGCGGACGATCCAGGCAGTACGTGTACCAGCAGTATTCAGTACAAGTATCATCCAATAACGCACGCGCAGTTCACCATGCTCTCAATGTTCGTCTGCCAATCGTGCGGATCCAAGAGAGAAAATGTCAAACCCTCAGTGAACAGCCAAATTCTACGTGATTTTGTGTGGCGAGAACGCTGGTAGGCATTTTCTGTAGAAACTGCGAGGTCGAGAACGAAACTACGAGGTCGAGAACGACCAATTTCAACATTTCTACGGACCGTTTCTACCAGCGTTCTCGCCACGCAAAATCACGTAGAATTTGGCCATTCACCTGAGGTTTGACATTTTCTCTCTTGGATCCGCACGATTGGCAGACGAACATTGAGAGCGCGCGTGCACACGATTGATTGACAACGCATCACAACGCGATGTGGATGATGCAAGAAAGACATGAGAACAATGATGGGATGAAGTGGTACCAGGTACTATGACCCAGCAGCCATCAAGTGAAAATAAATCAGACGCAAGCTCCCGCCCGTGGAAATGGCGTCCAATGCGGGGTTACTATTGATACAAGAAATGGCTACTCAAGAAGTTTGGAAACCTCCTAGTAGTACTACTACTATACTGTACAGTAGCACCACTCAATCCGATCAAGGCATCGTCGTCGTTATTGCGTGATCCATGCGGAATGATGGTAATGTCGACTGATACACTGGATTCAATTCAATTTAATGAAAACGACTGTATATATCTGACGGTCGTGACACGGAAGGAAACCACTGTATGCATTTGAACATAGCATGCGAATTATTATATTTGGATTTTGGAAAGATTCATTTATTCGGCGGTAGACAGACAGGCGATGTTTCATAGTCGAGGGATTCGACCAAGTTTGAATCGAAAAAACGACACAATAAAACACAACACCACAAACAACTACTTCCTTCCATTGTCATTGGAAAGCCTATCGCTCTCTGAAGGTTTGTAACAGCAAGATTCAAGTTGAAATCAGCTCATCCTGTACAATACTAACTACCCGACGCTTTGTGCTTGCTGCTTGCCTTGCAGTTTACTCTCTTTCCTGCCTCCAAGAAGTTGTTTTTCCATTCGAAAAACCATCCCCATTCGAAAAACCATCCTTTTCCGACACCACATGATGAATCCAACCGAATCGACCAACCCCAACGAGCACACAAGTTCACCTACAGCCGAAGGCTTGTCACGGCTTGTGACGCCCTCCAACCGTCTAGAAGCCAATATTGCATTCCGTTATGCCTTCGTTGTTCTCTATATGGTTTTCGTCGTCTACCAGATTGGTATCATTCTGGAATCCGAAAGGCTGGACAACGGAGCAGAAAGTCCTTCCGAACATGCCTTTTGGGGAGGCATATTCCTCGCACATTTGATTTGGGTAGTTTCGCATTGGTTGCTCCCTGCCTACTACAGAGACGATTCGGAGATGAAGAACGGTTTCGGCTGGAGCCCCGCTATTTGGATCGCGCAAATCGTGCTGTCTGGATTCGTTGTTGCCAGCGCTGGACGCTGCTATGTATACCAACAACTATCTTTCCTTGGAATGATTGTCTCTCTTGGTGCAACTGAGACTATTTTTATCATCACAAAAATTGATATTTTGAGTGTTGTTCAGCAAACACCTATCGAAGACTTGTATAGGCATGTGATGCCCTCCAGCCGTCGAGAAATGATTATTACATTATGTGTGGTCATCACAACCTTCTACACTTTGATCATCCTCGAATATGAAACCCTGGTCTCCAATGTTCGCACCGGAAATAATGACGTATATGCCTTTTGGAAAGTCCTCTTCTCCGCACACTTCTTGATTTGGCTATATTTGGATATTTTGTTGCTTCCTTCCTACCGAGACGACTCGGAAATAAAAAACAGCAGGATTTGGATCTTGCAAGTTGTGTTTTTTCAATCATTCTGTTCCATACGCTACCCTTTTCTTGGAATGATTATCGTTCTCGGTGCACCTGAGATTGTTGTTTTCATGACAAAAATTATGACCAAGATTGATGATGTATGGGAAAATTGGTAAATTGCTCGATCCCTCGGTTCTAGTGTAGTTGCGGCAGGTCTTCCTTCCGCTTGCTTGCACATCGGAAAACGAGAACGAATGAATTGTAGTAATGATTGACGTACGGCTTTTTGGATTGGTTCCGGACCGTCCACTTATTGCTTGCGCAAATCACAAAACGAGAAATGCATGTATGGATGAATTGTAGTTGATGTACTAGGTACTCTTATTATTCATTATTCAACGAATTGAAACCTTGCGGTTGTGTAGTAATGAACAACAAGTTCTTAGTGTGGGTAGTAGCTACCATCCTGATTCGCTTCCTGGACGAGCGAGGCTCCCCCGAACTAATATTGCATTGTGGTCATTTTGAATGCATTGGACCAGATCGAACTCGGCGTCCAGAGTCCTATGATGCGAACATACCCATCTTTGCAATGCTGCAGGATGTTCAATCGCAACGACAGCAGGGGAAAAGGTCGCGTCACAGCTCCGCGAGCTATTCCCGACCATAATTTCAAATTCAAGAATTGTCCGCTGGATGATTGATTTACGGGGAGGGGATGAAAGAAGGGAAGCGGATCACGAATGAATGAATGAATCAATCAATCATCCGAAAAGATGCCACACCACGTCATCTCCTGTTTTCTCGTCATCATCACTCATCGATACTCGATAGATACGCAAACAGTCAGTCAATAAGAAGTATAACATCATCCGCAAGTCACATATTGAATATAACCATGCGTCACTATTGTACTGCGTCCACACATAACTTGGATAACGAACGATAGACTATTATTAATCTCTTGTCGACATGCCCATATCGGTTGATGCTGCTTCTTCTGTTATTGCCAATCTGGAAAGCAATAATTACACTTTGGATCATCACCACGGCCACCTTGGCAATGACGAACAATAAGGAAATAGTAGTAGTATTAGGAGAGGCACCGCCCCCGAAACCTCAACCGCCATCAGCGACAGCATCAGCAGAATCCAATTCACGACGACGACGACGACGGCGACTGATATGGCATCGCCGTGATCTTCGTTTGCATGACAATGAGCTATACGCAATATACAATGAGTTGAATAGTATTAATAGTAGCCCCAATCATAATAAGGGTGATGATGCAGAGGGCTGCGATCATAATGAATCATTGTCATTCGAATGCATCAGCCTCTTCATTTTCGATCCAAAGTATTTTCATCCACAACCAAGCTTGGCATGTCCCAAGGAATACGATACGATTTGGTGCGGCCCTCATGCAACCCAAGCCACTATTGAAGCAGTACATGGACTTCGACAGAAACTTCGGTCCATTGGCGGGGAGCTCCTTGTTCGGACAGGCGATCCAACCAGTTTGGTACCACAGCTGGCAGACGAAATCAAGGCAGATGAGATTGTCTTTGGAGAAGAACCAGGGACCTACGAACGAGCCGTTGCGCAACAGCTACAGCAACATCATTATTGGAACCAAAATCCATGGGGAAGCTACGACGATTCTCCGCCTTCGTCGTCGCTTGAGTTGAAGAGTGTGATCGGTTATACTCTCTTTCATCCCAATGACCTCCCCACGGATCCTGATCAGTGGAGCAAGCTGGCGCATCCAAAGCAACAAACGTCGAAAAAGAAGCAAAAGAATAAGAAAAAAGCAGTCCAACAAACCCGTCCTAGCAATCCGACTACTGCTTTTGGAAACAGAGTGGACGTGTCGCCAGAACGCTTCAAGGGAATCTGTCGAATCATGGGAGACTTTCGAAAGGCAGCTCGGAGTAGCGCCAAGGTCCGGCCACTCTACCAGACGCCAACAAAGCTGAATATACCATCTACAGCTGCCAATATGGAGAGTGGAACGATTCCAACGTTGAATGAACTAATGGCGCCAGCATTGAAATCGGAACGACCAATCATGGGAATGGAACGAGATCTGCTGGTAGCTGTTGTCGACAGAATTACTCTTGATAGAGAATCACAGCGTGAAGCAATTGCAGACAAGGATTCGTCCAGACAGGTAGATAATGGTCCACCAGCTGGACATTCTTCACGACCAAAGCGAACGGAAGATGCCGCGTTGCAACGACTCGACGACTTTATTTCCTCGGGACGAGCGGCGGTCGCAGATCGGAGTCGAGCCGATGTCGCGACTAATGATCACAGCTCGAGATTTTCGGTTCATTTGGCACTGGGAACCCTTTCGCCAAGAGCAATCTATTGGAGAGTAGTCCAGCAAAATGACGACGAGGAACACGCCAGCTGTCAATGGCTGGCGAGCCATTTGGAAATGCGAGATTTCTTTCTCTACACTGCCTTTGCCAACGACAAGTACCTCTTTTCTACCAAAGGAATTCCTAGAAGCAACAAGAGGAAGCAGCCTCCCAATAGCAAGAACAGGAAGAATCAAAAGAACAGCAAAAATGTAATTCTCAAAGAAGACGTTGGAGATGCGAATGAATCCTCACAGATTATTTGGAAGAGCCCCGCTGTCTACAAATCTACTTGGATACGTTGGGCTACTGGAAATACCCACTTTCCACTCATTGACGCTGCAATGAGAGAGCTAATGACCACAGGATACTGTTCGAACCGAGTTCGACAAAATGTCGCAAGTTTCTTGACGAAGGATTTGCAGATGGACTGGCGGGCTGGGGCAGAATGGTTTCAGTTTTGGTTGGAAGATCATTGCGTCGGGGCCAACTATGGGAATTGGTTGTACTTTTCGGGGGTCGGTCCAGATCCCAAGAATCGACATTTTCGTAGCCTCTCGCAAATGAAAAAGTATGACCGACATTACAATGATGCACCATCTGGAAGCTACGTGCAAAAGTGGGTCCCAGAGCTATTGTGTGACGGATCGAGCGATAATCCAGAGACCTTGTTCCGGCCTTGGGATTTCAATGTTCCTGGATTTGAGGATCCCATCGTTGATCCAACCTCTCAATACATCTGGCAAGATGCACAACGTCTCGCAGAAACAGGAAATCTGTTGGAGTGAGGTTGGCATTGTACTGTGAAGTTGGCCTAGACCGCTTCAGCAAGGTGTGGCTCCCCATGACATGGAAGTGTGCATTGGCTGTCGCACCACGAAACTTTTTATAGCAAAGAATCGAAGCTAAGCAGATGTAATACTAAAATATATCCCTACTAAAATCTGGCATGATGTGATCGGTTATGCCCCTATGTAGAATGCATATATGCGTGCTCCACGTATTTCTGTTGCTGTATCATGAACGATTCCACACAACAATCAAACAGAAGCTTTCGATCACTTGATGAGAGTCTATCAAACTGATACTGAGGGTCGTCTTGGAGCACAATGAAAATTCGGTTCATGGCGTCGTGAAGCGGGTATATGTCGGATGCGAAAACCGCTTCCTTGGAAACTTTCCCAATAAACCATTTCACTTCTTGGGCAAACCGTTCCACTTCTTTCACCTTCTGATCATGATCCAAGGTGCTAAAGGATGATGTAAACCGTGGGTCCTTGCTAGCTTCCCCTCTTTGGTTAATTGGAAGGCGAGGAGGTAAACGAACGGAATCGTCACCAATATCATTTATCTTGTAGTGGTCGACCACAAGCGGACGCTGCAATAATGCCGATGGATATTTTTCTCTCATAAATTTGCCTTCCCCAGACGGTTCCTTTGATCCATCCCGCAAGAGTCGTCCTCTCCTGCTGGTGCCATGATCACGAACCACAAACTGGTCCTGGCGGCGCAACTTGGGGTGCATCGGCTGAAAATCAGATCTGGTTGTTTTGATGTACATGATTACTGTTCCTTACAAATAATTTGGATATTGTGAGCCGTTGATTGATGGCTTTGGACTTTGAAAGTCTGATCAAGAAGCAAGCAGCTGATATGATAGAATAGCTTTCATTCTGAATAAGATACTATATACTGTATGTTCTGATCGAGATGAGTCCCGCATGTCTCGTGATTAAATTGTTATTCAGGTCGTGCGAGTCAAAGATCCTGATTGAACATCATGCATCGCCAAAATCCTGTCTTTCCATTCTATAAAAATGAATTGCCTTTTAATAGAAGTATGAATATTATCGTACAAAGAAGTCGGAATGTCACAAAGTATAGTTCAGAAAAATATATTCTATAATCAAAACTGGCTGACTAGGCCTATGATACTGATCTATTGCATTTAGGCAACAGGCAGATTTGTTTGCTCCGCGTATTCCTGTTGCTGTTGCATGAAAGATTCCACACAACAATCGAAGAGAAGCTTTCGGTCATTTTGCGGCAGCTTTTCGTACTGATATGTTGGGTCTTCTTGCAACACCATGAAAATTCGGTACATGGCAACGTGAAGTGGGTAAACCTCGTCTTCGAATTCCACTTCCTTGGATACTTTCGCGATGAACCATCTCACTTCGTCGGCATAGCTTTCCAGCTCTTCCACCTTTTGGTCATCGTCCAAGCTACTAAATGACGACGTAAACCGCGGGTCCTTTCTAGCTCCCCCGGATTGAGTAATTGGAAGACGTGGAGGTAACCGAATGGACTCGTCACCAGCAAGATCGTTCAGCTTGTAGTATTCCACCACGCGGGGACGCTGTATTGATGCTGATGGATACTTCTCCTTCATGAAAGTACCCTCACCGGACGGTTCCTTCTTTGGGGCTTCCAACATATTACGCAAGAATCGTCCCTTGCTTTTGCTGCCTGGAACCGCAAACTGTTGGTCACGACGTTCCAACTTCTTGAGACGCATTGAACGAAGACTTGATTCAGATCTGGTTGCTTTGATGGTCATGATTATTGCTTTTTATTTGGATACTTTCAAAAATTGTGAGCTGTGTTTGATGGATCGGTTCGGATACCTTTTTTGCTCTGAATTCTGATCAAGAAGCATATTTTTTAAAAAAGATTCTGGTTCCTATTCCGATTCCGATCGTATAAGTCGTGACGAGCGTAAGTACTACCTACTGGACTACAGGAATTCCGGAAACCATATCAGGTTTATACTACTCGTAATAATGTAGACTGTTGTAGCATCTGATTTCCGATTTTACGACGGTGTGTCAAAAGATCTCATGATCTGATTTGTACTTTTTATATGGTGGTAACGACGTCGTACCACTAGGCTATGTGCAGCCGCCCGCTCGAGCAGCCAATATGTTCTTGCCCGCCTCCTTGGTTTTCTTTTCTTGTTCTTTCGTTATATGCATCGTGCTACAGTTTTGGCTACCGGTACCGGTATCGCTCAAGAAGAAGTGGAGATGGCACAAAAGGCACAATTGTTCAGAAAAATGTATTATATTATCAAAACTGGCTATGCGGTACTTGGTACGTCATACTCCTGGTCGATTACGTTTAGGCAGAATCCAGATATGTCTGTTCTGCGTATTCCTGTTGTCGTCGCATGAAAGATTCCACACAACAATCAAACAAAAGCTTTCTATCACTTTGTGGCAGCTTATCATACTGATAAGATGGGTCTTCTTGCAGCACCATGAATATTCTGTACATGGCAACGTGAAGCGGATAAACCTCGTTTTCGAATACCACTTCCTTGGACACTCTCTGGATGAACCATCTTACTTCGTCGACATAGCTTTCCAGCTCTTCCACCTTTTGGTCATGGTCCAAGGTCCTGAACGATGATGTAAACCGCGGGTCTCTCCTAGCTTCCCCGTTTTGGGTAATTGGAAGCCGAGGAGGTACCCGGACGGAGTCTTCACCCGCAAGATCGTTTAACTTGTAGTATTCGACCACGAGTGGACGCTGCAATGATGCTGACGGATACCTTTCTCTCATGAAAGTGCCCTCGCCACTTGGTTCCTTGGAGCCATCGACCTTGCGCAACGACATTCTCCTGATTTTGTTGCCTGGGACGGCAAGCTGCAGGTCACGACGTTCCAACTTCTTGGGACGCAATGAACGAAGACTTGATTCAGATCTGGTTGTTTTGATGGTCATGATTATGGCTTTTGATTCGGATACTTTTTAAATTTGTGAGCTATTTGTGATGGATCCGTAAGAGCCGTAAGAGCTTTTGATGACTCACAAAGAAGATGAGAAGAATACTTTTCCAAGTCCCGCCGAACGCAAGTCGTGACGCGCGTATGTACAACGGTACAGTAACGCCGGTAACGAACCGTAACCAAGTGAAATATCAAAAGGAATTCGGACCTCGTGTGACCTATCCGACCTTCTTGAAGATTCCGGATTCCTTTTAGAATGTTGGTGTCAAACTTTGGACCGCGTCATCATCAGTGACACCCAACATCAATGTGAGAAAGAGAACGCGTCGTTGAAAGACGACACCTTTCATGTACCTTACCACTGTGATGCATCGGTTTCTTCCTTGACACTCGTCTAAGAAAGATTCTATTGTGATTTCATTCATAATTCCAAGCTAGGCTTCTTGAAACAACAACAACAAGAACCTCCCAATATCAATCACCAAGCATACTCTTTCCCTCACCAGCCAAAATGATGGAATACAAGTCTGAAAGCTTTCACATCCAAGTCCATGCACCTCCATCCGATGCGGCAAATGAGGTTCTCTCTACGGATGCTCTTCGATTTGTCGGCTACATGTGCCACACCTTCCACGAACGTCGTCAGAACTTGCTCGGCGCTCGAAAGCAACGTGCCAAAGAATTCGATGCTGGCGAGACTCCCAAGTTTCTGAACATTCCAGCCGTTCAAGATCCCAACTGGAAGTGTGCTTCAATCCCATCTGATGTACAAGATCGAAGAGTGGAAATCACTGGTCCTGTCGACCGAAAGATGGTCATCAATGGACTCAACTCAGGCGCATGTGTTTACATGGCCGACTTTGAAGATTCTACATCGCCAACCTGGAAGAATTTGGTTGAAGGACAATTGAATCTACGAGATGCAGTGCAAGGGAGCATTTCTTATACCAGCTCTTGTACTGGGAAGCACTACTCCTTGGGTAAAAAGACAGCAGTGCTGTTTGTCCGACCTCGAGGATGGCACTTGAACGAAGCACATGTCACTGTCAATGGAAAGCTTGCATCCGGTTCCATCTTTGACTTTGCACTCTACTTGTTCCATAATGCCCAAAGATTGATCACCAAGGGCAGCAGACCTTACTACTACCTGCCAAAGTTGGAGTCTCACCTTGAGGCACGATTGTGGAACGACGTGTTCATCACAGCACAGCAGTACTTGGGACTACCCATTGGAACCATTCGTGCCACGGTTCTCCTAGAGACAATAACAGCTTCCTATGAAATGGAAGAGATTCTCTACGAGCTACGAGATCACAGTCTTGGCTTGAATTGTGGCCGATGGGACTATCTCTTCTCCTATATCAAGAAATTCAAGCTTCACCCCGACAAGATTGCTCCAGACCGGTCGTGTCTGACCATGGAAAGTCCACTCATGGAGGCATATTGTAAGCGAGTAATTTACATATGCCATAAGCGAGGGACCTTTGCTATTGGTGGAATGAGTGCTGTCATTCCAAGAAAGGATGATGCCAAGAAGAATGAGATGAATTTGAAGTGTGTCGCCAACGACAAGGAACGAGAAGTCATCTTAGGACACGATGGCACTTGGGTGGCACACCCAGCGTTGGTAAAATGTGCACGAGATATCTTCGATAAGCACATGTTCGCAGCGAATCAAATCGAATCCAAGCCGATGATGGAAGGAGCCAAGGTTACAGAAGCAGACCTACTTCTCTTGCCTCAGGTACCTGATGGCAAGGCCATAACCAGCAAAGGTCTTAAGTGTGGGGTGAAAACTGTGCTTCACTACACCGAGGCCTGGATCCGAGGCGTCGGTTGCATTCCACTGAACCATAAGATGGAGGATGCTGCGACTGCCGAAATCAGCAGAGCCCAAATCTGGCAGTGGCGGCATCATGGACTAGTGACTCAAGATGACGGCGTAGTAATCACGTCACATCGGATCTCAAGTTTGGTGGATAATGAAGTCGCAATGCATACCGGTGGGAGATGGAAGCTTGCAGGCAAACTCGTAAGTGGAGATAGAAGAAGGCGATCGTTCAAAAGTCATAACAAACAAACAATCTTACGCATACGTTCCCATTGTTGCAGGTGAAGGAAATGCTGTCACAACACGATAGGCTAGACGATTTCTTGACCACAGTTTGCTATCCCTACATCGTGACCACACATTGTGAAGAGAGGAGAGCAAGACTGTGATCCTGGCAACGTCATTGTCAAACTGTAGCCTAAAGTGTTGTACATTGCGCAAAAGAGTAAAATAAAAAGATATCATAACTATCATAACACTTTCGTTTTATCGTGTTCCTATCAAATTTGACTTGTCTTATATCTTCTAAGCTTTTGTCAGCTGGGTTCCTGCGACCAGCATGACCTTTCCAGTGTCCAGGTTTTTTAACATCCATTTTCCCTTCATTGCTTGACGCCTAATTTCCCCTTGTACAGGCCCACCATCAATATCAACAATGTCCCCGGCGGCAAAGTCGTCACCATAGTCGAATTTGGAATTATCCACGATAGCTTTAGGATTGGTAGTCTCCAATTCCATTACCATTTCCTCATCCAACATTTTGTGCATTTCTTCCACGGTGAAAGTATCTGCCGGTTTTTCACAAAATTTCATGACGAGAGCCTTTTCTTTCAAATATGGCGCAAAGGTCAACACCCAACCTTCTGGATCGATCTTATCCACATAGTAGTTCCCGTCCCCTTCCTTCTTGAATGTCAGACCGATGTAATCACTCTTGTTTGCCTTGTTGATTCTACACCAGTCAAAATCTCCCCTGTTCATTTTGTACCGCATTCCGCCATGATCATACGTCTTCTCCTCCTTCTGTGGCGGTGCTGGCGAAAGTGCACGAACCTTGGACTTCCTTTTCTTCTTTGGCTTTTTAGGCTTGGCCCTGATCTTCAATTCCAATACAGCATTATGTTTAATTCTGAGGTCGAAGAGTGTGTCTTGCCTTTGGTCTACTTCGTCCTCGTCGTCACCAGATGGAGTCAATCGTTTTCCATGATACCACAAGTCCTGGTTTTCAACTTTGGTTCCTTGTGCTTTCTCCAATTTCTGCTGAACATAAATGAGCTTGTCCATTCGATCTAGATGAGTAATGACTATCGTCTCGTCATCTTTCTTCTCTCCTGGTGGATATACAACTTTGACTTTGACTTCTTGAGGCAACTTGACTAAATCCAAAGTTTCCTTGGTCTTGATCCCCAAGTAATGCAGGGTTGGCCGGTCATCGGCAAGAAGATTTCCGTCGTGACTCAATTGCTGTAGGAACATAAGAATCTTGGTCTTGTCTTGAATTCTCTTCTTTACATCACGGATGGTGTCTTTCGGCAGGACAGTAAGCTCGCACAAGACTTCCGAGTCTGTCTCGCCGTCGCCACGGTCGGGTCCCTTTTGCAGTCGGATGGTCAGCACCATTTCCTCTACTGATGTCAGTTTAACACGGTGAGGTGTCAAGTCGATCATATCCCCTTTCTTGTAGATATGACACTCCATCAGGCTCCTGTCTGGCTCCGTCAAATTGGTACCCATAAAGTCCAAGTATTGAATATCTTTAGGAATTCCCTCAATCTCTTGAATTCTAAGCTTTAAGTTGTCCACAGTGTTGGTGACAAAGTTGATATTCTGAATGGTAAAGACTTCGGATGTTGCCAAACGGATTTGAACTTCCATCTCTTCGACTTCATTGTCAAATTCAAACGTGTCGCCATGAAGAATCCCAGCTTCTCTTAGAGTGGCGTCATTATCGGTCAGTTTCTGTCCCTTCCAAAAGACGTTTTGATCTTCCACCAAGACATGAGATGTCTGTTGAATGTGTCGCTTCATGAGATGAATGGTGTCATTTGGCTCTGCTGCCTGATTGAAGAGAAGTTTTCCGGTCGGTTTGTGGACGACAGAAACTGTCAGGCCATCTTGAATATCAATCGTATCATCATGCTCGACTCCATTGGCACCAATGGTATCATGTGGGTCATCTAGAAACATTTGGAAAAAAACTACGCGTTGTTCGTACGCTGGAATGTTTGTCTTTTGCTCGATCATATCCTTCATCTCCTTGACGGTCGTGTCAGGGTGAATGCCGAGATCCAACGTGACAGTTTGGCCTTCATTCCAGTTGACGTGCTGAATGTGAACACGAAAAGGTTCGTATTCAAGGATATCATCGTCTTTCAATTCGAGTTCTGCCAATGTTTTGTTGTCATCTCCCTTTGTCAATGAATGCAATTCCTTACGTCCTTTCCGAACAGCCACAAATTGACACTGGGTGGGGATTTTGGATTCTTCCTCCAGACGCTTCTTCAGATCTAACAAAGTGTCTTCCCCTTTTACTTCAAATTCTCTCTTGCGTCGTCGACTGTCGACGATAAAAAGCTTCATTGTTGATGATAGCACAACGCACTCGAGGGTATGTTTGAGTTGAAGTGCCCTGAGTTGTGTGGAGCATGTATTAACAGATTCGTCGTCGCAGTCTTTTTGTTCTAATATTTGCTTACGTATTTTGTATTATCCAAACGCTCTTCTTCCTTTGTGACCGTTGAAATGACTGCGTAAACCGCGGTACTCAAGGGCGCGTTTTATTTAATAGGTCTTCTTGACAGCAAGATTGGCCACATATAAGAACCAAGTTTCGCTGATTGTTCATCGCGATAAAATCAATCATTTTCTCATGTCTCGCACCAACTCTCGCACACCATCAACCAATCCTGCCAATCACCAACGATGTCTAACAGTTGATTTGTCTCCGTCTGCGAGTTGCCCGTCATGATTGTGCATGTTGACATCGATCTTTGGAATCAATCAATCATGACACGATGACCGCACGCATATTGAAGGCGCAAAACGTACAACTTCTTGTTACTCAGTTGACAGTATGCGGCACATGAATGTGCTGTTCCTCTTTTTTGCACTATGCCTGGTGTCTGTGTCCATTGCATCTTCACCTCATCTATTATTGAGTGTGAAGAAGAATAGAGCCTTCTTTCGCCTGAAACGAGCCAACCCTTTTGTCAGGAGGTCCAATTTTAATGGATCGGCACAAAGATGGTCCGAAATGATATATACCACAAGAGGAGGGTCATCGTTGGGACTTACTACCAACGAGGGGGGAGTGCTGTGTGACCTACCAGATCAGGTGGATGAAGCTGCCATCCAACTGCTTGTGGACGAAATAATCCGAGACAAAGATACCAACATACACCTACTTCCAGACAGCATCGAATCTAGACTTTACCGCAATACTGTGAGGCTGACATTGAATGCGATTTACAATGTGCTCAAAAGTACGCATGGAACCGAATTCATGCTGGGACACAAGTTCAGATTGAGGCACTATCCAGTAACATTAGGGAAAACTGAAGCCTTTCGTCGGGTCGCCAAGTGCAACCATGTCAATGTGAAAGTCTTGGAAAAAGTGGCTGACCGGTTGCTCAAGAACAAGAATATTAATCAACCTTTGATTCCTGATGTTTTGGAGCGTCAGATATACATCAACTGCCTAAAGGTGGTCATGCGCATTTTGGATATCTTACAAGGGAGTCTGAGGATAAATCTTTGCGGTCATTCGATTGGATTGTTCTTGGAGAATAGTACAATGCCGGTGTCCATGCCTCCTGTAACTAGTATGGAACGTGCATCATCGGTAATCTCCAAAATCACTCGAGAAGATTTGATACGATACCAGCACGAGGCTGGTGTCATGGAACCCCATGGTGGCTGGCTATCCTTTTTGGGCAAGGGAAAGCGTGCCATGGTAAATCAAGTGCACGCTACCATGTTTGGTTTGGTGGTTCAGATCGTCCAAGACATGTTGGATCAAAGTACCATTGAACTAGTAGGAGTTGGCGAGATTGTCATGGATTTGGTACCCGCCTCACACCCTGATATGGCGCAGACAAGACCCACATCTCAACTACATCATTCAAGACTGTCAGCGAAGAAACAATTGTCAACCTTTGTTTCTGGTATGGGTATCGGCGCGGTATTGGTAGTCTTGCTGCTTAAGCTATTGGAATCTCCGGATGGTACGATCAACATCGGTCACTGCATACGAAACCTTCGGAATGCAGTGTCCAACCTATGGACAAGGCTGCGATCGTTTATACTTGGACTGGTGGGCAGGAAATGAAAAAGTATATGATTGAATGGCGACATTTCTCGCAAATTCGCCCTTTGTCCAACGACGACGAATGTCGCAGCACGACGAGTCCCAGATCGACGACATCAGCAGTTAGTGAAGCATTCTGAACTTGATTTGCGCCCTATAGTAAAGCTTCAGCTATTTAACTAAATATCTCAAAGTACCTTCCGCCAAGACTGTTGGTCCTTTCTTTTTCCCCGAATTCGGCTTCATCAATTTGACTCGAATCAACGCATGATTATTTTCCGTGAATTCAATAGTCTCACTTTCAATGGTCAGAATCTTTTGCCCACGGCCAGCAGAAAGAAACTGGACCTGAAGTGATTCCAAGTAAAACTTAGAGTCTTTGAAGAGAGAGTTTGCATACGACTCGCCAACTTTTTCCATGATCATCGCAGTGCAGCCTATGGAAAAAGAAATGGTTCAGATCCATCATATTGCAAGAAGCTTCTCAAAAAGTAGCCAACAAACTGAGTAACAACTTACCTCCATGGAGCGTTCCAAACGGATTCTTGTGATCATCTGTCATTGAGAACTCGCCCTTTCCGTCGGAAACAATTTTCAGTCCAGAATCGACAGCCTTGTGGGCTCCAATGTTCTCATGAGCAGTTGGCGAAGGAGGAGGAAGTTGTTTGTTGATAATTCCAGACACCCATGGTGACATCCACATCGGAAAGTATGATATCAAAGTGTCCATCATAATATTACCAAACGGCATGTACTTGACATGTGTCGAGTATCCAATGAGCTTATTGTCGGAAGATCTGATATCCGTTCTTGTGTGGGAAATGGTACGACCATTTTTGGTGAGTGTATTGATGATGTCCAAATAATCTTCGTCATCATCATCAGCTGACGTTGAGGACTTGATGTTCTCCGGATACCATTGTGTTTGAAAGAAAAGACTAGCTCCCGCTGGTTTCCCTGCAGCACCCATCAAACCGGCAGTCACCTCGTCCATCAACGCAGTGCCCAATCCTGGTGTCAGCTTATCACTTGGCGCTAGTTTGTAGCGATAGGAAAGAAAGTTTTTCGATACTGTAAGCCGGTCTGGATCATAGGTCTCATAACAGAGCCCCAATGCTGATTGGAAGTTGTGCATGGATTCACCAGGCTTGGGTTTGCGATTCATGCGGATCAGAAGATAACCTTGCTTGACAAAGTTCATGACAACTTCCTTCATCGCTTCTGGTGTTTTTGGTGCTTTCGGCATTGTAGCTCGGATCATCGTGATGAGAGAGAGCGGTCCTAAGACAATTGCAACGCCGACTGGGATCAGATAATCCATTGAATAGGGTGTTGCTGGGATTCCGTGTTGTTTTTTTCTTCTCCAATGTTCATCATCCTGTCAAAGTTTGATCTTGCAGGATGCGCGATGTTCTTTGGAATACTTTTTTTTTTACAGTGTGGTGACATGGAAAATACGTAGACGACATTTTGGGGACATCACAAGCATCACGTTATTTCTCATTTTTATTATGTAAACAAGAAGAAGAAGCTACAATAATATTGTAGACAATGGCATGGCAAGCAGGTTCAAAAGTCCCCGTCGAAAAAGGTGCCTTTAGTCTCAAACTTCGATAATGATGAGGCATTCGAAACCTTGAGTGAAAATGTAATGGTAAAATACTAGGTAAAAATGTATAATTTGCGTTGCAACATGTAGTTAGACATAGTCTATCTTCGAGAATTGGACACATGCCGATGGGTCCAAAATCTGCGAGTCCCCTGGTTCCGTTTTCAATTGGCATCTGGGATCGTTCCAAGATACGGCAACACATGCGAAATGGCTACACTCGCCCCACAGCGAAAGCGCAAGTGATGCCTGGTGTCATGATCCGAAAGGGTCTGTTGTTCATGTTCAGCATGGAATGAGTCAATTCTCATTTTCCACAAGGCTTCCTCCAAAAGTGAAATGGATTCCAATCGCTCATAAAGCGCCAATCTGGTATAGATTGCTTTCACTCGATGTTCTCTGTCTCGTGGTTTTCGCAAGGAGCGGACAGAAGCAACGAGATCGACAATCCCATGTCTCCATGGTAGAAAACCCAAGAATCGGAGTCTGTTGAGCACTGTCTCTTTTAGCACCATTTGGATCAATCTATGCGTATTCTTGGATCCATTCCTGCATAGGTAGTCAATAGGACGGTTGTGTTGGCAGTCTTTCCAAGAAAGTGACTCGGTAGGGTATGCGTCAATGAGTGCCTGGAAAATGTCAGTACTTGGTTTGGCAGATGACGCCACAACATGAAATGGAGTCATTCTAAAGTCGTCACGCAAGTTCTCACGTGAGTTGGACTCGATTCGGTCCTCAAGCCCTTCCACTGTCGAGTTAGTTGCCTCGTAGCAATACTTGTGAACTTCGGCATGGTCGTATCGGTGCTTCAGAGCACGCTGGATATTCCAATAGTGGTACTGTTCACGAAGAACTACACATCCGGAAAAGACTTCATCTTTTGTAACGGGCTTCATAGCAGGCGGGATCGCTACATTTGAAAGCAGAACACATCCTGCAAACGCCCTGGGCTCAAACTTGGTGGAAGTTCCAGTAATCTCGACAGTAACCAGGGCAGTACAGTTATTGAACGAATGTTTGGCAACGCGCTCGACTGTTAATGGCAATCGAACAGCCTGGAGTGAGGTACAGCATTGAAAGGCTCCCCGGTCGATTACTTTTAAACCCTCTGGCAGGTCCACATCCAACAATGAATCGCAAGCGTCAAAGGCTTCCTCTTCGATTTTCTCCACCGTAGTGGGCACGGCGATCGACTCAAGCGAAATGCAGCAGGAAAAGGCTTCACTTGCAATCACTTTTAAACCTTTTGGAAGTTCCACATCGACAAGGGATGTACACGAACGAAAGGCCCACGCGCCAATGGTTTCGACGGTGGAGGGTATGGCCATCGACGTCACAGCGTCGCAATGATGGAAGGCCCCGCGACTGATTACCTTGAGTCCTTCTTGTAGAGTCACATCGGTTAGAAAACCACAGAATCCAAACGCATATTCACCAATGACTTCGACAGTGGGCGGCATGTGAATCCGCCGCAATGACTTGCAACAAACAAATGTTCCTTCGGAGATTTGTACTATCCCATGCGGTATGTCCACTTCCGTAAGAGAGACACAGCCAAGGAACGCATATTTTCCAATTTTTTTCACTGTAGATGGAATTGAAACCTTCTGTAGTGCTTTGCAGTATTGAAATGTCTCGCTTTCAATGACTCTCAGACCATTTGGCATCACAACAACTTTCAACGATGTGCAGCCATGAAACGCCCTGCGTCCAATGACTTTCACAAGTATAGGTAAGAGCACTGCTTCAAGGGAAGTGCAATCTTGAAATGCCCTTGATCCGATCGACTTGAGCTTCTTATGCATCTCGACCTTGACGATTTCGGCACATTCTTGGAAGGTGCCTGACGGAATGGCGATTGCCGAAGGTTCAATGATCACATGAGATGCAGTTCGAGGTATTTGATCCAATGGTTGCCCATAGTAGACGACGGTGGACTTATCCACAATAATACCATGGGTCCTTTTGCTTGCATCGATCATGACAAACAGAAGAGAGTATCAGCATTCGTCAGAGAAAAAATGATACCCTCCGACCCATCAGTTTGAAAAACATTACGAAAACAGAATTATTGGCCAATCGACTTCGATCAATTGATTGGCCAATACGTGTCTCAGAATAGTCTCATTCTCTCATTTTTCACACACGTCACAACCTTTTTGTCATTTTGTCATTGACATCATCAGAATTCAGCATTGCCATCACCCATCACGCACAACCGCCACGAATAAGTTCGGTTCGTGACTGAAACTGCTTGAGAATTTCAAATATCTGGTCCCAAGCAATGTTTCACTGTTCGTCTCATCATCACGCACGACGAACAACCAAAATCAAATGCTGCCATAATTTCATCAAACAAGAGAAACAGAAAGCCAAGACAAAATCTTCGAACCAAAATCTAATATTCACATCCACAATGGCAGACTTTATTCACAGTACATTGGACAATGCTGGACCCAATGGAGTTGTACTCTTCAGCAAATCCTATTGTCCCTTTTGCTCCAGGGTTAAGAAGGACCTTCAATCTATTGGAATTGTTCCGGTCGTTGTGGAATTGGATCAGCGAGAAGATGGCGGAGAAATTCAAGCTGCCCTGATCGAAATGACTGGACAACCCACAGTGCCTTCGACGTGGGCCTGCGGAAGATACATCGGAGACAGCGACGACCTTCACGATCAAATACACGTGGGGCTGTTCGACGTATTACCCATGCTCAAAGGCGACAAGCACGCCGAAAAGGCTGGAATCAAGCCATGTGGGCACCAAGATGGTTCACCATGCTTGTCTGGTGTTCACTTAAAGTAGAGCTGTATTGCCCACTAATACGAAGTAGGGATGCCATTGTATTACCATTGATCTGATAAAGACGAATAAATAAATATTGTGAGCACACGGAGCGTAGAAAATGCGCATTCTGCGTAGATCACCTTACCTTGTATTGACAACATCATACTGTAGTTGGTTCAAGCCACCAATCTTGATTTTCGTTGAGTCAATCCATTCCGCCATTCCCGTTTGGTCCCAGCCTGGTACCATTCTCGATCATCGTCTCCATCGTCCAAGTCAAATGAAATGATCACTCTTCGCTGACCACTGCCCTGTGGTGAACGGTGCACGCAAGCTCTGGATCTGGCCCATAGGCTGTCCAAGAGTGACGAGGCCTCCTTCTTCCGAAGCTCCGTGTCCGCGAAATCGTAGTAGTAGTCTCCCTTCATGACGATGAATTGACCTTCTTCGGCACTACAAAGTGCTGTCTCCTTGGTGCTGGCATCGAGTCCATCGTTGCCAAAGGTACGCAACTGAAAGTACTCCAATGGACTCGAAGGACGGTTCAAGTACTCGGTACCGACTCCACGCAATGTGGCATATCCTCGAAAGGGTGCCTTGTCTGTATGATAGGGAGGGTCTCGTGCCCGATAGTTGGAAGCGCAGACGATGCGGCAAAAGACATCGACTCGAATCTCTCCTTTTTCATCTCGAAACGACGATCCTTCGGCCATGGAGGCCATGCCAATCGCTAAATCTTGCAGTGCTACTGCGCAAGAAGTCTTATCATATTTCTTGGGAGAATCACTTGGTTGGAGACCCAACACTGACTCCAGCACTTGCAAGCAATCCTCATGGACCATTGATTCCGTAGATGATGACATCATTGACGTTCGTATTCTGGCTCGCAAATCCACATCAGAAGGTCCATTGTCCGCAATTTCATGCTGCAGCAGCTTAAGCTGAGGATCTAGATTATCAATAGATACCACACAACAGTCTTTTCGCTTGAGGTCCTGCTTGGCTCTCTTCCAGTTGTCGGTCCTAAAGGTAGTTTCGTCCAAAAGGTGCTTGTTTCTTGTTTGTGTTCTCGTTGATTTCAATGGTGAAGACTCTCGAAGACCCGGGGACTGCACGGCGGCTTGCAGTGCTTCAGTGCCATGGAAAAGGCAATAAATGAAAAGGTGTAGCAACATCGTTCCGCTTATCATTCCATACTATCCTCTTCGTTTCAAAATCGATCTGTATTGTAATTTTAAAATAAAAAGTTGAAGTTGAAATGCGATGACGATCGAGAATGTTCTGTAAGGTACTGCAAAAGGCTCTAAAACAATCCAGCTGACGACATCAATGATGAAGAATCATAATAATGACAACTGGCCAAAGATGTATGTCTTTCAAATAGACGAATAAGAGTGCCTTTCTTGCCAAGAGAATCATTAGATGAAGAATCTACAACGGCTTCTGGGCCTGAGGTTGCTCTTGCTCATTTCCCTTGTCTCGCAAGCTTCAGCAGTGCGGAAAACGAGGTTGACATGGGTCAATGGCATTGGGTACAATATTGGTCATATGCATCGAGATTCACCGACAATATCCAAGCTTTTTGGTGGAAAGGCGGTGGAATTTTGTCACAATCCAACGTTTATGACGAGTGAAGAGGACATGTTCGGTTATGTGGGAGACTTTGCCCAAGCGGGGTCGCAAAAGTTGGGACGCATTACAGCCGAAGTCAACGAATTGGTGAAGTAAGTGATTGTGATGGCGTCTTGGTACCTGAAGAGATTTTGGTTCAATCTGATGTAGAGACTATCAATGCACTAACAGCATTATTCCTTTTTCTCCTTTCTTCACGTATTGTTGGATCTCTAAAACACAACGTACCACGTGGCAGGCACTTGAAGACTGCTGTTGCTGGTGTTGGCAAAAATGGTCGAGTCCTACACATTGCCCACTCGCAAGGCGCATTAGTTACTTTGCTGGCGGCCAAGCAACTGACACTTTTGGAAATGAATCAGATTGAGATTCTGGCCTTTGGAGGAGCTGCTGCCCTTCGCAAGACACCTGAAACTCCCTTTGCCCGATGCATCAACTATTATTCAGTGAATGATCCCATCTTGCTATTGGTACCATCGGCGGTCCAAGCTTTGCGATCTGGATACATTTATGACGATAATGAATTCTGTTTTCTGGCGCCTAGGACTGGAGACCCGATAGCAGATCACTGCCTATTGGGACCAACCTATGCGCAAGCCATGCGGTGGGAAGGCCAACGGTTCCAATCACAATATCAAAGTCTGGCCTTTCGGAGTACAAGGACTTTAGTTCTCTTCTGGATGGCTATATTCCATGCAACCTGGACAAAGGCGCTGGAGATTCGTCAGTTCTTGATTACTGTGGTTGCCAAGGCATTGCTTTGGATGTGGAATTGGCTTTTACGATTGTACCAAGCTGCAATCAGTAGTATCACGTATCGTCAAGAGCAAGAGAACGAGGCCATCAAAGCAGAAAGTAGCTCCAATATTGCTTGAACATGAACATGCCATTCTTTGCCAAGCAGTACGACTGTCCACATATCATTGGGAACCAGCAAAAGTTATTCGGAAAAAGTGCAACATCGAAGGACCAGCTCCGAATACACTTACAATAGACAGCCTGCTGCTGAAGGTATATTCGAGAGGAATGAAAAAATGTGAACTCTTGAAACTGGCCATAGGCTATGGAAGACCAGAATGCGCTCGAGAGGCTCATCATTGTTGGATCAACAATGTGGTGCTGAAATTGTGTCCCAGAACGTTGATTAAAAATGAATTACTTCTTTCGTGTTCAATTCTTATACCTCACGCTTTTTTTGATGAAAGAGAATGAATTTTTAATGTGCGCTTTGAAAGACGCATCATACACCACCACTACCTTACCAGTAGGAAATACGGCAGTAGATTGTGATGATGATTCAGCAATGACAAATCGAATGGATATATGAATTGATTATTCGTTTGGTCACCAACTGCCAAACCTTATTGCAATCAATCAAACAACCACTAAAATGAAACAATCTGACGTCTCTAGCTAAATTAAATCTGTGCTGTATGTGGTATGGTGAATATTGCAGAGCACCACGCTATTATGATGTGCTACGGTACTTATGCTTCAATCGCTTCTGCCTTCATGGCGCTGGCTTCGTCCCACAAGTTTTGGAAGAGAGCTGTGGACAGGTATCGTTCTCCAAAGGATGGAATGATAACGACAATACGCTTTCCCTTGTTTTCAGGACGCTTGGCCACTTGAGTGGCTGCCAAAATGGCGGCTCCGCTGGAAATACCACAAAAGATTCCTTCCTTGGTGGCCATGTCGCGGGCCATGACCATGGCATCTTCTCCTGAAATTTGAATGACTTCATCCAAAAGAGAAGTATCGGCATTACCGGGAATGAATCCAGCGCCAATACCTTGAATCTTGTGAGGACCGGGCTTGCCACCACTGAGAACAGCAGATTCAGTGGGTTCGACGGCAATGAGTTGAAGATCAGGATTCAATGGCTTGAGGTATTGGCCCGTTCCAGTAATGGTTCCTCCAGTTCCAACTCCACCAATCAAGATATCGACCTTTCCATCGGTATCAGCCCAGATTTCAGGTCCGGTAGTCTCACGGTGGACCTTTGGATTGTCAGGGTTGTTGAATTGTTGCAACAAGAGACCGCCTTCCTTTTGGGCAATTTCTTCGGCCTTGGCAATGGCACCTCCCATTCCCTTGGCGGCAGGTGTCAAGACAAGCTTGGCGCCGAAAGCCTTCAATAGGACACGACGTTCCATGGACATACTTTCAGGCATGGTCAAGATCAAATCATATCCCTTGGAAGCAGCAACCATGGCCAAACCGATACCAGTGTTGCCGGACGTGGGTTCCACCAAAATGGTCTTTCCAGGAGTGATTTCACCACGCTTCTCGGCTTCAGTGATCATGCTGAGAGCAATACGGTCCTTGACAGAGTTGGCAGGGTTGGAAGACTCCAACTTGCAGACAATTTCGGCGCCACAGCCTTCTGCAAGCTTGTTGAGTTTGACCAAAGGCGTGTTGCCAATCAATTCCAAGATATTCTCGGCAATCTTGGCATTCAAACTACTGCTGGAAGAATGGAAGGCAGGCGAGGGGCCATGGGGAGTGACAAAGGCTTGGGCGACACCAAGAGAGGCAAGAATTAGAGCACCGAACTTCATTTTGACTTCAATAATCTAGGTATCGGTAGTGAATGAATATATTGACAGTTGAATTATCGTGATGGGGAAGATCGCATGCATGAGAAGCCGTTCGATATCTTACGTAGGAAGTAGTCTGTGTTCTTTGCACGTCACGGTCCGTCCAGCTGCCAGAGTTTTGAACCGCCAATCAAAATGTTTGGTTGCAAATGCAAATGATCAAACGAAAATGGCGGATGATTCATTCATTCAGGAGAAGAAGCGCGCTATTTCAACTTTTATCGACACGGTAGACAGCCATGAGAGTTACAGTATTATAGTTGCAAGCCAAATTGACCACAGTAACTACCTCAGCTATTTTCTTGTCTACAGGAAATACTATTCATCACAGTAGTTCACGGCGATGCAAACCAGCCAAACTGAAATCTCGAGGGTGATATCAGTTTTCGATCCAATGTGGAGCCGTCCGGCAATGAAAATGGCGCTTTTTTATCGGAAGGAGAAGAATCGTCCCCATCTTTTTTTTCTGGTGGTAGTAGTAGATAATCGAGAATATCTTGGGCACAGCAATCTGCTGTAGCATAGGCTGTAGTCCAACCCAATGTTCCATGACCAGTATGCACAAAAAGTCCCTTCATCTTCTTGCCACCATTAGTCCTGCCCACCAAAGCTCCCACAATGGGCAAATCGTCCGGACTCATGGGCCGCAAGCAGGGAATGGCAGTCTCTGGCGCAATATTGATTTTGTCTGGGGCAATATCTCCAAACAAGGCTTGCGCATATTGGTTCAGCACCCGAGGGGCCTCGGATGGTGCTGCTGCTTGTCGTTCTTGTTGTTGTCGTTGAAATCCAGCCAATTCTCCAAATCCTGTCAATCGGGCCATCCAGGGCTTGACGGAGGACATGTACAAATTGTCCATGGCAATGGCCGACTGGAGTAGCTGATTACTGCTAGAGTGGTGGTGGCCCCAGGACCGCAGCTTGGCGACTACCGCAGTATAGGAAAACCCACGGAGTGGATAGGTCGGGATTTGGCTGGCGACTCCCAAGGTTTGAGCCAAGAGGGGAGTTTCAGCACCCGCCGCCAAGACGACCACGTCCACTTGAGTAGACCTTCCACTTTCTTGCTGAATTGTATATGTTCCATTTGAGCCGTCGTCATTAGCATCATAGTCGATTCGAGTCACCTTGCCTCGATCACTGCTGTAGTCAAAGTGGACACCACCATTGTCGTTATCATCATCATCATTATGATATTGCTGGCATTTGTCCAGGAGCAGCCGGGTGTATTGTTCGCAATTGGCGGCAATGTCAAGTGGTCTCAAGACGGCATATAACGAGTCAATCGGCAATCTTTGCAACCGGGGTTCCCGCTGAATGGCCTCGTCCCACGATAGTTTCCGAGCCGGCAATCCATACTCGTGGCATTCGTCCAAGGCGTGCTGGGCCGCTTGTTCCGTTCGATGAACTGACAGCAGTCCTTCCGCGTACCAATTGCTGGTACATCCATGCTTGGGAGCAATCTCCTGTACGAATTTGTGCCGGGTCGCCTTGGCCAATTGCACCAGCGTTTGGGCCCTTGCCTTGGCGTCGGTTCGACCGCCATGGACCAAGGCGGTGTACCAAAAGTGGAGTCCAAAATTGACAAAGGCCAGTCGTTCGTTCCAAGTAGCTGGTGGTCCCAGACAATAATAAGGCTTGACGGCAAAGAATGGCGGAGGCTTGGCAAACAGCTCTGGATTGGAATGGTTTGTCTTTGTTGCCTTGTTGGATGCTTCCGCGGATGTATTGTTACTTTGTCCAAACAATTGTCGTTGCAGAGATCCTATGGCATCTTTGATTCCATTGGATAGTAGTGAGTACACCAATGGTCGAGTGCTCAAGACATGCATCGAGGCTCCCACGGCAATGGTATTGGCATTCCGAGCCGTGGCAGCTTTCCAATCGGGCCCATGCTTGTTTTGATTGAATTCCGTCATGCCACCACCCCCTTGATGGTCGCCTTCCAACATGATAATTTGCAAGTTTGGCAGCCGTGGATCATTCTTTTTTTGCAGAGACTCAATTAGACTATTCGCAACGGTGATTCCCATGATTCCTCCTCCAACAATACCAATCCTGACAGCTGCGGGCTTCTCGTTGTTGTTGGTGATAGCTGCAGAAGTGCTACTGCTGTGGTGTCGTATTGACCCATGACTGCTGCCTGTTGGCCAAAGACTTGAGAGCATCCATCCAATACCAGATTGTGATGGCGCCATCGTTCTTCTAAGAACAGTAGGCACCGGCCTTCTCCTTTTTCGCGTCGCTTCTGACAGACAGATAGATGGCCATGACGTGTGAGGATTAAGAAACTCATACGTTGCAAGTTTGGAGCTACAGAAAAGTCGGTGTTGCCGTGTCGACATTTTCAATTCCGTCCAAAAGAAAATGTAAGATGCAATAGGAGAAGAATAACATGGATATTGAATATGACCGCATATCGCATCCAAATCGATGGAGTCGAAGTTTCGAAATTCACGGGATTGGTTTTCGATGAACTGATCAATCGTGGCTCGTTTCGCGCGAGTGGACCGACAGACCCGTTTCTCTCTTCATGCAGTTTTCGACCGTCGGGACGAAGATGCCTCTAAGTGTTTCAGGGTGTTCGCAGTTCTAACATTTACGCCCAAAATTGGCGATGGTGTCGACAATCAAATGTTTCAATAATTGTGTTTTCGGGATTGAGCGTCATTGTAGCTCGCATTTAATGACATCAGAAGTGTTTTGGTCGCATTGGTTCACCTTCTCCCTCTTGGATGTAATCCTGTACCGCTTCTGGAATCGTATCACGCGTACCTGGTACGAATGGACGATCCGAGAGGTCACAATAAATCTGTCGGCCACTCCGAAACGAGAAACGCAGAAAATGCAAAAAATAAATACCAGTGAGACCGATACCACCAGTGATTTGGAACAAGCTTATAGTTCTCAAGACAGCATGGTCAAACACGTAACCTTCAATGAAATTGTCCAGTGCAGGAAGACCATTTCTCGCGAAGATTATACCGAGTTGGAAGCTCATCAATCATGGCTTTCCAGGGAAGAAATGGCGAAGATGACCGAACGTCAATTCAAGACGGCTGCGCGTATGGAATCGGGCAAGGAATCCAAGCGAGAATCTACCTACCGCGGATTGGAATGTTTGTCTGCCAAGGGAGAGGCTGAATTGAATGGGGTCATCCAGTATTGCATTGATGCTGTCATGGACGAAAACGATCGTCAATTTGATTTGTTTGAAAAGATCCAAGACAGTGAAATGATTGCCTTGGCTTCTATGGCCTGTTCGGCAGAAAGCATCCAAAAGGCCATGAGGCGGGGTGAATCCGATGCTCGTGAAGCCAAACGATGCTACCGTCGCATGAGAGACATGGAAGCTTCGGCTGGCAACAACAACAATGATTCGACTTCCTCCTTTTCGGTTAGTGATGAACATCCCTCGAGAACGATTCCCATTCTAAAGACTGGCAATGCAAAGGGCGACATTTGTGAGTCCGCCCTGCCACAAACCCAGCAAGTCATGTGCTGAGTTGGACCCTCGACAATAAGGGAGTGAATGACATATGAATGTCTGACACGATCCAAGTATGCAAAAAAAAATCACAGAGACTCAAGGTATCTTCCAGGACAAATACGCGCAAGCTATTCAAAACCTCTCCATGGAACTCGATAGATCCAAGAATCATTCATTTAGGGACAGAGATTATTGCATTGAAACTCTTGAGCACGCACGAGAGGCACACTCAACGAAGTTGTGATGATCAAAACAAGAACATAGAATAGGGGAAAAGCCAACAGCAGCACTAGACAGAGGAGATCACAGTCCTTGGCTACTGCAACACAATACTATAAAACGAAATAGACCAATCTACTTTTGAAACATGATTTGCAATCTTGAATGGATAACTAATTCACTAGACTCAAGAGTCATCTGTCGTAAATTCAGGGAAGGGTTTCAGTATAGGATAGCAAACAGTGCCCACGAGCAGCGGCTCACTCCATCTGTTCGAGCTCTATATGTAGAAGTTTCTGGCATTGTTCGTCTGATCTCATCATCAAAGGTCATGAATCTTGAGATTCGCTAAGTTTATTTTGAAGTGCTCTGCTTCATTTGGTGACTACCTCGCTCGTCACATTCTCCAACAGCACCTATACTACTCGTCATAGTTGAAGTAGCGACTAATGACAGTGGACTAGTCTGACTCTCTTCCACAGTTTTTCGTTGTATCACGAGCCAATACTTTCAAGACATGTCGATGAAGAGGAACAACTGCCAAGCACACGTCGATGAAGAGGAACAAGTGCCAATAAACGAAAGGAAGATGACTTCAACTGCTTCTCACTGTCAAAAAGTTCTCACTTTTGGATCTCAAAAAGACGGATCTTAGAATGTTCTGGAGCATGATCCTCCTTCAACTCGTCGAGGCAGAATTATGGGCCGTTTTGCATCCAGTTGTTTTACATATGCATCGGCACACTCTCTTTTCTACAGCTTCTCAAGGCTGGAGAGTGCTGCCATATCTATTTCCTTCAGGCAGAACAATGGCACTTTTGCAAGAACCATTCGGAAACCTACTGTCTATCTTCCGTCTGTGGCTGGTGAAGAAACTCTATGCATCTTCCGGCTCCTGTGAAGACTCTGAACTAAAATGCCGAGGCTTCCGAGAATTCTTCTTTTTGAGACACTGAAGCATACAACAACCAGCCCTCACAATTTGGCTTGACACCATTTTGATCAGCTGACAGAGAATTTTATGGCAAGAGAAGGAGGACGAGCAGGTACGAACCATTTTAAATTGAGAGACATCACACACCAGAAAATTGACCCATCATAGGTTAACTAATCAACTTCCTGTTCATCAAGGACGTCATGGCCAAGGTGACCATGGAAGAGGAGGGGGAAGAGGACAACCAAGGCGCCCCCGTGGCAGAGCCTACACTCGCAAAGAGTTTGAAACTGTGTTTGAAGTTCTTCGAGTGTGGCTTCCTATCACGCTCCTGAATGGATGAAATGTGCTGATCTCATCAATCAGAAACTTGAGCAACCTCGTCCATGGGACTCTATTTGCCAGAAATGTAACAACTTGATCCGTGCAGTTGAACCTTCATAGGAATTCATGCAGATGCAGGTGAAATTGGGGGAGAATGACTAGGTCGAATATTAAAAAAGGAATCAGACGAATCGAAATTTTGTTATTTTGGACTTTCGGGTCAAAAGGTGCAATTGGACTCACTCGACAGGCCCTAAATATGGAATTTCTCCGGAGACGGAGAAACGTTTGGAAAAATGGATACTGTATTCATTGCATAGTTGATTTTTTTAATATGTGCTGGTACTCTTTGTTGATTCATTCAAACGGGGAGGAGAACGGAGCGAAGAACAAGGACTTCAATGGAAAGAAGAGCGTTCGCGATTGTACCATTTACGCCCATGCTGTTCCCACAAGTTTTTTTGCGTCTTCATAGCCCCTTCCACGGGTATTGTGACCAGAAGTCTTCCGTTCGCCTTTTCCCACTATGTGCAGTGCACAGTATTCTGCCGCTTTTGGATGATTCGCCGCGTCCAATCGACCGGAAACATCACAAATCTATGAGGGCTATTAGGTATGCGTTACTCCGAAACGAGAAACACAAAATGACACTGCCACAAAAATACCAGCGATAGTCCAATAACCAGTGAGTCCAATACCATACCAGTCAACCAGAACAAGCTCATACTTCTCAAGACAGTATGGCCAAACACGTAACCTTCAATGACATTGTCCAAGCTCGGAAAACCATTTCTCGCCAAGACTATTCCGAGTTGGAAGCTCATCATTCGTGGCTTTCTCCTGATGAAATGGAAAAGATGACCGAGCGTTGTTTCCAGACGGCTGCTCGTATGGAATCGGGCAAGGAATCGAAACGAGAATCTACGTACCGAGGATTGGAATGTTTGTCTGACAAGGGAAAGGATAAATTGGACGCCGTCATCAATTCCTGCACTGACGCCGTGTTGGACGAACAAGATCGTCAATTCTATTTGTTTGAAAAGATCCAAGACAGTGAAATGATTGCCTTGGCTTCTATGGACTGTTCAGAAGAATGTAGTAAAAAAGCCTTGAGGCGGGGTCAATCCGATGCTCGAGAAGCCAAACGATGCTACCGTCGCATGAGAGACATGGAAACCTCGAGGACTGGCAAACACAACAACAATAATGGTTCCGCTTCCTCTTTTTCGGTTAGTGATGAACACTCCGCAGGAGCGATTCCCATTCTAAAGACTGGCAATACAAAGGGCGACATTCGTGAGTCCGCCTTGCCACAATTCCAGGAAGTCATGTGCTGAGTTGAGTCCTCGACACTCTATGGAAGTTTTGCACGATTCACATATGCCACAATAAGACAATCATCGTACTATATACACACACGCAGACACACGCACACAATTTAACACACACACACACACACACAAGATCGTCCAGTACGCGGAAGCTATTGGAAGCCGGTCCATAGAACATCATGATTCCAACAGTTGTCCATTGATGGACAGAGTATTTGCATTATTGACATGGTGGAGCACAAGAGCACACTAGACGAAGATGTTATGTATAATCAAAACAAGAACGAACAATATGGGGAAAGTCAACAGCCAAAGACTGGAAGAACGATAGCTCTTGGCTATTGGTTATTGCAATGCAACACTATAAAAGGAATAAGACCAATCCGCTTTTGAAACATGATTTACAATTTTGAATGAATAGTGGCTACGTTCTCTCGTGCTAGAGTATGGACCGACGAGAGAAGTGAGTCGCTCACCTGTCTTATTTGGATTCAAAAGCCCTCATGGACGGCGTTCAGTATAGTTTAGCAGACAATGCCCACTTGCGGCGGCTCTTTCTACTTGTCCCTGTTCGAAATTGAAGTCAAGAGGATAGAGTAAGCGCAATTTTACTCGTGGATAGCAGGAAGTCATAAAGCCCAACACTAGAACGTCGAGATCTTCACCAGAGTAGATAGTTACAGAAGGATCTTCGACTCTGCCTTGCTGCGAGTGAGTGACGCAAGATAAAACCATCCCAACGCCATCTTCATCCAATTCGCCTGGCGATGTGTTGGAATTTTGAATTGTCATCATGGAGTTAGAATCACACATGTCTTCAAATGCTTTGGCATACGCCTGGATAGCCATAAGCTTTTCAAAGTTCGACTCATGGGAAAACGAAGGGCTCAACCGAGGGTCATTGCGTAAAGGGAATGCTTGGGGATGCCCAAGAGTGACCCGAGAAATAGACCGAAAGGACTGCGGGATCAGCCAATCAACCATTCTGGGCCAAAACGATTGCTCTTGACGAGGAATGCTCGTTGGCCGAATATACGGAGGAATGCTCGTGGGCCGAAAAGACGGTGGAAGCATCGAACCCCTCATCGCGGGCCAAAAGGATGGCCCCTGACGAGCGGAACGCATGTCTTCACAAGATGGAGGATTATCTACACTCATGAGTGGATTCGCTCTCTCGAACCATTCCAGGATGACTTTCCACACATCCTGTCGATTGGGAACGTGCTTGGAGAAATGACGATTGATGGTGGCGACATTCCGCAGATCTGGAACAGTCAGAAAAAGGAGCGCAAACTCAATCATTTGTTCTCCCGACTCGTTTTGAGCAAGCAAAATGCTTTCGTTGCTTTTGTTATTGTTCATGGTCTTGGTGTTTCCTGGCAACAAAACGAATAGAAAAAATAGTGCGTCGAGTGAGAGTGAAAAGCCACAATCAAAAAGTAAGCGAATTATTTGCGCCTTGCTACTGGAGTGCGATGTGAGCATCCATTGGATACTATCGATCATGATTGTGATAGTAGTTCTTATCTTACCTTGAGCTGCTAATATGGTGAGAATGTCGGCTGATGGTAACTGTTTCGTTGTTGACGCCAACAGAAAAATGATTCTTGATTCTATTTTGTGATGTTTGATTCTAAGCTTTAGTCGACGTAGTCCAAATCGCAATCAAAGTACTTCCAAAGTCCTGACGTTTTGAAATTTTGAGCAAATTTTCACATAGCGTACCTGGTACTGTATTCAAATTCAAATATGATTATATCATCATCGCAAGATTTTCAATTTGCATCTCCTCTCCGCAATAATATCATACTGTACAGTTTGAAGTTGCATCCGAAAAACAACGACGATGCCACCAAAGAAGAAAGCCAAGACGACAAAGAAGAAGTCTCCACCCATGTGGCTGGTCATTTTCGACAACAACAATGGTGGCTATGACGAGCATACCATAGAGCATGCTTTGTATGATAGTCTGCAAAAGGCCACTGCTGGCGGGCTCAATCTGATGGATGCCAATTCTCCATGGGGAAGCGAGTGGCGACATGGTGTAGAAGGATTAGGCCATGAAGAGGAAGAAAATTGTCACAGCTTTGAGTACATTCCACAACTTGGTGCCTCTGGTGGGGATTTAATATCGAATGCAAATAGTGACGTCGATAGCCATCATGTAGTGGTATCCATCCGTCCATTGGAGGTAAACCCATCGAAACTACCAATTCCAAGCAGCTCGCCAGTAGAAGGTCAAGTCTTCTTCTGATTGAATGATTGTTGGAACGAAGTGTGGATTGCTTGACGATGATTTGTGCGTACGCGAAATTACAAGAGTTCAGCAGCAACCTACTATGTGTTACAACACGATTACTTCCATAGTAGTACACTAAATTAGTTGTGCTTCTGTGACTGTATGTTGCTTTGATTTCCTGATCGCAGAGCATTGCGGATCGAAGGTCATGCGTGCCTTGGTGATAAAAAGTTTGGACCAACGAAGCTTATTTCTTTATTCCAAGGAAGGAGGAAAGTGCCGACAATATCATTTCCCCTTACAATCATTGAGGATGCCGGCTTGTGCGTCGTGACAGCTAGTGTTTGGTGCCTTCTATCGAAATACGAACAGCACGTGCCCAGGGTATCAGCATAGCACAGAAACTACAGAAAGGCACCCACCCACCTTGTAGCAACCTTGAATAAAGGCAGAGTCGATACTGAATTGTCAGATGATCCAGCAACCAAACCCTTTGCTGTCCAACTGCATCCACTTCCAATCATCTACGTGCTCGCTTGTTGTCGTTGCTTGGCATTGCTCAAGTAGTCCCGGAAGCGTGGATAGACCCATCGCTCTTCCATCCCCTTTGGTTGATATTTGTTCGACAGATACGGGGTGAATTCTTTTCTCCATATATCCACATTTCGATTGGCCAACGTATTGCGATCCTCTGCCTTGCCTTGGACGGCGTGATACACGTGCATCACGAAAAAGTCCCACAGCACCCGAAATTCGTATTTCGACAAAGCCAATTCATGGGTAAAACTCGTCTTGTCCATTCCAAACCCCCGAAAGGTTTCCCAATACTTTGGTAATTCTGGACTACGGTAGCAAAGAAAATACGGCTCAAACTCGGGATTGGGTTCAATGAAATAGGAAAAGTCATCCATGAGGGTTTGGTTGGGACTGGTTCGATCGTTGGCCGTCCATGCTTTGTAGTAGATCTTGGCATGTCCCGGAGCATAGTGCCACTCCATGGCGGACTTGTTGTGATACATGGACACCAATTCCTTGCGCGTGGAGGGAGGCGTAACTCCTTGCAAAAGCGCAAATACTGGAAGAATGTAGAGCGTTTGCTGTTGGAGGGATTGCCGAAAGACGTCATCATCATTCTTCAGCTTCCTAGTCAATGTTTGGTAGGAATTGGTGGAGGGCAAGAAATCCGCATCCAACGAAATAATATAGTCACTTGGAGCATTGCTGATTGCCAGATTTCGTAGAATGTTGTGAGGATACAAAGGGGCAAGGCTTTCATTGCGTTCTCGGTAGGTTGAAAAGACAACATCATGATCACTGGTTTGGTAATTAGTCGTACGAAACCGTTGGTATTCTGCCGCCTCTTCCTCCGATGTTAGGTAGACTGCAACCGACATTGGGCCCTTCCATGATTCCCTTTGTGCAGCAAGACGATCTAGCTTGTCCACCGACACGTGCGTGCACAAGACAATCTCCAATTGGGTTGCTGTTGTCCTTATTGACGAATTTGTATTCGTCAATTCATCATTCTCTTTTTCTCCAGTGGAAACTAGCAAAAGTCTATTGGTGGTTGACGTTCGGCTCACGATAACACTATTCGGAATCTCATTGTATCCGACAATAAACGAAGAAGAAGAAGAAGAATCATCGTGTGACAGTAGTGCTGGGTGGAAGAACCATTGGCCTAAAACGCACAGAATCACCACGGTACTGGTAATAGTCAACACTAATAGTAATAACGTCCAGGCCGCCCCTCTCATTAGCTACGATATTGATTGATTCGCATTGGTATTTTTGCGAAACTGTGTGACAATCGCGCTTCAATAACGGTTTGAAAATACTACGCGTGTGTGCCTGCTTTGCTTGAACATGGACAGACAAGGAGGTGTTTGAACATGCTTTGGCGGTACGGTATGCTCATTTTTTGAGCTGTGAGGAAAGTGTCGCTCCACCCGCCCATCGATTTAGTCAGACAGGCGCCAACACACCGCTAATAGGCTTCATTCGCTGTCATTTAGGTATTCGTGAAGTTGGTGTCTGTTAGCTAAACACCAAATCGTAAAACGCTAAATAGGTTCTGGTTCATCGAATTTCGTTGCCAAAGAATGTAATCGGAGAATATTTCAACAATTATTACCCAAAATACAAAACGACACTTCTTTGAACTTCGCGCGTGAGCAGTTTGGGCAAAACGCAAAAAGTGCGCAGCGATTATGATAGAAACGCGGATTCACACTTGCCTGCGTATATTTTTGATCAGACCCTCATCTTCATCTCTTCCTCCTCCCAACATAATATTTTGGTTTCGTATCTTCATTCACACCAACATCAACATCAACATCAACGCCAACAAACAATGAATACGGAAGAAATCAACGACTTTGACTCCATGCAACAAATGGGGAATGCCAGCCTCTCCACGATTGGGAGTTTTGAAGAGAGTCTTCACGATGATAATAATTTCCACAATTCTTGCTCCGTCGACTCCCTCGATGTCCTGCAGCCTTCCACCATCGATACCATTGCCACCAATGACAATGATTCGATTGGTTTTGAACAAAACAAGACAGTTCGTTGGGCTCCCTCCATGACCAGTGAACGACCCTACATATCACGGTACGACATGTCCTTTGAAGAGGCACAACGAACCTGGATATTAGCAGATGAAAAGACCAAGTTGATGGAATCGCATGTGGCCGATGTCAAACGCGAAAAGGAAGGTCTGCCGGAAGAAGAAACTTGCGCCTTTCGAGGTTTGGATGGTCTGCATAACGAGCGAGCAGCCGAGACACGAAACAATATCATATCGTGCGTACAAGCGGTCTTGAACGAACAGAGCCATTTGCGGGAGTCCAACCTTGTGGACCCAACCCAACTTGCCTTGGTATCAGCGAGCTTTTCTGGTGGAAGCCGGCAAACTGCGCTGAAACGTGCGGAGGTGGATTTGCAACAAGCCAAGGAAGTCTACAATGATCGGACTGATACTATTATCATTGGAGAATCCAACTTTTGCTCGTCCCCAAAGAGTGTAACATCACCGTCCTCCAATTTTGGCAGACCAGCTAATACCAAGCATTATACAAGCTCACAACAGACACGAGTGATGTTGCGGGGTGGTCTAGTTTGATATTGTTGCTTGACAATGGCTATCAGCCAGTTTTGCCATATTCTAATTTTGATTTCATCTTGACTTTCCGTACTACTACTAATAAGTACCTACTTTAAAAGTGTTTTGCAGGGGCCTCGTCGCCCAGTCATGTTTTTCATTTGTTGGTACTTTGTTCCAAGCTCTTCGTATGTTCTTGCCTGTCAGTATTGAGGAGGAAAAGCATAATTGGTGGAGTAGGAAATCATTCACACATATTCATCATCAGACTCCGAAATGGTTTTTGGCTATCTGGAACCTGACATACTACTGTATATTACGATCGTTCACTGTGTTTTTTATAGGTTGCTCCTATAGATACAATATCTTTGCACTTTCAACTTCCAGTCCTGATTTTGCTTCAGACCGTCCTATTCAATTCCTCAATCCGGCCCGGCCCGTCCGTTTTACTCTTACATACGTCGTCTGTCCTTGCCTTTGGTCGCAAATTTATGGTTTGTTCGGCTTAGTCGGATTGTTGCGGTTTGCTTTGCATGCATTGCTTTTTTATATGTACGGTATCATTCGAGATATTGGAAGGATTGAAGCCTGCCTTTTTGAAGGCAACGATTGTCCTTCATGCGGTGGTCATGATGATCTCGTCCGTTCCATTTCTCATCGATCATCATCATGACGATGCCTCTACTAGAGTTTTCGAACCAACACTTAGTATCGATTGAATGATTGATTCATTCATTCAAGCATGCTACTAACGCTATCTTCCACTATCTCCAAGCCAGTTCAAGATTTACTCTCAAATGCGTCTCTTAAAAAAAAGATTGCAGGAAAAATCATCCCTCTTCCAAGCTTCTACACTTCACCACAAGATGAAATCGAACCGCCGCGATGTGAATATGGTACATATTTGCCTGCCCTTGAAACGCCGGGCAATCTTGCATGTGGTGGCGAAGCCACCAAAGCAAGATCGAAATTCACGATGGTAGTTAGAGAAAAGTTGGGAGAGTACTTCTTCGCCCCCTAACGACTAATAAATTCATAAATGCAACAGGAGGTCACAATAAATCCAATTTTGTTTTCATCTTGGTTCGTTTCCTAAATGGAAATGACCCGAAACTCCTGCATGATTTTGATTGGACAAGATGCCATCCAAGATCGAAACCAATCTTCTGCTCGTTGTGACTGACCCGCATGCCGGACACTGATGCGTTTCAAAACCAGAACCTTCACAGCATTGATTCTCACACTTCACACAGACAACGAATTGTTCAAACAAAAGCAACAGCAACAGCATCATCAACATGTCCTCATCCATATGCTCAGATGAAGACCTTACCTTTGATGACACACTAGACAATGATGACATCAGCGAATGCTCCACAATCTGCACATTCACAAGCTCCTGCGAGCTTCCGCTGCCAGAGAAGCGAGTCCAGTTTGCCTCTCATGCGTACTGTCAGTACACGATTTCACGCTACCAAATGACATTGGACGAAGCATTGCAGACGTGGATCTTTTCCACTGAAAAGTCTCAAATGATGAGAAACTACTCATTGACAGCAGAACGAATGAAGTCTGGCAAGAAGCCAAAGAAGAATTCGTCTTATAGAGGACTTGAATGCTTTCATGAATCAGATGCAGATGAGCTCCGAGAGACTATCAAGAGCTGTGTGGATGCCGTATTAGACGAGCAAGACATCCAAAAGGGCAAGGAATCACTGGACTGGAAGAAATTCGCCAAGCGCTCCAAGAAGCATTCCAAGGCTTGTGTCAAACTAGCCCTGAAACGGGCCAAGGATGATGAAAGGGAAGCCAAGAAGGCTTACCGAAGAATGGAAACCCCAGCTTCCGAACGAAGCAGTAGGCACTCTCGTTCTAACCGATCTTACTCTGCTCACAGCTTTACTCTACCAGAGAATTTCAAGACTGGAGACATGCCTCGTTCCATTCTCAAATTGGATTCCTGCACGGAAACAAGCACGGATTCCGCCGAAGTCGCGGTTTGACCCGTCGATTTTCTCCAAGTTTTGTAGTCATAACCTTTGTACTAAGATAGATTTCCATTTGAATAAAATACTACCCACAGTACAGTAACAATGGAATTCCCCCTTTACATTGAGTGTGGCCCAACTGGTTAACGGGCAATACGAGGCATCAGCATGAAAGGGGAGCCGGTAGTTTGTTTCGGTGCTGGAGGGCAGTCGCAGTTTTATTGGGTTCCTGGCACGTACAGTACTGGCACAAGGTACTGTACCAGGTACGGTACATGCATCGCAGTCATAATTCATACTGTGTGAAATCTTGTTTCATATTTTCTCCGTTTCTCATTCGCATGAGGTACCGGTAGTACTAAGCTAGATTCTCTTGTGGCGCCAGCCAGCTTGGCAAGTAAGTTGGCCTGCCTGTGCTGAATTCTTCGTCACCACCACGGACGTCGTACCAGTTAATTCTTGCGAAAACTTGTTCAGACATTGAGCCACAAACAATGAAATGTACTTACCGGTATCTCTAACATTCAATGTCATATGTCATGTTATCATCCTTAATTTTTAACAATTCTTCGTCCATTTTTAGAAATATTGAAAGCTTACTACCAAAATTCTAGACTTTTGAGCTTAAATTTTTTGTACTTAAGTGTTCACTTCATACCTGCATACAGTTTGTAAAACTTCCAGCACTACAACTTTTTATAGGTTGAACCCGTCATGAAGGGGAGGTTGCAATGTTCACTTTCTCTAATTGAACGCTTCGTGGAAAGTTTTTATCTTATAGGTACCGTATATATATATAATATACAGCAAGAAGACAGCTGTTGAAAGCGATTGCCAGATAATGTTTCGTATGTCAGCGCGAACAGAGCGAAAACTCGGAGAAACATTGAACATGTCTCTCGACCCACCGATTATTACACAAACTGAAAACGGATCGTCTTCCGTTTTTGTCTTCTCACAAATCCAAAAAATTGTCATTATATATTCATCATCTTCATGACACAACCCAATATTGAAACCTCAATGTGCAGCGAGTACACGGAATACTCTGGTAACTTGAATGATGAATGCACATATGACGACTATGCCTCGTCCTTCGAAGAAACAACCAGAACGACTCACGTCCATTTCTCAGAGCAAGTGAAATGCAAGGCCACCATTTCACGATCTGAAATCACTGCCGACGAGGCAATTGCCTCATGGTACACTCATCAAGAACGAGCAAAGCTCATGGTGAAGTACATCAAGACTGTCGAAAGAAGACAATCTGGAAAGAAGCCCAAGAAGAATTCTTCCTACCGTGGCTTGGAAACCTTCGATCAGTGCGATGCCTTGGAACTCCAATACACCATTGAAGCTTGTGTCGACGCAGTCCTTCTGGAACAACACAGACAATGGACCGAGAATATCGTCGACTGGGAAGCCCTTGCCCGAGTATCCATCGAGTGCTCGGAACAATCCAAGGCACTCGCCTTGGCCATGGCCAAGTCAGACAAACGTGAGGCCAAGAAGGCCAACCGAAGAATGGCTCTCATGGTGGAAGAGAGCATGCGTTCCATTTCTTCCACCAGCATTGAATCTTTTCAAGACATGAAGAAACTTGTGCCGCACAAGGCTTCTCAGCAAACTGCCCTTGTTATGGGATCCACCATATCACCAGTAATTGAACTTCGTTCGGCTTACTAAAACTGATATTTGGGATATCGGGGTCACAGGGATCAGGTTCTGGCTTCAGCTAGCACGCGTTGCGAGAACATGTTGATCTTACTGCCGCTAGTTAGGTAGAGCAGCGAGACAGCAGCATAGCAATACGTAACGTGACTGACTGGACTGCCGAGTCCCGAGCAGATATATTAGAGCGATCGAAGGCCAACGGTCGTCGCCAATCTCAAGCCCAAGATCAATCATCTATCATCTACTCACAGCTGCTTCAGACCCCCGTAAATACACCCCATTAGCAATATCAATCACCGTCTATCATGTCCAACAGTAGCTACATCAACGCACTAGTACGCTCTCTCTACGAGGAGAGCCAGGACCACAACGTTGTCACGTTAAGAATAACTAAAACATCATCATTATTGTAATCCTAACAATTTTAAGCACGGTCGTCATTCTTCTAAACCTCAAGGGCATCTTTCAAACGCTTCAAGATAGTCTCTTTACTCAATTCCTTCCACAGGGCATCTCGGCATAATTGCATCTTCTGGCTCGGACACGTAGCTGGTCATCCTTGGTCACTTCCACTACTATATCTCGTCAATGCTTGCCTTGCAGAGGGAGCTTGGCTTTCACTACACCACTCTTGCCCGACTTTTCCTTTTTGAGCTCTTCTTCTCGACTCTGGTAGTTCTTTCCGATAGTGGTTGGCAATAATAGCAATGGAACGACTCCATCTTGAACTTGTATCAAGCTGGACTTTTTCGATTCAATGCCCATCCTCACGGCGACGATAGGAGTGGTCAATCCCTTGATATTAATAATCCCAAGGTGGTAGATTCTCACGTTGTCGGAGGTTGCAAGGTTCACTCATCAAGAGTATAGGTTCACTCTCTCTATGTAAACGCTCCCTGGAAACTTTGTATCGTCATTGAATGTCATTGCCAGATAGTGAAAAAGCATAAGACCGCATATATTTCAGTTTCTGAGTTCTCTTCGTGTGCAGCGTTAGATGCTGAATATCAAACACTTAGGACTCGCTGTTGCTACGCGATCAAAACGCGAAGCCGGAAAAACATTTTTAGACCGATGCCTCTAGACCTTCCGATTACACAAACGGATCCTCTTCTCCGTTGTCTTGTTCACTTTTCACAAATCCACAACTTCACCAATTCTCATTATATTCATCATCTTCATGACACAACCCAATATTGAAGCCTCAATGTGCAGCGAGCACCCTGAATATTCTGGCAACTTGAATGATGATAGCCTGGATGACCACCATGGTGCCTCGTCTTATGAAGAAACAACCAGAACGACTCACGTCCATTTCTTAGAACAAGAAGTGGAATACAAGGCCACCATTTCACGATCTGAAATCACTGCCGACGAGGCAATTGCCTCATGGTACACTCATCAAGAACGAGCAAAGCTCATGGTGAAGTACATCAAGACTGTCGAAAGAAGACAATCTGGAAAGAAGCCCAAGAAGAATTCTTCCTACCGTGGCTTGGAAACCTTCGATCAGTGCGATGCCTTGGAACTCCAATACACCATTGAAGCTTGTGTCGACGCAGTCCTTCTGGAACAACACAGACAATGGACCGAGAATATCGTCGACTGGGAAGCCCTTGCCCGAGTATCCATCGAGTGCTCGGAACAATCCAAGGCACTCGCCTTGGCCATGGCCAAGTCAGACAAACGTGAGGCCAAGAAGGCCAACCGAAGAATGGCTCTCATGGTGGAAGAGAGCATGCGTTCCATTTCTTCCACCAGCATTGAATCTTTTCAAGACATGAAGAAACTTGTGCCGCACAAGGCTTCTCAGCAAACTGCCCTTGTTATGGGATCCACCATATCACCAGTAATTGAACTTCGTTCGGCTTACTAAAACTGATATTTGGGATATCGGGGTCACAGGGATCAGGTTCTGGCTTCAGCTAGCACGCGTTGCGAGAACATGTTGATCTTACTGCCGCTAGTTAGGTAGAGCAGCGAGACAGCAGCATAGCAATAACTAAAACATCATCATTATTGTAATCCTAACAATTTTAAGCACGGTCGTCATTCTTCTAAACCTCAAGGGCATCTTTCAAACGCTTCAAGATAGTCTCTTTACTCAATTCCTTCCACAGGGCATCTCGGCATAATTGCATCTTCTGGCTCGGACACGTAGCTGGTCATCCTTGGTCACTTCCACTACTATATCTCGTCAATGCTTGCCTTGCAGAGGGAGCTTGGCTTTCACTACACCACTCTTGCCCGACTTTTCCTTTTTGAGCTCTTCTTCTCGACTCTGGTAGTTCTTTCCGATAGTGGTTGGCAATAATAGCAATGGAACGACTCCATCTTGAACTTGTATCAAGCTGGACTTTTTCGATTCAATGCCCATCCTCACGGCGACGATAGGAGTGGTCAATCCCTTGATATTAATAATCCCAAGGTGGTAGATTCTCACGTTGTCGGAGGTTGCAAGGTTCACTCATCAAGAGTATAGGTTCACTCTCTCTATGTAAACGCTCCCTGGAAACTTTGTATCGTCATTGAATGTCATTGCCAGATAGTGAAAAAGCATAAGACCGCATATATTTCAGTTTCTGAGTTCTCTTCGTGTGCAGCGTTAGATGCTGAATATCAAACACTTAGGACTCGCTGTTGCTACGCGATCAAAACGCGAAGCCGGAAAAACATTTTTAGACCGATGCCTCTAGACCTTCCGATTACACAAACGGATCCTCTTCTCCGTTGTCTTGTTCACTTTTCACAAATCCACAACTTCACCAATTCTCATTATATTCATCATCTTCATGACACAACCCAATATTGAAGCCTCAATGTGCAGCGAGCACCCTGAATATTCTGGCAACTTGAATGATGATAGCCTGGATGACCACCATGGTGCCTCGTCTTATGAAGAAACAACCAGAACGACTCACGTCCATTTCTTAGAACAAGAAGTGGAATACAAGGCCACCATTTCACGATCTGAAATCACTGCCGACGAGGCAATTGCCTCATGGTACACTCATCAAGAACGAGCAAAGCTCATGGTGAAGTACATCAAGACTGTCGAAAGAAGACAATCTGGAAAGAAGCCCAAGAAGAATTCTTCCTACCGTGGCTTGGAAACCTTCGATCAGTGCGATGCCTTGGAACTCCAATACACCATTGAAGCTTGTGTCGACGCAGTCCTTCTGGAACAACACAGACAATGGACCGAGAATATCGTCGACTGGGAAGCCCTTGCCCGAGTATCCATCGAGTGCTCGGAACAATCCAAGGCACTCGCCTTGGCCATGGCCAAGTCAGACAAACGTGAGGCCAAGAAGGCCAACCGAAGAATGGCTCTCATGGTGGAAGAGAGCATGCGTTCCATTTCTTCCACCAGCATTGAATCTTTTCAAGACATGAAGAAACTTGTGCCGCACAAGGCTTCTCAGCAAACTGCCCTTGTTATGGGATCCACCATATCACCAGTAATTGAACTTCGTTCGGCTTACTAAAACTGATATTTGGGATATCGGGGTCACAGGGATCAGGTTCTGGCTTCAGCTAGCACGCGTTGCGAGAACATGTTGATCTTACTGCCGCTAGTTAGGTAGAGCAGCGAGACAGCAGCATAGCAATACGTAACGTGACTGACTGGACTGCCGAGTCCCGAGCAGATATATTAGAGCGATCGAAGGCCAACGGTCGTCGCCAATCTCAAGCCCAAGATCAATCATCTATCATCTACTCACAGCTGCTTCAGACCCCCGTAAATACACCCCATTAGCAATATCAATCACCGTCTATCATGTCCAACAGTAGCTACATCAACGCACTAGTACGCTCTCTCTACGAGGAGAGCCAGGACCACAACGTTGTCACGTTAAGAATAACTAAAACATCATCATTATTGTAATCCTAACAATTTTAAGCACGGTCGTCATTCTTCTAAACCTCAAGGGCATCTTTCAAACGCTTCAAGATAGTCTCTTTACTCAATTCCTTCCACAGGGCATCTCGGCATAATTGCATCTTCTGGCTCGGACACGTAGCTGGTCATCCTTGGTCACTTCCACTACTATATCTCGTCAATGCTTGCCTTGCAGAGGGAGCTTGGCTTTCACTACACCACTCTTGCCCGACTTTTCCTTTTTGAGCTCTTCTTCTCGACTCTGGTAGTTCTTTCCGATAGTGGTTGGCAATAATAGCAATGGAACGACTCCATCTTGAACTTGTATCAAGCTGGACTTTTTCGATTCAATGCCCATCCTCACGGCGACGATAGGAGTGGTCAATCCCTTGATATTAATAATCCCAAGGTGGTAGATTCTCACGTTGTCGGAGGTTGCAAGGTTCACTCATCAAGAGTATAGGTTCACTCTCTCTATGTAAACGCTCCCTGGAAACTTTGTATCGTCATTGAATGTCATTGCCAGATAGTGAAAAAGCATAAGACCGCATATATTTCAGTTTCTGAGTTCTCTTCGTGTGCAGCGTTAGATGCTGAATATCAAACACTTAGGACTCGCTGTTGCTACGCGATCAAAACGCGAAGCCGGAAAAACATTTTTAGACCGATGCCTCTAGACCTTCCGATTACACAAACGGATCCTCTTCTCCGTTGTCTTGTTCACTTTTCACAAATCCACAACTTCACCAATTCTCATTATATTCATCATCTTCATGACACAACCCAATATTGAAGCCTCAATGTGCAGCGAGCACCCTGAATATTCTGGCAACTTGAATGATGATAGCCTGGATGACCACCATGGTGCCTCGTCTTATGAAGAAACAACCAGAACGACTCACGTCCATTTCTTAGAACAAGAAGTGGAATACAAGGCCACCATTTCACGATCTGAAATCACTGCCGACGAGGCAATTGCCTCATGGTACACTCATCAAGAACGAGCAAAGCTCATGGTGAAGTACATCAAGACTGTCGAAAGAAGACAATCTGGAAAGAAGCCCAAGAAGAATTCTTCCTACCGTGGCTTGGAAACCTTCGATCAGTGCGATGCCTTGGAACTCCAATACACCATTGAAGCTTGTGTCGACGCAGTCCTTCTGGAACAACACAGACAATGGACCGAGAATATCGTCGACTGGGAAGCCCTTGCCCGAGTATCCATCGAGTGCTCGGAACAATCCAAGGCACACGCCTTGTCCATGGCCAAGTCAGACGAACGTGAGGCCAAGAAGGCCAACCGAAGAATGGCTCTCATGGTGGAAGAGAGCATGCGTTCCGTGTCTTCCACCAGCATTGAATCTTTTCAAGACATGAAGAACTTTGTGCCGCACAAGGCTGATCAGCAAACTGCCCTTGTTGTGCGATCCACCATATCACCAGTGATGGAGCTTTATTCACGGACTCCTTTCTAAACATACAAATTTTATTCGGGATATCGGGGTTACGGGGATCATGCTACCATTATTGAAAATATAGTAAATAGTTGAATAATATTCTACAGTAGCAAGAAAATGTAGCACGCGTTGCGAGAACATGTTGATCTTACTGCCGCTAGTTAGGTAGAGCAGCAAGACAGCAGTATAGCAATAACTGTCACATCATTATTATTTGTAATCCTAGCAATTTTAAGCATGGTCATTCTTCCAAACCTCAAGAGCATCTTTCAAACGCTTTAAGATGGTTTCTTCACTCAGTTCCTTCAAAACAGCATCATCGGCATAGTTGCATCTTCTGGCTCGGACACGTAGCTGGTCATCCTTGGTCACTTCCACTACTACATCAATTCCTCCCTCTTTGGCGCGCTTGGTCTGACGAAGTTTCTCGTCAATGCTTGCCTTGCTAGCAGAGGGAGCTTGGCTTCCACTGCCACTCTTGCCTGACTTTTCCTTTTTGAGCTCTTCTTCTCGACTCTGGTAGTTCTTTCCGGTAGTGGTTGGCAAAAATAGCAATCGAACTCCATCTTGGGTCTGCATCAAGCTGGAACTTTTTGATTCAATGCCCCTCGCGGCGAGGATAGGGGTGGTCAATCCCTTGCCTGTCTCGGCCAAGAGTTCGGCCCATTCACCGACATATTCCACCAGCGAATTGTACCTACTGGATGGCCCCAAGTTCGTCAAGTCCGTACCACCCGAATCCTTCTTGTTTTTGTTGGACTTGGTGTTTCTCCAGACTTCTGGGCCCTCCAATGGCAAGAAGGATTCATCCCAAAAGGCGGGATCCTCCATCTGTTCGTTCGTAACACATCCTTCCAGGCAAAGAGTCGCATTGCGAGCAAAAGGTTGAAAGGCCATGGCTTCGACAATGGCTGCCGTGGCCGTTTCCACAGAAGTGGCTTCTTCCAAAACATCGTCTGGCAATAGTTGCATCCCAGCGCTTCCACCATTGGCCACAAAGTTCTTTTCGCCCACTTTGATAATGATATAATCCAAAGGTGGTGGATTCTCACGTTGTCGGACAATTTGAATCAAGGCTTCTTCAATTTGGGATCGCTTTTCGAGTTTTCCTCCGCCCATCATGTTTTGCATGTTAAAGGGAAATTGATCGTACCGCGAGGTTCCGTGGGTGGAAATGGCCACGAGTTGCGTCGGTGGTTTCCCGAGTTGACCACCTTCGTTGAAGGTCTTTCGCAAGAGACGGTCAAAGATAGCATTCAACGAGGATGCTTGTGAAATGCTGGGCAAGAATAGCACGACGCAAGCTGCATTGTTGGCCCCCAAGGGCATGGTGGCACTTGGAGCTAGGACTTCAATTTCCAAATTGGGGATGCGAGTCTTGGTTTCCAAGGCTTCCTTCAAGGATGGAAGAAGCGCTTTGGCCACTGGATCACCCTTGACGTCGGCAATGACCAAGATGCGATTGGTAGTGACTTGAGTGGAGGATTCCAATGAAGAAATCGACGTCGAGGAGCTGCCATCCATTGATGCCGCACCACCACCAAGCTTGCTGCTTGCTATGCTTCCAAGAAATCCAGCACCCGTCAGTACGTTTCGGTCTCCCAAGACTCCCCAGGTTCCCATTTCGACACCTTGTCCAGATTGAGCAGTAGCCTTGTCAGCGGCCGCTGCCAGCTTGGTGGACTTGCGAGCATCTTGGGTCGATTGCATAAAGTTGTTGGTCAGCTTGTCAATCTTGGCCATTAGTTCTTGCGACTGCACTTGAGCTTCTAGTTGAGAGCGCATTTCTTGAGTTTCCTTGAGCTTGGCAATTTCTTCTTTTGTCTTTTCTCTAATACCCTCCATTTCCTTGATTGTCTCATCAAATTTTTCTTCAATCATTTTCTTGGCTTCCTTTTTCAATTCTTCCGCTTCTTCTTTGGTCATGGGTTCAATCTCAAGATTGATGCCCAGTTGTCCATCCATGAACATGTTTTCTGCCTTTTTGGAGGAAGCCGCAAAGTTTTCCAGCATGTTTGCTTCGGGTGAAAAGCCATAATCATCATCATCATTATCATCGTCGTCGTCGTCGTCATCAATGGCAGCAAACCGAGCCGAGCTGAAATACGAAGTTGGGCCATGTGGACAGGGAGTCACTGTTGAGGAAGGCTGAATACGCTGCGAGGATGGCAGGAACCCATTTATACCAGGCACGATTGCCAAGGCCACTACAAAGGTGACCAACATCGTCAAGGAAAGCGATGATGAGACTGCTGAGAACATTCCAATAACCTTCAGCGTTTGGCAGTCTCCTCCTTTGCGTCTGCTGCTCCTGCTGTGACTGCTTGCACCTCTTTTTGATTGCATAATGCTTTCACAGTCGTGGATTTCTTGTTTTTATGAGAGGTACGCTATTTTATGTTGTTGACGGCTTGGGAAGCAACAATAAAAGTTGTATCGTATACGATACGATTATTGAAGGAAACACTGCACGAATGAGAATATAAGTTGACACCGCGGCCTTTGGTGCACCCGTGTAAAAGTTGAAATCCAAAGATATATATTACTGAGAATATGTGTAATAGTCGGATGGGTCAAACATACTTCTGACTAAGTCGATTATTTCATAAAACAATCAATGCGATGACCTATGCAGAGACCGCAACCATCTTTGACACTAGCGACTGATCCTTCGTTATGACTGACGAAATATTACCATGGATCGAAGATGTATACTTACGGAGAAGTTGAAGCGTAGGTCGTCTCCATCAGGGACGAAAGAGAGAATCGAAATCAACGATATCGCTCACCTTGCAACCCTTGATGACGGTTTTGATATCATTGAAATTGAAGGGCGTATCAAGGATTTGAGTGATGACGCGCCCACGTTGCTCAATCTACTGCAAAATGATTGATCCAAGGATCTGGAAGTCTATCCATTTTATTGGTGACTCGCCCGATGAGATCCAACCAAGTTCCCCAGCGTTTTTGTCGATTCTCATTGCCACAATGAAGAAGACAAAGTACATACAAATCAATTGCCAATTGCCAATTGTCAGACACAATAGCTTACTCTTGTCTGTCCACAGGACGTTTGGCACCTGATGGGGTTCAGGAACTTGAGTTGACCTTGTTCAAAATTTGGAGTGCATGCCAAACATATCAGAGCAATCTATGAAGGCATTGCAACAATGGCTAAGCCGCCAAGACTGTACTGTAAACTGCAAGAGCTAGAGATGTTTGACGTTTCACACTTACCGACCTTCCGTAGGAGAATAGACGGCAAACATTTTGTGAGCAGATCCTTGCAACAACTTACATTGCATCATGTCAGTCTTTCAAGTGACGACTTGGGTGCACTGTGGAATGCATTTCCAAAGTTGAGATTCTTGGAGCTCGAATTCAACAAGATCTGTCATCTATCCTCGTTGGAGTAATTTTTGTGCATGGAGGGCTGCAAGATTCAAATGTTGTTCTTTCGTCACAATCGCATCAACTACGATTCAATCACGAAATTTGCTACCAAGACACCGCTCATGAAAAGTCTTCGGCGTTTGTACTTGGACGACAATCCGTTTCTCCATGAGATTTTTTTCTCGGGAGGAAAGTCAGCAACGCGCAGCGTGCTTCAACCACTTTTGAAATGGAACAAGACTCCCACTGGGATACAAGTTTGATGCCACTAACTGTTTCCATGTACTGAACGTCAGTCGAGGGGGGTCGATATGGCATTGAAGTGGAGTCCGCCAACCGCTTGATCTCACTTACATAGTGGCCAAGAATTCTCCACCGGGCCTCATCTATAAAGTATTTTCTCGGAGCGACCTTTGAATGGTCTTATTGGCCCAAGGATAGACCGTCTGATATAAAGTTCCAAGGGCCGCAGTAGTGTTCTCGCTGCTTCGGGATCATGCGAATATCTTTGAGCACTGTGGCAAAGGAGAGGAAGACAATGCTCCAACTCCTCCTGAATCATCCAAAAAACGAAAGGCTGGAGTAGAATGAAGATCTATTGTACCTGTCTGTCATATATGTAGTGTGGACACGATATAATGCTTAGAATAGTATGCGCTGTAGCTCCCCACCATTTCATTCGAATTCAACATTCCGAAGCACCCTAATCATAAAATGTAAGACGACCTATTTGACGATCGCGTGCACAGTTTGCGTTTCGTCACGTTATTCTCTATATTTGTGATGCCTCTATGAATAGTAAAATACAGTATCTGACGAAGCCTTGCAAATCGAGAAGAAACAAGCATCATTTCACCTAATTCTAACCTGGACCACTTTTTTGAAGGGGATTTTATCATCAACAAAGCCATTCTTATTATTTTGTTCATTCTCCTAGATGACATTCATGGATTGGCAAGAGCTGTGGTTAGCTTGCACTCTCTGAAAATTAATAGCTGACGAATAATGGACACATGCATGTAACTGTAACTAACAGAAAGGTTAAAGTATAGTAGCGGACATCAACGAAACTGGACGAGGCAGCTGCTGTAGCGATTTGTTCTCTTCGGATCTGTCTAGTGTCATCATCGAATACATTCGATCAATTACCGCCGCGCCTCGAGTCACCCTTCCAAACGGGGCATTCTGAAGCAATCCATTGCCATTACTTTGGTTCACTCCACTAATATAAAGTTCGGGTCCCATTCCGGTCCACCCAAGGGCATAAGGCTCAGTTGTTGACAGCTGATCATGTGTTTCTTCGAAAACCAACGACGGCCACTCGACACTCCATCCATCAATAGACCCAGTGGGGAGTCCCAGAACCGCATTGTTTCCAACATGCGAGAACCAAAAAGCGGGGGTACGTTGTTGGGCTTGATAGGCGCCCAATTCCACTTGCGATAGGAATGTAAATGCTGAATGCGGCATATTCTGTCCATCCAATTCCACAGTCACGTACTCATATGCATGGTCATTGTCATCATGAAAATGTAGCTTTAGCTCTACTTCGTAAATGGAACCTTCTCCCAGCCTGCGGATTAGCGAACATATCAAAAAGAGACAATAGAGTGTGTTAGAACATCAATCACAATTGAATGCCATTTTAAAGAAAGTCCAAACAAAACGCACCAAACAGCAATTCGTTTTCGTGAATCCTCTTGAATCAACAATTTCATTTCGTTCGACTTTTTTTCTAGCAGTTTTGTCTCGTAAGCCAAGCTGTTGCGTTGCTGGACCAAAGCCTGATATTCCTCTTGGAATCGTTCGTCTTCCGCCGCCCTTTGACTGTGTTCTTGCCTGCGATATTCTTGTAGCTGTTGGTATGCTTCATACAGCTCTTGCATATTCTGCTGCCATTCCAAATTTTGTTCCATCAACTCCTCGTTGCTTTCATCCAATATACGATTCAGTTCTTGCATTTCAAGCAGCAGTTCCAACGGCATGGGACCACCATTGGCTCGAATTGTCTCGTCTACTGCTTCATACGCAGCCTGTCTCACGGAAGCGTCCATGCCATCGTCTTGTTTGTTCATGGAAGCTGTCATTGCTTTGGAGCATTCGTTCATGATGAAATTCCAATCTTGTTCGTGCTGGTCCTTGAATCCCAACAATTCAGCTTCCTTGGCATTGGCATCATTTTTCCACCACTGTAGTTCCGATTCCAACTCCAGAATTTGTTGTTGCATTTGCAAAATACTTTGGCGGGATTGTTCCGAATGTACAACTTTTTTCAACAAGGTTGGTTTTGGTGGCAACCACCAGTCAAAACCACTGTTGCGTTTGCCAGATGCTGGATCAGTAGTAGTGGTGATGCAAAATTGATGAGGAATGGGTTGCATATCCGTGTCGATGAGAATATCGACCAGCGTTTGGTATTCGTCGTGTAACTGTTGGTATTCCCACCGATGTACATCCCAAAAGGTCTTGGCTCCCAATCCCAAGGCATACAAAAATATGATTCCGAGACAAAACCAAAGAAAGAGTCCTAAACATACTTCGTCGCTTCCTTCCCAATCAATTATCTCTCGATTTCCGAGCCGCCACTGAATACGGGAGGTATCATGATGCTCATCTGCGTCTGATGGAACGTCATCATCACCGTCGTCATCTCTATGATGATAGTAGTGGGTAGAAGGAGCATGTTGAGATTTGGGAGCTGTAGGATTGATGGGTGCAAAGGACGACGTCGAAGACGCCAAGAATGCCGAATTGTCGGGATTGCTGTCCACAGCAGTATGTTGAACTCCACTGATTGGTTCCGTATCTTCTTCTCCCTTCTCCTCATTAGTGTCATTATCAATATCATCATTATCGCCGCCAGAAACAGCACTCACAAACTGATTGTAAATGCCAAACGGATGATTCGAATTTTGCTTTGGTTGCTGCACCGATGGCTGCAAAAAGGATCGTGATGGTGGTGGTGTGGTCAAAGATTCCCCTTGAGACCGAATCGGTCGAAATCGGTGCTGCGGAGTCGCACAAGCAGCCGCCAGAGTGGTGGACAAGGGATTGACCATGTAATTGCTCCGACTGTCCGGTGAGGCAAACCCTGGTTTGGAGGCTGCTGGTCCTCCCGCCGTTTCATTATTAGTAGTAGTAGTATTGGTATTGTTGACAATAGTATCCAATGTCAATTGAACATTGATGGAGGAAGGAAGCTGCTGATCGACTACAGTATCGTCGTCGTCACCTTCCATATCCGTATCTTCGTTATTGGTGATCGTATCGTTATCACCACCACCACCAGCACCACCTCTTGTCAGATCTTCTTCGTCTGTGGCGTCGTCATTATTTCGAAATTGATTCAAATTATTTCCCTTGGCCGCAAGGGACGACTGCTGAAGACGGTTGCTTGGAAATGGCACTGGTCGTACCGGAAGTGGCTTGCTGACATTTGTGACGGTGGGTGTGGATTGAAATTGAGGCAACTTTGGTTGGGCTGGTTTATTAGATAAGGATGATGCAGCTGCTGCTGATGCTGATGATGACGATGCGACTCGTTTTCTGATCATGCGGGGCTTTTTTCTGGGTGGTGATTTTGATGGAGACAGCAATTCATCATCAAGGTTCTTCTTGGCAGCAGCAGCAGCTGCAGCAGCACTACTACGAGTGGAAGGTGGGGCTTTGGTTTCCAATCGTTTCTGTTCCTGTCTCTCGTGCTCTTCTTGTCGTTCCCGTCGCCGTTTGGCAAGTTTCATCCGTTGTAAGGGTGTTGCGTTCTTTGTCATGGTACCATAATTAAGTGTAGATACTGTTGTTATTAGTATTGTTATTAGTATTCAAATGCAATATTGATACGGTACGAGCAATGATATGCGAAAAGTTGATGATGATTGTTGCTTTTTGGATCTGATCGTACGAGGGGCAGACGTAGTTCTTCTTTGGATTTTGTTTGACATTGATGATTGAAGTGCAGATGCCGTGACTATCACTATATACTAAAGCAGAATCGATTATCGATCGGAGCATTTTCTATTCCTAAGTTTTTGATACCACCAACCTGACTTCCAAAGAACCACCCAATCCAATCAGGGCCTACAGTATTGTCTGGTGAATGTACCACCAGTAGGATCATCATGTAGCTGGCTGCCAGCCACTATCCAGCACCACTGCCTCTTTCTCAGCAAGATTACCCTTGCACGTCAACCTGTAATGCAGTTATATAAAATTGTGTTAGCCTGGTTCCAGAAATGTGTCTTGTACAGCCTTAGATATGGCAGCATCCATTATATTCAGTGAGTTTATGATGCCGATTTAGTGATCGTGAGAAGGCAATAGGTTTTCGAGTTTGTTCAACCATGACATTCCACGTGTAACTAAATAAGTCATTCCCACCAAAATGACCCGCCAGCCGTTGAGTTGAAAACAATATGTTTTATATTAGTATCGTCATATTACACGCTGCACTCATTCTTCATCTTTTGTGCGGATAGCATATCTACACTGCGTTGACGACCTCTCGTTCCATAGCCAACAACAGTTTTTAATAAAGCTCCTACACTACAAGAAGATGCCACGAAAATCACTCGCCAAGCGACGTCGCGAACCAAAAGTCGACGACGAGGAGGACGAAAATCCAAAGGACGGCAAAACTCAAAAAGTGCAAACGACGCCCACCCAAGCCACAGGCGAGGCAATAAGCAATCCACCGCCCATTCAATTGCACTCGAATCCAAAGGTATCCTCCTCGGCTGTCAAGGGAATCCCACCGCCACCGATTGAAGAAGAAGAAGGAGGAAATAATAACGGAAGTGATGACATGATTCCTCCTGCCATGACAGTCAATCTGAAAACCAGCAGCTCCAAAAAGGCCACCGCGTCAAAGAGCAAGGCAGAATCTTCCGCCAAGAAGGAATCCTCTAGTAGTCTAGTTGAAGAAGTCGAAGAAGAAGAAGAGGCTCTAGAAGAAATGGAAGATGCTTCCTCTCATGGTGGTGGTGGTGGTGCAACCTTCAATTTGTTGTTGGTCTTGCTATTGCTTGGTCTCGGTTGTTCGGCTGGATTTGTACATCAACGGATCGTCCAAGACTTACAATTGCAACTCAAGGGATACCAACAGGATTTGCGACACTCGGAATCTTCCATTGCAACGCTAGCAGAGGAACGCAACGGGGCAGTGGAACAAGCTGACAAGATTCGCAGCGAATTGATTGATTTGGCCCATGAGATTCGATACTTTGCGCGTCAACAACTGAAGGCAAAGTAAGTATCATGTTGTCATATGATGATCTTAATCTATGATTTCAATCTAGAATGTATTCTCACACTTGTATTCACACACTTGGTTGTCTCGTCGTTCTCGTTCTTTGTTTCTCATAGATTCGGACCAGGACCCATCTATCCAGTCGAACTCGAATTGGAATTCCCGGGAGCCGACGGCGAGATTAATCTCCAGTACATGACGATCGAATTGGATGGTGATAATATGCCCCACGCCGTCTTGACCTTTATGAGCCAAGTGGATTCTGGTCTGTATCAAAAACGAGGATTTGGATTTCATCACGCGGGAGATCACATTATCTTTGGGTCTCCCATGGGAGTAGACGGCAATGGTTACGAGTTTGGCCGAGTCTGGGAGGATTCTGGTTTCTCTCGGTTGTTGTTCCACGAACATTCCGAGATGGTCCCGCACGTTCCTTATACCATTGGCTTTAACGGTAGGGGACCCAACCTTTACTTCAACATGGTGGATAATACGGAACCGCACAGGGATTCACGTGACCCATGCTTTGGTACCATCTCGAGGGGGAGAAATGTTGTAGACTATATGCATACCATGGCGGGGGCATTGAATCCGGGGGACTGGAAGGAACTGGAGAATGCTGTCATTATTCGATCGGCAACCATCCTGCGTTCAGCGTAACCGCAGCGTAAACACCGGGGAAGATATATGAAGTCGGTATGGGATTGTATGGTTCGGAGCAAAAGTCGATACAGTTGGAAAGTGGATCTGAAAGGAGTGTGCTGTACTGCATTGGATCCCGTTCATTGGCTTGTTGTCACATACACCTGCAGTATCAGAAGAAGGGCAGCGACGATGGACGGATGGACTTATTCACGAATGCGATAGCCAATACAGTCAGTAAACAAACGTTTTTACTAGAAAGTTCAACGTCTTTTCCTCCCTGCAAACTGTGAGAAAGTTCAACGTCTCTTCCTCCCTGCAAACTGTGAACTTACCAAACTCATCGGAGCCTATCTTTACCTTGGATTCTGTGGCTGTATTTGCTTGATTGTACTGTGCTATTTCCTATGGATTCATAGTCAATCAAGATTGGATACGGATCCTTCATTGGCTGCAGTGCTCTTGTAGACCTTGTTCTTCCGCAAGGGTCTACAACCGACGAGGACGAGACGCAACTCTACGGCAATTAAATTAGCTCGTCAGCATTCCCTTTTTCTCCCTTCTCCAACGGTAAAAAAGGATGTAGATGATGATGATAATATTACAATGCGACGATTTATATTCATATTTCAGCAAGCAACAACAAATATTATATTATTCTTGTAGATGAGGATTTCAGCGGCCCGCTCAGTATTTTTAGTTTCTGCTCTCACTATCCTTGGATGCAATGCTGCTGATACGGCAACAGAAACACTACGAGTCCTTGTTTGTTTGGTGCAATGGGCAGATCACTTCGATCGACCACTGATACCAAAGGAAGAGATTGAACAGCTTTGGAATGGACCTTCTTATTCGGATATTGTGCCTGGTGAATCTATTACGGACTATATTGAATCGAACACATATGGGAAATACAAAATAGAAGCAAACGTTGTTGACTGGTATCTGATGGAGGAAACGGAAGCTGAAGCTTCGTTTGGGAACATGGGGAATTCTGTCAGTGAGAGTGGACCACACATCGAAGAAATCCTCTCTCCGGTAGTGGTGCAGTCTATCTTTAATGATGGTGTCTCTTTGCGGGACTATGATAGGAATGCTGATGGAAAGCTTCTCGGAATTGTAAGTTTGCCGTTGAATTCAATAGGAACGATTTCAAATTGGACAAATCATCTCATCTGTCTGCTTATATTATGCCTTATCATCCAACCTTTCAGGTATTTGTTCATTCTGGGTATGCAGCAGAAAATGGAGGTACCGATTGCGAGACGGGAGCGGATTACCTGGATCGAATACAATCCAAAAGCTGGGGTGCTCAAGAACGCATTGGCAACTCTGCCTACATTATCAATACCATGGTGACTTTACCAGCCTATCGGGGCACTTGTGGACTACAGATTGATAGAGTTGGAGTCCATATCCGTAAGTTACTGATCCTTGTCGACATTCACTTGTTTATCATCTAATGGACGGCTTGGGTGCGTAACCACATAGATGAATGGCTTCATGCTGAATTTGGACTAGAGGACTTGTACGACACTGGAGGGAGATATCAAGGAAGTAGGGGTGCAACAGGTGCGTAAATAATGAAGGAACTGATTGAGAGTACAAACTGATTGAGAGTATAGGAATTCGGTCATGAGCTCACTGTGGTCTCTCTGTCACATATTTGCCAATAGGTGGAATTGGTGGTTATGGTATCATGTAAGCAAAGCAATGCTCCTACTTGTGCTGAAATGACACCACCTGGTTTCTGACACTTAGCATGCTCCCTTTTTCGCTTCCTCAAAACAGGTCCTATGCTGGCGGACAAGGGTATCGCACAGAGTATCCTGGAATTCTCACTCCCTTTTCCAAAATGCAAATCGGTGCCTTAGACCCAATCGAAATCAAATATGACGGAACTTACACTGCTCGTGCTTCGGCATCGTTCCCCGACGTGTTTATAATCTCTTCTCCGTACCAGGATGGAGAGTACCTGCTGATTGAGAATCGGCAAGCGGTTCTTTCGGATGAGCTTCTATGGGAACCAGGCGGCATTGTAATTTATCACGTCGATGAAAATATGCAAGGATACGGTAACCGTTACCGAGGAGGCCCATTCCTGGAAGGGTGGCCAGGAAATGGTGATCATTATAAGGTCGCCGTCCTTCAAGCAGATACCAAGGTACGTACAAGCTGTATTATTGAAATGGTTTCCTCCAATTGGAGCTGAGATTCACCGCGTCACTCATTGTTCTGTTGTAGTACGAATTGGAAATGGCGTTGAATTTAGGTCACAATGCTGACTTTTGGAAGGGTGGAGACTCACTGGGCCCTGGAAATGGAGAGCTGGTGGCCACGGACGAAGGGACATACCCAAATACCGACTCCTATGTTGGTGGCAATATCCGTGTGACGGGACTTATCCTTGACAATTTCGAAGAAACGGAACCAGACGTCTGGAGCTTTCGAGTACAAAATTTGGCAGATCCACCTATTACCGATACACCGACGAGGGTACCTTCACAAACAACAAATGCCCCGACAGGCCCTCAGCCTTCCACAGTGCCGTCTCTATCTCCGACAAGAATATCCAATGCTCCCGACATGTCCGTTAGCGATTCGCCGACGAGGGTGTCTGCTCAAGCAACAAATGCTCCGACAAGCTCTTGGCCTTCCACCGAACCGTCTCTATCGCTGACAAGAATATCAAATGCTCCCAGCATATTGCCAAAAACGACACCGAACAATACGGGAACACCCAGTGAATCACCCTCAGCCTCTTCATCCTTCAAGAGTATTTTATCATTCATGCCAAGTGAATCGCCTTCCACCATGCCAACGATTGCTTCATTTTCAGATTTGAATCCTACCGTGGAGATTCCCAATGATGACTCATCGTCTCAGTCAATTTCCAAGGGTGTCGTTTACATAACCACATGTGTATGCTCATTTGGCTACTGGCTGTACTAGGCGGATGCTACGAATTGAGATGCTCATATGCTATTTATGTGTTAGTAAGTAATGTTATACCCATCTGTGCAGAAAGCAAGCATAAAAGCAGAGTGAATGGTGCTGGAATGGCAATTGCAGCCGAGTCAGGTACTTCAGTGGGAGTCTCCATGGGAGTTGTTGCGGGTGCATTTGGAGCGCCGGTTGGCAAATCCACGGGAGGCTCACTCAGAGGTGTGGGCAACGCAGTCGGATTAGGTTCGTCAGTGGGAGTTTCTCCGGGAGTTGTCGTGGCTACATCACCTCCGCCACCTGCATTCGGAGGGCCAGTTGGTGAATTCACTGGAGGGCCGCTCGGAGGCGTGGGCAATCCAGTCACTCGGAAACTCCAGACTCCATCGCCATCGTCCTTGAAGCTATCCAAGACCAATCCAGTGACGCGAATGTTTCCATCAACGTACGAATCAGTGTTGGGATAGGTTCCAGCAGCTGTCGCTACTAATTCTCCGTTCCCAGGCCCCAAGATATCACCGGTTTTCCAAAAATCGGCACTGTGCCCTAGATTTTCTGCCTTTTCCAATTCGTACTTAAAGTCTGCCTGGAGAACCGCCACCTTGTAATGGGCCCCATTTCCCGGCCATCCTTCCAAAAAGGGTCCTCCTCTTACAAAGTTCCCATAACCCTCTGTATTCTCGTCCACGTGATAAATGACAATGCCTCCGGGAGACCATAGATTCTTGTCGGAGAGAAGCGGCTGTCGATTTTCAATTAAAATATATTCACCTTCTTCGTATGGAATGGAAATCTTGTAAACATCGGGGAAGAGTTCGGCTGGCCTGGCACTGTAGGTTCCATCCACTTCGATGTCGATGGGATCCAGGTACCCTGTCTGGATTTTACTATGTGGCGACATAATACCGGGATACGCTTCGATGGAACTGATCCTTTGGCCACCAGCATATGACCTGTATTTGCCGAACAGAGCATAATACCGGTAGAGTCGAATGATGAGCAAGAACCGGTAGAAATTGCACTATCCTAAAGTGAACTAAAATCAGTTACTCACATGAGACCAAACCCTCCAATGCCACCGGTAGCGGATCGACTTCCCATGTAACGACCTCCAGTATCGTACAAATCCTCCAATAAGTATTTTGCGTGCATCCACTCATCTGTGTTCACGCACCAAGGCGTCAATGAGATGATAAACAATGCGAATGTTGACAAGGATCAACAGCAAGAACTTACGGATATGGACTCCAACGCCAGCAATCTGCGAATTGCACCATCCCCTGTAGGCCGACACAGTAATAAAGGTACTGAGTGTGTAACGACGGGGTCCAGTAATGCTTTCCGACACACCCCAGGATTTGGATTGGATCCGATTATTGTGACCAGCTTGGGTTTCACAATCCACTTGATAGGTCTCAGCTGCGTAACCAGAATGCATGAAGACAACTCCCTTCAGCATACTGCTATTCGCATCGACAAACGGACTCAAATCCAATCCTTGATCCACGACCGCCTGTAGAACCGGTACGAGAGAATCTTCAATGTGGTTGCCATTGGCAGAATTTCCCATGTTACCATTCGATGCCTGGGCTTCCGTAGCACTTGCCCTTGTCCAATCCAAAACAGTAGCCTTCAGCTGGTACTTTCCGTAAGAGTTGGAAGCAATGTATTCGGCAACAGATTCTCCTGGAATCAGGTTGGAATTCCCTGGTCCATTCCAAAACTGATCGATATCACTTCGAGGAATGAGGGGACGACTTGTATGGTCGGCCCATTGTACCAAGACGACCAATACGTTGATGGTTTCCACAGCATCCGCCTTCGGCAAGATGTTGGAGGAAAACACCAGTGCAATCCAAATCAAACTTCTTGGAATGCTAAACAACGCGGTGGTAGGCTTTCGTTTCAGATTCATCCTTTTTTCAAAATGTGAAAGACATTTATCTTGATCTCTTGATCTGGAGAATGGTTCTCCATAATGACGAATTAGAGCAATACATGTGTGAAGTCATTGATGTGATACATGGAAACATCAATCCGAATCCGGTGTGAATCAATCTATCCGAGTGTGAATCAGATATTCAATATGTATATGCAGTAATATATTATAGTGATATATTATACGGGACGGGACTGAATTGATTCGAGGAGGAAAGGTACAGAACGATGTCTTTTGGCTTCAAGATTCCAAACTGTAGGTACCAGTACCCTGGTACGAGCACGATGTACATGTACTTTAGATATATATTATTGATACATTTTAAAATGATAAAATATTATAGAGTTCCTTTCGCGATTGAAAGAATACAGAGATTTGGTATTAATAGTATGTATGCTCTAACCCGAGCTGCATGGTCGATGGCCGAATGCATTGTTAGCGCTCGCTCAGTATCATAATGGGTCGGTCTCAGAAAGTCATGCGGCTGTTTTTCTTGCCATTTGATGAATCGAACAAACGATTGCCCAACAGCAGTCCTAAAGAGTACTCGGTTGTATCGCTCTTCGCGCCAACGTTGGAACCCGGAAAAATTGAAAATCCAGTAGTGTAGTGAGTCTCAAAAAGTCGCTCATCACGCGGCTGTTGCCGTTTGACTGATGGAACATACATTCGCCCATAAGCCCTGTAAGCAACGCAGTTTTACCCTAAAGCCTTGCTCCACAAAAGTCATCATCACTGACATGACAAGGCTCAGGTACTGCTTCGACTGCTCTTCATTCCCCAACCTCAGGTCAATCATTGCAATATTGTTGAAAATAGCGCAACGAAACATCATATTCTCAGATATTGTCTGAGATTGATAAGCAAGCTCGTAAAGGCGCTTCGCCTTGTTTAGTTCCCGGGGCGACGATGCGGCGCCTTGTGATGCTTCCGCTGACAGATGGTGTGCAAGTGCTGAATTGAAGATAAGAATAGGAGTAGTGATTCTTGGATCGCCTACCATTGTCGAAGGGATCAGAATTCCTTGGTGGTAGATAACGACAGAAGATGATAATTCGGCTTCGTCTTCATCGAAATCTTGGTAAAGGAGCATGCACTTATCCAGGCTGCTATCAACGGCTCCTGGTGGACGTTGAGGTTGAAGGTCGTGGAGTTGCACTTCTTGGGAAGCACGGAGGTGTGTCAAAGCTGACAATGACGACACGGCGGCATTTGGGTAGTCTTTTTCCTGTAGGTATGTCAGGGTTGTGTTATTGTGATCGACGAATGTGGCTATATTCATGATGTGAAGATTGTGAATGGTGTGTTGCGATGGCTGCAACAATGAGAGCGGCCGCACGAAAAATCTGACAATAGGGAGAGATGTCAACTGGTGGTACCAAAATTCTGCAAGCACTCGTCGTTGTACAGCCTCCAGACAAAACCCATAAATGCGAATTCTTGGACCATTTAATGCAAAATGACGCACTTTCCTCACTTTTGGAAGAACAATTCTTCATGTTCATGTCGCACAATGCTACGTGTTCGCATTCCATATCAACTTGCTTGTATTGACCAATTGCAAACGCTAGAGAAATTGGAATCTTTGGGAGGAAAAGGTGAAGTTTTGGTAATCATGAGCTGCACCACCAGGTACCAGGTACAGTACCGTTGGTCCGAGCATGATTCGAGGTGAAAGACACAGAAGAAGGTAATACTGCACCAGCAGCACCAAGCGCTGCTATAGCAGTCTCCGCAGGTGTTGATGTTTTGAGTGATACCTACTACATCACTATGCAATGAAAAATATTGATTGACAGGCTCGATTGCTTGGACCTCCATAAGCGCCACTGAATTAACAAGCAGCAGAAACTGGTAGCTGGGTGAGTATGTGCCGGGGTATGGTAGCTATTGTCCTTGCAAAGAAGAACTTCTTCAAAGGACTGACAAAGTCCCCATGCGGCCCAAAGAGATGTGTTGTAAAATACATATATCAATGACCCAAAATGCCAGGAAAATGTCAGTCACTTATCGACACTGAAAACAGGCGTGGGTTATTAGAGTTTTTTCAAGTCGACTGAGTCGAATGTCATATCAAAACCCAACGGATGACTCACCGAAAATTCCACTCCAGTCGTTCGAAAGTTGAACGTGAAGTTCCAACACCAAAGCAAAAAGTGCCAGGCGAGAGAGAAGAAGGGGAAAACGAACAAGCTCAGAAGCCAAAGGACACCACCCTATAGCCTAGCACTGATTGACCACAGTGGTAAAAGGGAAACCACTGCTGTAGCTCCAACCGCACACAATACAAGAACCACACAACAACAACGACGACGACAAATCTACGACTAAAACTACACACATCATTGACCATGAATCAGATTACCAATTTGCTGTTAATATTCACATTATTGTGCCTCCCGTCCTTATGCCAGGGTCAGGCAGAAACAATCAAAGTATTGGTGGTGTTGACACAGTGGGCCAATCACGCAGATCGTGCATTGATACCCAAGGAAGATATTGAATCCATGTGGAATGGACCTCGAGATCCAAATACGGCGCCCGGAGAGTTCATTGCACAATACATCGAGTCGAACTCATATGGAAAGTATACCATCGAGGCAACGGTTATTGATTGGTATCAATTGACCGTGACGGAAGAAGAAGCTTCGAATGGAGCACTGGGAAATAGTGTGCCTGGCAGACCTGATATTGAAGACAATCTGCTTCCAGCTCTAGAAGCAGCTGTCGCAGGGGGCATTGATCTGACCGAGTACAGTCGAGATGGCTCTAGATTTATACGGGGTGTTGTCTTTATGCACTCCGGTTATGCGGGCGAAAATGGAGGCACCGATTGCGAAACTGGTGCCGACTATCTGAATCGAATCCAATCCAAGTCGTGGGGTACTGACGAGAGTATTGCCGGCACCAATTTGTTTTTGAGTACCATGGTGACGGTTTCTGTTTATAGAGGGATTTGTGATTTGCAAATTCAACGGATTGGAGTTGTCATTCATGAATGGATGCATGCTGAATTTGGGTTGGAGGACTTTTACGACACAGGGGGGCGGTATAATGGAAGTCGGTCAGCGACTGGGGGAATTGGGGCCTTTGGGATCATGTGAGTAGCGTCGTTGGAGTAGAATGGAGTGAAATACTATGCTTTGGCACCCTTGAACTGGATTGCTCACGCTGAAATTCCGCTTCGTTCTCTTGCTGTCGTTTGTTCATCAGGTCTTTTGCAGGTGGTCAAGGCTACGATTATGCCCTTCCCGGTTTGATGAATCCCTACTGCAAGATGGAAATTGGTGCCTTGGAACCAATTGAAATTACCGTAGACGGAATATATGACGCCAGGCCCTCAGCTATTCATCCCGATGTTTACATTATTCGCGAACCATATGAAGAAGGTGAATATCTATTGATTGAGAATCGACAACCTTTGCTATCAGATGCCAAGCTGTGGGGTCCAGGAGGCATTGTCATCTATCACGTGGACGAAAATATGGAGGGTTACGGAAATCTTGTAAGAGGAGGACCTTTTGTGGAAGGATGGCCGGGCAATGGAGACCATTACAAAGTCGCCGTGCTTCAAGCAGACTCATTATACGAACTGGAAATGGCAATTAACTTGGGACATAATGATGATTTTTGGAAGGAAGGAGATGTCTTAGGACCAGGAAATGGAGAGTCGGTGGCCACTGACGCCGGAACTTACCCGAATACGGATTCCTATGTCGATGGAAACATTCGAGTCACTGATTTGATCATTGATTTGTTTACAGCGCAAGCAGATGGGGTTTGGAGCTTTCGAGTGCAGGGACTGCAGGAAGCTCCTTCAAGTGCACCATCTGTAGCGCCCTCTCAAGATGCTACCCTTTCGTCTGTCCCTTCGCAAAAACCATCAACATCGTTGGCACCGTCGTTGTCCTTGGCGCCATCTTTCGCAATAGAACCAGTCAATTGCTTTGAAGGTATCGACGACGACCCGACCATGTTCTGCAACTGTGCATCGGACTGTTTGGACGACAATAGGGACTTCAAATGCGACTGTGTGGACGCTGAACAGTGTTGCGACGAATATGAAACACCCCCGCCGACTGCGGCGCCACAACCCACTCCCCCGCCAACTACTCCGCCTCCAACTGCCGTAGGGGATACTCCGCCACCAACGGCTCCTCCCACTCCACCTCCAACCTCACCGCCAACACCGCCTCCTACGCCCCCTCCAACAGTTTTGGTTACAAATCGACCGACGGCGGATCGACAAGGCGAGTGTTTGGTCACGGTCTTCACCAACCAATGTGACACATTCATGGAGAGCAAGAATACTCAAGATATGCAACAGGATCAGTGCGATTGTTACAATTTCTGTAACGGAGTCGAACTTCCATGTTGTCCTTTTGGCAATGACTGTTCGATTAGCTGCAATGGAGAGTTAGTGGCAGGTTGTCAAGTACCAGCACCGGAGCCTACTCCGCCACCAACTCCACCACCAACTCGTCCCATCAACACCTGCCAACTTTCCATCAATACCCAAAGCTGCGACACTGTCTCTTGGACTGATATGCAACCTGTGCAAGGATGCGATTGTTACAATTTTTGCAACGGAGCATACTCTAGTTGTTGTACGGCGGGGCAACCTTGCGGAATGGAATGCGGCGGCAGTGTGGTGGCAGGATGTGAATTCATGAGTCAACCAAATGGAACACCCACTCCAGTTCCAGTGACTCCGGTACCAACAACAGCGACTCCTACAGCAGATCCAGGACCTTCAACGTTTTTCTTTTGGCCAGATGGAATGATGAGATGAGCAAGGAATGGAATGCGATCTATTCGTTGCGTTGGAAGAACCTGCCTGTGATCAATGTCCTTAGCGGCGCTACGATTGGCGCATTGAACAACACGATAGCAGAGAAAAACAACACAATTGTTACGAGACTTCAAATGGCTGCAAATATTCCTATGTCGCAGATTGCCATGTCGCAAACACACAACGAGAACTGGATGGCTCCTGAGCCGCATCTTAACTGCGTGCTGATTGTGCTGAAAAAAGAAGCAGCAGTAGCAGTATTGCCTTTATTTTATTAACTAAGCCAAGTTATCCTCGCAATACCCATTGTGTTAGCTACTGAGTCTGCTGCACCAATACATGTATTGTGCAGTTCCAAGGGGACAAGTAAATAAGTACTACGATGTAGTGTGATGTTCGGAGAAATTTGGGGTTGAAGCATGCGTGGGGATCTCAAGACTCGTTGCCCCTAATTTGGCCAAAATTTCTCCGAATGAACATTTCACAAGACTGCATGAATGGAAAAATACCGCCATCTCCTCACGTGAAGTCCTGTTTCTTCATGTAAAATCGATTGCAAGAAAAAAGCATAGGACATTTACCATGAAGACTTCTAGAAAAAGATCCTTGACATTTGGCATATTGGCGTCACTAGCAACTCAAGGATGTGCTAGCATGGATACTGAGATTTCTCCGACTGTAGGAGCCTTGCATACAATCTCAATATCCTCAGATGATGATGCCTCTGAGATCCAACCGATGAAGTTTAACGTCAGTGATGGTGAAACAACGGTGCAAGCCAAATCTTATCTCTTGATTGCGAATAGTGATGCTTCCTACATTGCATTGCATTTTTCGAGCTTTCACTTGCCGGTAGAATGCATGATGCAAGTGTCAGATATTCACGGGGCATTTCATTCAATGACAGTATTGACGGACAAGGGGAGAAATGGAAAGGGAAAATTTTGGGCCAAGCAAGTCAAAGATTCGTCATTAATGCTGACATTAAAGTGCAAAGGGGATACTGCAGAGGCTCTGGGGACATCAAGTTTTCAGATTGACAAGTATGTGACTGGGTATCCTCATGATTTTGAGTATTTCCAGGACGTGCCCACCGAATCTCCTACAGCAGGGCCTACCTCCAGTCCCACCAACGGACCGACTAGCACTCCAACTTCCTCGCCGACTGAGGATCCTACTGCAGTTCCAAGTAGTGGGCCAACCTCGGGTCCAACCTCGGGTCCCACCCCTGATCGGATCCAAACGTCGGAAATTCATAGCAGTCGATCCGAGGTTTTCAACGTCCATGTGAATGAAGCTTCTAATGGAGGTCACCGGAGAAGAAAAATGCGAAAAAAGCAAGGAGTCTGCTCTGCTCAAGACAATCGACAGAGTGTGGCATGTTCTTCACCTGAGGTTGAAGAAAAGTCTCATGGGGTCGCCCGATTACTTATTGATGGCCGCTTTGTGTGCTCGGGGTTTCTGGTGTCGGACAACTTACTCGTCACGGCAAGTATCTGTTTGGACGATGCAGACAATGCTTTGGACGTTGACTATGAATTCCAATTTCAGCAGCAGTCTTGCGGTTCGTCTACGCTGGAAAGAACAGAGATATATGAAGGGTTGGAGGTAGTGAACTATAGTGAAACATCGGATTACGCCATCATTAGGCTAACAGGAAATCCGGGCGCAAAATATGGGTAAGTAAAGTTTGCTCAAGACTTCTTGCATCTATATTGTTGGAATGCTAAGTTCTTCCCATTTTGCATGATACTACCAGCTACTTGCAAGTTTCAGATGAACTTCCATCAATTCAAGAAACAGTGTACCTACCACAACATAAAATGGGCCTAGACAAGCAAGCAGCCGAAAAATGTGTTGTAGTAACTAACGGAAGACAGATATCAGATCGGACATGCTCTTTAGGTGGCCCATTCAAAGACATTAGACATAGCTGCGACGTTGATGGTGGGGCCCTTGGATCGCCAGTGATTTCTCAAGTTTCGGGGCTCGTGGTGGGCATGCACCATTGCAGTGGGACCTGCCCATCAAACTTTGCGGTTCCCGGCATGGAAATCCATGATGCCTTACGTAAAATACCGCAAATACATTCCAACGAATTACAGCTCGTGAGCAGCGAGGAGCCGCAATGTTTGGTGTCCATTAAGACGAATCAATGCGGTTCAGTCATCCACAATGTTGGAATCGACCATGAATCCTGCGACTGTGCCAACTTTTGCGGCGATGAGTTCTTGGGGTGCTGCGAGAAAGGAAAAGAGTGTCCGGTGTCTTGCTCCGGCACCTTGGTTGCCGGCTGTTCGTACAAACCACCCAGCACATCGCATCAAAACTTGGTTGAAACCCACCTTAACATGGAAGAAAATATGCAACTTCCAGAACCATGGTACATCCCAGAAGAATCAGAAAATTCTGAACTTCCGAATCTCAGAACGGAGTCATATGAACAAGACTCCACGGGGAAAGACTCTCATAGACTATTGCGAACAAGATAACTTCAGTCATTCTGTTTCGGAATCTAGTTCTTCTAATTTTTAATTTCTGTCTATGAGTTCTATTTGTTTTCATTGGTTCAACTAACTGGAATCAGAATCGGAATCAGAATCAGAGTCTGACTCAGAATCAGAATCAGCTTTGACGTCGGCTTCAGCTTCGACATCGTTGTCAGGAGCACTGGAAGAATCGCTATCATCGCTGTCAGGATCACGCCAAGTCGGCTTCTGTGCCAAGGGCTGAGGGGGTGGTTCATCTGCAAAGGACTCGTCCCGTGCTACTTGTTCATTATTTGTCTTGGTCTCTTGAGTATTCTTTGGGGATTGTCCATTTTCTTTCTTTTGCTTCCATTGAAGGTAACCGACGTATCCGACAGCTCCAAAGAGAATCACGCCAGCGACCGCTAATCCAATAGCAGTGCCGGAGGAAGCCTCTTCCTCGGCTGGCGGATTGTTTCCTTGTAATACTTCATTATTGGAAGGGGCGGAGGGTTGTATGGATGGAACATTGCTCGGAAAATGGCTGGGAATCGTGCTCGGAAGGTCGCTGGGGACGTAGCTCGGGAGTAGGGAAGGTACCGAGGATGGTGCAAGAGATGGGAAGCTGGATGGTTCTCCGGGCGTCTCGGATGGGGCGTTGGATTGTGCACAGCACGCAGCGCCCTCGTCACAACTGCAAAACAAGCGTCGGTCATTTGTTGGGTCGCAATCGTCTTTGCAATTGCAATCAAAGGTGGGTCCTGGATACCAATCGGCCGAGTAGCTAGGGCATCGAACGGGTTCGGGAACGAATAGCGGTGGTATATTGATTTTTTGCGCAATTCCGGTCACCTCAAAGCTCCACTCGCCGTTCCCCTCGTCTTGGAAATTGAAAATGGTGACCTCCGTCACTTGGATGTTGCCGCCTTGATAGGAATCCGTATTCGGATAAGTCCCTTGGTCGGTGGCCACCGCTTCTCCGTTTCCGGGGCCCAAAATGTCTCCAGTCTTCCAGAAATCATTTGGATCCCCTAGATTCAAAGCCTGTTCCAGTTCGTATAAGCCATCTGCTTGAAGGACGGCGACCTTGTAATGGTCGCCATTCCCTGGCCATCCTTCGACAAAGGGTCCGCCACGAACTTTGTTTCCATCGGCCAATTCGTCAATATGATAAATGACAATGCCACCCGGAGCCCAAATGTTGGAGTCGGAAAGGATTGGTTGTCGATTTTCGATCAACAAGTATTCGCCTAGTGGATAGGGTGTTTGTATTCGATAGACATCGGGCTCTAGGCTGGATGCATTGACACGGTAAACCCCATCCTCAACAATGTCAATAGGTTCAAGGACCCCAATCTCTATTTTGTAGTAGGGTGTTAGAATGCCCGGATAGGCATTGTCATATCCCGGTCCTTCGGGAAACGACATGATTCCAAAGGCACCAATGCCACCAGGAGCAACAGCACTGTCGTTATCTAGTATCACAAAGAAAAGGAAATGGCATTAGTGAGAGACGTCCAGTCTGAAATGAATCAAACGGTGTTCCTTCCGTCTCATAGATGGGATTTTACTTACATCTTCCTCCCAGATCGTTCAAATCGTGAAGACCAAACCGAGCGTGCATCCATCCATGAATGTGATTGCCAACACCTGTCATATTCGTACCGTTAACGCCCTTGAAGGCCGATACTGTAGCAAAGGTCTGTAATCGAGCATCGTCTTCGATTTGTACGTCGACACCCCATGATTTGGATTCGATTCGATCCAAAAAGTCGGCACCATCTTCGTCCACTCCACCTTGTTCTGCCCCATATCCAGAATGGACAAAGATTACGCCAATTAAAGCACCACTCTGGTCCGCATAATCACTTAGATTGAATCCAGTATTTTCCAAAGCAGGCTGAAGAATAGTCTCCAAACCCTGTGAACCGTTGACAGCATTCCCCATATCCCCAAAGGAAGCTGCCGCCTCGGTTTCTTGGACCCTGTACCAGTCTGCCACATCGGCTTGGACCTGATACTTTCCATACGAATTGGAATTCATCCAATCTGCCACGGATTCTCCTGGCACTAACGTCGAGTTGCCAGGTCCATTCCAAAGTTGATTCACGTCGTTTTGAGTAGGGAGTGTCCGGCTGTCGTGATTGGACCATTGCACCAATACCACCAATACTTTGATGGTTTCCACTTGCGCATCAGATGAGCACAAGAAGAGAGCCAAACAGGTCCAAGGTAGTATTATGTGTACCATCACGATTGATTCAAATATCTCTTCAAATAAGCAAATTGCTGAGCGACTCTGTTGACAGATTGATTCCCTTCCCCCTGTGCTTACTTCCGATTGGATCACAGAATTGTGCACGATTGATTGTATGATGCTCAATGAATGTAATCCTTCAGACGTCGTGAAACCTCGCTTGACGAGACACCGTCAGTCACCGTCGAAAAAATAGCGCTATCCCGGTAAACCCCTTTAATATGATATTCTCAACAACCACAGCTCTATATACTGATGGTACAGTATAGCTACATAACCGGTGTTTTGCACAAAAATATAAATCTCGAAAACATGGATGACGCCAGAACGGCAAATGTCCCGACGACGTCACAGAACAAATCCGAAGCGACACACGGATCAAATAATGGATATATTATTTTAGCGACGGTCGAACTTCGCCAATCTTTTTGCCACCACTGTTTTAGCGACAACAAAACGCAATCTCTTGGTTGTAGTAAAAAACCATTCCTGCAATAGTTTTGTCCTGTGTGCCTCGAGAAGCTTTTTAAAAATAATAATAAAAAGAGATCAAGATGACAACAGCTTACGCATCCGCCAACAATACTGCCGACGTTGAGACTCTCCATAAGATTGGCAATGCTGCTGAGGTTGCCAATGAGACTCGAACCTTCACCAAAGAACGTGTGGCCGAACTCCAAGAGGGTGTCGACGAGGGTAACATGTCTTTGCGCTTGTTGTCTTCGATTGGGGCATTGATGCTAATTGTTGTCAGCGTTTTGACATCTTTTGCTGATCTGTTGATGATCAACGGAGGATCCTTCCTCTTTGGATGTTACGGATTCATTTTGGGATTTGTCATTCTTATCTTGGAGTATGGAAAGCGTGTTCCAGCTTTTGGAAATATGGAATCTAAGTTGTACAAGAATATGGGCTGCCTCAAGACTGTCTGGGGGCGTGGTTGCCTCTTGTTCTTTGCAGGAACCGTCGAATTCGCCCAGAACGATTTCATCAACTACGCTGTCGGTATCTACCTTTGCAGTGTTGGAGTTCTATTCATCTTGGTTGGACGCAGTGCCGCTCGCAAGACAGCCACTGCCCGAAGAAACTTGTACACCAGCGAACAATTAGAGAAAATGTTTGTTGGAGTCGATCAAGATGGTGGTGGTTTCATCACCAAGAGCCAATTCGGCGATTTGACCGTCGAACTGGACATGGATCTTACTCGAAGAGAAATCGAGATTGCCTTCCGACAAATCGATGTCCAAAACGAAAGTCGTATCGACTTTTCCGCCTTTATGAGATGGTGGAATGATGAAGCCACTGAAAAGTTGGACAGCTTTATCCCACCCTCTGATATGGCATAAGATATTGAGCTCATGATGAGTACAACATTGGGGAACAGTCCTACTACCATCAAGCTCTATATTCAACAGTGGAGACGGTAACAACGACCGCATATTCAATGTGCAAACCAGGGGCAGAACGACATTCTTACTGCCTGCATGAACACAAACGTCATTATTTGTCTGTATTCGTATTAATAATATTCATACTGTAATCTATAAAAGAAATCTGTCAACCAAACGACATTCAAACGGACCGTCCTAGATTGGCGCCTTCTTCTTGCCATGCAGGGCGGAGCGTACTATTGCGAAAGTCTAGCCACACATGATTTCTACTTCGAGAAGTGCCCTGAAGCATTGGATCTTGTGAAATCGACTCAAGCAAACGGATTTCGGTTTATGCAACAAGATTTCATTTTATAGAATTCAAGATATTCGAGTTCAGACTCACTTTGGGGCCCAAGCTGCTTCGCTAAGATTCTTTGGTTGTTCAAGAACTGCTGCTCGTGTTCTTCCAGCATGGCTTCGAACATGGTGCAATAGTTCCGCAGCCAGACCAGATTCCCCTCGCTCTTTGTCGGTGTGCGCAATTCGAGTTCCATTGTATTCGCCAACGTTCATCAAGGTCTCAGTATTTCTTTTCAGAGGTCCCACTCAGCAATGAATACCAATTTGGCTGTGGTGCTGACAGTCGCAGCGTCAAAGAGTCCAACTTTCGCTAACACATCATTGGTATATACTTGCATCCGTACCAAGGGGCCTCCAACACAGTCCACTGGGACGTTATTGATCGCCGATGAGGATAACGGGAGATATTTTGGTGGAATCTCCATTGCCCAGGAAACTTCCTTCCAATTTCCAATGGCCTTCTGGGGAAACAGAACTTTGAAGAGTCGATTCTTCACGCCAATGAATCAATCTTCCGGAGGCTTCCTTACAAAGCGACTATTATTGTCTTTTAGACGTAACAGGCATCTTTGAAATATGCATTCAATGTATGGAGCTACAAGGGGTAGCAGGACCGACAAGATAAGCAGGGTTGGAAATTACTTTCTACGACTACGCCACGTACCAGTAGACTGAACTTGTATCCTGGAAGATCGGATCTGTACAACAAACACACCGTTCAAGATACGCACAGCATCCTGAACTGATGAAGGCTTTATACCGAATAGGCTAAAGACGGTATCGAAGGTATGGGCATTGATCTAATTCTATTTAGTATTAGGCCATTACTGACTTCTAGTTCGTTTCCGATCGGGAAGTGGTTGCTCTTCACTTCAGCTCTGAGTCCAAAGAAAAATAGTCTTGCGACTCCCAGTTGTGAACACTTGCCGAATCGTCGTCGGCTTCGGCATCGAGTTTGGCCTCGGCGTCAAGTTCGGCCTCGGCATCGACTTCGGTGGCATTATGAAGAAGACGCCCGGCATTGACATCGGCATCGAAAAGACGCTGCTCGGCCCATTGGAAGCTTGGATGTTCAGAGGAGAGAACGGCACGGTTCGCGCTTGCAAGCTGACAGAGACTAGAGATGATCAAGTGGCGATTGATGACATCTTGTTCTTCATGCTCTTCTTGTCCCATTCCCATAAACGCACGGGTCGTGGTGGCTTCGACAGAAAGTGGACTTGGAATGGAAGGGTTGATAGATGCAAGTTGCAAAACCCAATGAGCCCACATGAAACGCGCAGCATCTTCAGGCGATGCAAACCTGATGCCGTAAATGCTGGACTTGTAATCGGTACCAATTACGGCGGATCGCGCTTTGAAATGGACTTCGTTCGGTTTGCTGGTTGTCTTATGAACAAGTGGAAAGTTATATATAACCAGCATGTTCAGGCCACCAGCACATGTGAGGCTGTTGTGGAAGGTCACTTGACCTTTTCCTCGTTGAGAATCGAATCTCGGGTCACTTCTGAGAATGATCTTGTAGCGAAGAGGCCCACTGCCGTATTCGCGCCACTTTCCCCCTTTCCCACCATATTGAAAGAGGTGGACGTTTTCAATCTTGCAAAGCACGACAGTAGCAACTTCAAACAACATGGCTCTTGCTCTGTTTCCAATTGCGTAATGCAAATGTTCAATTTTGAAATTTATGAGCTTATTCTTAGCCTTTCTGAAAGTCGTTTGTTTCTCGCGTGACAAGGTCGGAGTTGGGGCCGAGCGAGGTCGGCGGTAGCATATCTACGTGAGGGCGTAGAAATTGGAAGGACACGACGAAACGTTGTCGAAATCGTTTCAATCACAGATGGTCGAGCAAGGCTTTGTGGGCCACACATCATGGCATATGTATATCATAAGTATTGGAACTAGTATAAGTACCACAGTCACAGATTCTGATCATTCCAATCGCCTCATCGCCTGGCCTCTAAACAAGGCAAGCGAATCATGTGGTTGGACCAAAACCCGTCGTTGCGGCTTTTTGCCTGCTTTTTTTAAAACCAGAGTGCCGGTGCTGGCTAAAGGCTAATATCAAAGTCACATTAAAATGGTTTTGCATCCATTTCGATACCTTGATGATTCATAAGAAGTCACTTTCCGAAGAGGACGAGAGTCGAGAACTAACAACAAAATTCGTAGCGTCCAAAACTTGTGGAAGTTCTATATTATACTTCGCAAGAATGTCGCCCTAGCCCCTACTTACGATGATTGGGCCAAGTGGCGCTGAATCAATCCAACTTTGACGCAAATAGTTCCAGAAGCAAAGCGATCTTTGTAGTTCTTTGTGGTTTGCTCTGGTTCAATCGTATCGTCGTCTCGTGCTGGAAAGGGATTTACTATTCCTTTGTGGTTGTCACCAATCTCTGGTTGGCGCAATGCGTAGAATCGTCGTAGCAAGAGTATAAGGGTGTGAAACTGGAGCATTAATTTATTCAACGACGAATATAATTTATGTACCCTATGTGACGGCTGTGGCACTGCAGGCGCGATATGGTTCAACGGACGGAACCATATTGATGAACACTAAAAAAGCCCCAGAATTTGTGTGAAAACGGCACTTTTTAAATAAACACTTAAAAACGCCAAAATATTTTTGTGAAATCTGACATGGCCTTGTTTAGTGTTTATCAAAAAGGTGCCGTTGAACCATATCGCGCCTGCAGTGCCACAGCCGTCACATCGATCACAGGATTTTTTGGGTTTCACACCCTTATACTCGTAGAAATCGAAAACTCAGATGTTTCATTCGATCGACTGGTACTCTTATCGAGTCCCGAGTGGACGATACAGCTTTGAGTGCACGCATTCTTCCGAACATTTGAATATTGAATTGCGGGCGACTGCAAGACGTTGGATAGAATCGACCAACTCGAAGGAGTGGTTAATTAAGAGGGGCAACCTCCTCCCCTGAATTTTATTCAGATCATTATTTCGGGCGCACAATCCTACGTCACATTTTCCGTGGACGGCAGTTTTGTTTCACGAGCACATGGTTTAGCGCGCTTTCGATTGCTTCCACTGTGTTGAAAGCCATAATTCCGACATGAAAAAATCGTTTAGGTTTCCAGCAAGTTCAAAAGAATCGTTTGAGTCCGCAAAAAATCGTTTGAGTTCACAAATCACATCGTTTGGAGCGATTGCTCATCCTTCTCAATCGCTTTGGATTTCGCAGACTCCAATTGGGCCTAAAAGAGTTTCAATGATGTTTTTGGGCTGACAGTTGTTACTAGCTGTTGGCCCCCAAACCCCCAGCGCAAGCGCTGGTTTCCTCCATCCGGCCATCTTGTTGCCGTCCAGGGTGTGGTGGGTGGAAAAAAACGCTAGTGCCCGACGTGATCAACAAGAACATCGGTCAAGCGTTGCAGCAAAGGCTCGGACTGCCTCTAACACCTCCTACGAACTTAAATTTTTTTACAAGGGATGGGCAAAGTATTCTCTAGCGCTTTGAAAAGGTTTTAGGTCCGTAGGTGCTTTTTGAAATTTTTGCTTTGTCCCCAGAATTCCAAATTCCACCCAAATTGTGGGTGTGTATTTTGTGGATCGGGGTCATATATATATTATCATCCCATTGCGCATCGCGGCAACTAATAAAATAATACGAGTATACAGTAATCAGAATGACGCACGCGTTTGGATTTGAACGTACCGGTATACGGTATACGGTATACGGTATACGGTATACGGTATACGGTATACGGTATACGGTATACGGTATACGGTATACGGTAGCAGGTGAAGCAAATGATGTTAAATTAAGATTGAACAATCAATGATGCATACAGTGATGCTGATGATGATGCAGACAATCTTGTTGTGGTCTTCAAGTGACAACATCTCTTGCATATATGGTCATTGATACATGCTTCTGTAATAGTTGTGCCGGTATTAATATATACCGGTAGTAGTATTTGAACACGTTTGATGCTGAGCTGAGACAGTTGTCTTGACAACTCTGAATGGGGCATGGTTGTTGGTGAAAAGGAATAATGAAGATGGTATCATCAATGCATGCCTGCTGGCGTACCGGTAGGAAGCTCTTTGGAAGTTTGTGATGGCAAGATGAACATTTAATGCAGATGCAAGACTGCGAGCTATTTGGAGTTTGTTTTTGTTGAAGATAATCAGAGATCCAGTCTTTATTGGTGAAAGCACGACTTACGACTTTCAAGCATCTGAGCGTCCGTAAACTCAGAGGTTGGAATGATTTATTGGAGGCGAGGGTAGCTCCTCTTGTCCGAAACGTTCTTAGTAGGAGAGGGGCTATCCACTATTCGGAGGGCTTCGGCAAGAATGAAAACTCGTCGTTCATCGACTGTTTTAGCTGAAACCATGCGCCTCGTAAGGTGAGTGGGGAGTTGCAGTGAAACACGAGGACCGGAAGGTCTTTGAGGAAGGTTTTGTGGGTTGCTGGAAGACTTCATGGTGATTGACAGATGAAATGCTTCGTCAGTTGTATCGTGAGAAGAAAGGAAAATTATGAAATGCTTTGTACAGTAACGATGCGTCTTTCCAAACAGGGTTCTCGAAGTTCAAAGTGGTGCTATTTGCTTATGACATTTTTCGAAAAAGGACACCTATATATATATACAGTATTATATAGTGGTACCATTTACTTATTAGAAAAATATCGTATGTTTTTAAAAGGGTCCCAAAAGAAACTTTTAACTTCAATCTTGGCTGGTCGTGATGGTCTTATCAAAACTTTCAATAAAAAATCGGCGAGATACCGGTATCCGGCATCGTTTGTGATCATCACTTCTTGATTCGTCAATAAAACCATGACTGACTGACTCACAGCCCTGCAACTTTTCAGATTCTATTGTGACTCCTGTATCTTACTGCTGGTAATCTGACGTTGTAGTGTTCTTTGAGGATGCTAAGAAAGGTGTAGACAAGCTCTTCAAGGTCACCATGAACTCGCGGATGATGTCTCCTATGGTATGATAAAACCTTCTGCTGATGTTTAAAAAACATTCAGTAGTTTTTTAGTGATGTGAATATTCGACTGGTTTTGATTGAAAATTCAAGAAAATACTCTATCGTATCAAGAGTATATCATAGGTAGTTCTTGAGGTCCCAACAATATCGTACTTTTGTAACAGGTGCTTTTACTCTTAGGATTCTAGCTACGGTCGTTAGGGTTTGGATTGGGGATACCATTATCATCATGATCATATTGTTGTTGTATCATGAAAGGTATAAGAGGGACTTTAGATGGTGTATGATTGCTGAGTGTCCATAAAATCAGAGGTTGGATTGGCTTATTGACGTCGAGGGTAGCCCCCCTCGGCTGAAATGTTCTTAGTAGAGGGGCTATCCACTATTCGGAGGGCTTCGCCAAGGATGACAACTCGCCGTTCATCGTCTGTTGTAGCTGAAACCATGCGCCTCGCAAGGTGACTGGGGAGCTGCAGTTGAAGACGGGAACCGGAAGGTCCTTGAGGAAGGCTTTGTGCGTTGCTGCTGGAAGTCTTCATGGTAATAAGTTTGTGAAGCAGCGGAGAAACGTTTTGTGAGAAGAAAGGGAAGAAAAAAATGAAATGCTTTCTGAGAAGAGTGGGAAAACGATCAGCGATGCGTCTTTCGAAAAAGGGTCCTGCAGTGTAAGATTGTTCTTCACTTGAAGTTTCCAAACACAGTTCCCGTAAAGATAGCACAATAATACAGGAATGACACAATGAGCCTGAAATTGCCAGATGATTGTACCTGGACTCCCCGCAACTCGTCTGTCCATCCACCGATTTCTGAGCGTCGGACGCGACTACTCCCACAACTCAATTTTTCCCACAACCCAATTTTGCTTCCGTGGGAAAACTGTCATTTCTACACAGAAAACCATGTAGGATATGTAATGAGACAAATTTGAAAGTTTCCTACAACTCTAACAACTCTAATTGTTTTATTGGGAATTATGGGAAAAATGTCCGTTCTACGGAAAACTGTCCGTTCTACGCACAAAACAACGTTTGATATGTAATGACTAGAAATTAGACAACTACATATGATGTTTCCCAAAAACTCTAATTGTTTTGGTGATATTTCGTGATACATTTTTAAGGCAAAAAACGGACAGCTGAGCAACGGAAATTCCCACAACTAGTTGTGGGAAAATTCCCACAACTACTGTAGTTGTAGGAATTTCCCACAACTATTTTTAAAGATTCCTACAACTAGCCTAGTTGTGGGAATTTTTGGCAAAAACCTGTTCCCACAACTAGTTGTGGGAAATCGCGTTAAATATCGCGGGGACGAAATAAAATGAAAAGGGGGAATTCCCACTGCCTCAATGCGACAATAGAAACCGATCAAACGATTTTGAAACCGATCAAAGAAATCGAAACAAGTCAATGGGACAAGAAACTGATCAAACGATTTTGAAACCGATCAAAGAAATCGAATCAAGTCAAAAAAATGAGTCACGAAATAAATTGAAAATCATGTCAGTCAAAGCATAATCCTTCAAGATGACAAATGTTACAGCGTACAGTAGGATCGAACGTATGGACCACAGCAAACCTCACAAATACGAGTTTCAGACCTTGAAAAATGGCAAGGAAGAAAAACCTTCAACCAAGGAAAGGTGCCATAGCTGAGTTCCTGCGAGATTCAACAAGAACCTCCAACAACGCAGCATGGCATAGTTCTTGAAGAAGAGGATAAAGACGACAATCACAATAATGAGGATGACGACGAACTACCTCAATATGCTGAACCAAGAGATGAAGAGGGTAAAGATGACTACTACTACTAGAATGAGATGCAAAGTAAATACAATTAGGGGCCCTACTCAAGACAGTTTCTATCTATCTCCTTCATAAATTTCTACAGCATCCTCGATCATAATATCGTATAATGGCATCTCTCTTGTGATCAGATAATGAGCCAAGACGCAACAAGCCTCGAAAGCTGAAGCAAATCTATCTCCGTTGTGTCGAAATCGTGTCTCAAGATCTTGTTTTGCTTCAACAGACTGTAGAAATCATCCTGTCTCTTGAGAGCTCGACTCTTGAAGGGCCTGACACCAGCATTGTCGTGTGTGTTGTAGGTGCTCATGTGCTTTGGCTCTCTGTTGTAGCCTCGATCTCCAAGGGCAGTTCCACAATCTTTCTCTCTTACCCAATCGTTGGAGTCGAACTGGGACGTCAGCTCATCTTCGGATAGGTACTTTTGTAGATATTACAGTTGTCCAATCAAGAAATATTAGGGTCAAGTACTCCTCCCTTGATCCTTGCGCCTGCAATGTTGCAGGGTGTGGTGGGTGGAAAAAAACGCTAGTGCCCGACGTGATCAACAAGAACATCGGTCAAGCGTTGCAGCAAAGGCTCGGACTGCCTCTAACACCTCCTACGAACTTAAATTTTTTTACAAGGGATGGGCAAAGTATTCTCTAGCGCTTTGAAAAGGTTTTAGGTCCGTAGGTGCTTTTTGAAATTTTTGCTTTGTCCCCAGAATTCCAAATTCCACCCAAATTGTGGGTGTGTATTTTGTGGATCGGGGTCATATATATATTATCATCCCATTGCGCATCGCGGCAACTAATAAAATAATACGAGTATACAGTAATCAGAATGACGCACGCGTTTGGATTTGAACGTACCGGTATACGGTATACGGTATACGGTATACGGTATACGGTATACGGTATACGGTATACGGTATACGGTATACGGTATACGGTATACGGTATACGGTATACGGTATACGGTAGCAGGTGAAGCAAATGATGTTAAATTAAGATTGAACAATCAATGATGCATACAGTGATGCTGATGATGATGCAGACAATCTTGTTGTGGTCTTCAAGTGACAACATCTCTTGCATATATGGTCATTGATACATGCTTCTGTAATAGTTGTGCCGGTATTAATATATACCGGTAGTAGTATTTGAACACGTTTGATGCTGAGCTGAGACAGTTGTCTTGACAACTCTGAATGGGGCATGGTTGTTGGTGAAAAGGAATAATGAAGATGGTATCATCAATGCATGCCTGCTGGCGTACCGGTAGGAAGCTCTTTGGAAGTTCGTGATGGCAAGATGAACATTTAATGCAGATGCAAGACTGCGAGCTATTTGGAGTTTGTTTTTGTTGAAGATAATCAGAGATCCAGTCTTTATTGGTGAAAGCACGACTTACGACTTTCAAGCTTGTCGCCGGCATGCAACTATGCAATATCGACCCATATGCGATGGGCTTGAGACAGGTTTAGATCAAGCTGGCGACATCGTACCGGTATATTACGCATCCGCCAATAATGCTGCCGATCTTACGTTGACAAGGCAGTCAAGGTAGCCAATGAGACTCGAGCCCTCACCAAACCAAAAAGATATGGCCGAACTCCAAGAAGGTGCCGATGAGACCAGCGAACTCCAAGAAGGTGCCGATGAGACCAGCATGTCTTTTCGCTTGTTGACTTCAATTGGAGCATTGGTGTTGATTGTAGTCAGCGCTTCGACATATGTTGATGACCAACGGAGGATCAACGGAGGATCCTGACCCTCTTTGGTTATTATGGATTCATTCATTTTGGGATTTGTCATTATCGTGGAATCAATCCAATTTATTGTACAAGCAAATGCGCTGCCTCATCCACACTGCCTGAGGCTATGGGGGGCTCATATTTTCCCTTTGCCGGAACTGTCACATTGAACCTCAACAATTGCATCGACTGACTACGCTGTATATTGGTATCGATCGAAATCGGCATCGACATCGGCATCGACATCGGCATGATGGTAGCTTCATCATCAAGAATCACTTCAGCGATTTGACCATTGAATTGGACATGGATATTACTCGAAGAGAAATCGAGATTGGTGCCTTCCGACAAATTGATGTTCAAAACGAAAGTCGTATCGACTTTTCTGCCTTTGTGAGATGAAACTTTGGACAGCTTAATCTCGCCTCGGATACGGGTTGTAAGACTTCAGTATGTCGAGCTTAATTATGAGTATCAAATTCGAGAACAGCGATATCTTCCGAATGTTGGTTGGTAACGATTTGGTGCTCATTCATGCATACGGTGTGTGAGGAGGATCACGATAACATGGCGACGTCCTACTATGCACATGTGATTATGATGACAAGTTCCTTCCAATTTCCGATGGTCTTCTTTGGAAAGAGAACTTTGGAGAGTCGATTTTTGCGTTACCGAATCAGTCTCCCGGAGGCTTACCGGTACGTACAAAGCGACACTCATTATATTGTATTATAATATTATATTGTTTTCAGTTTTATTGTTACACTCCATTACAAAGACACATACTAGGTACTAGTACCGGTACAGACCTGTACGAAGGAAAAGAAAATATGTGTCCAAGAGGTGTTGGTACAGCCATGCAGATAATTGTACAGCATCACAACAATGGCAGGGTAGATGGGTACGAGCGATTGTTTCATTGGTCGCACGTTTGAATATAGATATACATACCAGTCAAGATGAATGGAATGATACGTATACCAAAGATGGTACCCTCGTGTGCAGCTGACAGCAGCATTACCGTGCACCAAGAAGGCAATTTGCTGAGCTCAAAACTTGAAAGATTTGCTTGTGCTGTCCTCGCTCTTTGGAGACTCATCCTTGAGTACTGCAAGGAATTCATCATACCAACTGGTATTCTCTTTATCGTCGTCGTCCTCCTCGGAGATTGGAATCTCAAGAGTGTCGCAAACATCCTGGTTCTCGGGGGCACAATGAGCGTTGTTGGCCACTTTGTAATCCTGCTGCACTTGAAGAAGTTTTTTCTGCATATTCTCAATATGGAATCCCAGGCGTACGGCTTCTTGACGATATTCTTCAAGGATAGCCTGCGTTTTCTTGTCGGCAGTGTACTTCTTTTCATACTTCTTGGTTGCGGCCGTGGATGCTTTCACTTTGGTGACTTCTATCTTAGAGACACGGCTATACTCCTTTTGAGCTGCAGCCGTCGAAGCCTGATAGCTCATGATCAAGTCTTCCCAGCCCTGGACCTCCTCGCGGTTGAATCGAGAAGTTTCTACTGTAGGAAGTACCAAGACTTTACCTTTTTTCTGCTCAGGAGAAAACAGAGTGTCATCGACGCCTCCAACTTCATCTCCAACATGTTTGAACTTGAAAGATTGGCTTGTGCTGTCCTCGCTCTTGGGAGACTCATCCTCGGGTACTGCAAGGCAGTCATCATACCAACTGGTATTCTCTTTATCGTCGTCCTCCTCCTCCTGAGATTTTCAGGGATTGGAATCTCAAGAGTGTCGCAAACATCCTTCCTCATGAATGGAACCTTCTGCTTTGCCAAGTCGAATGCCTGTGCAGGTGGAAATCCACGCTTCTTCATCAAAGATCTAATGAGTCTAAAATCTTCTCCTTTCAGATTTTCCTTTAGCCATTCGTAGTCCCGTGGAATGTTGACCTTGACTAAAATATCATCCGCTGTCTTGAACTTCCACCTGTTTGAGGCGTTAGAAAGCTCGGTAGAAACATGCTCGAATTTTGCAAGAAGCTCTGCTGCCAGACGACTAGCTATTTTGACAGCCTCCTCTGCCTCAATGTGCATTCTTTCAAGTTCTCGCAATTCGCGCTGGTTATCGAGGGCACAATGAGCGTTGTTGGCCACTTTGTAATCCTGCTGCACTTGAAGAAGTTTTTTCTGCATATTCTCAATATGGAATCCCAGGCGTACGGCTTCTTGACGATATTCTTCAAGGGTAGCCTGCGTTTTCTTGTCGGCAGTGTACTTATCTTCATACTTCTTGGTTGCAGCCGTGGATGTTTTCATTTTGGTGACTTCTATCTTATAGACACGGCTACACTTTTTTACCTGCAGCCATCGAAGCCTGATAGCTGATGATCGAGTCTTCCCAGCCCTGGACCTCCTCGCGGTTGAATCGAGAAGTTTCTACTGTAGGAAGTACCAAGACTTTACCTTTTTTCTGCTCAGGAGAAAACAGAGTGTCATTGACGCCTCCAACTTCATCCCCAACATGTCTTCTTGCTGTTTGGGTTGGCAGTTGGGTTGGAAGCTGCATTGAGCGACAGAACAGCATTGCCACTTGGACTCTTTTGAGCTGCCTCTTCTCTCTCAAAGCGATCAGTGGAAGGAGAAATAGAAGGAGATGTCATGTTGGCTACCAGTAGATATGAATGCGACGAGTTGATGTAATCGCGTTGTTAGTAATACTGCTTTTGTAATGTTAAAAAAGAAAGTAGCGGGCACATAAAATAACGGCAACGGCGGCAAGGAACCGTTCGACTGACTGACTCACTCTGCCTGCAATGTCAAATGGGCGTCAATCCGTCGGCACTGTAGTCGCAAGAGTCGAACGGTTCCAGTCTGTTTTGGTCCGCCAAATACCTGTTACCTCCCCTTACTTTTTTGAACGACACACTCTCCCTCGTCGGATTCAATCTGTTTTGTCGATTCCTCAACATCTATTTGATCGAAGGTGTGTGTTGCTATCCGAGCGAAGACAAGGCACTGCAATCCTCTCCGCATTATTAGACAATTTGCTCACTTCTGGGTTTCTGTTGCTTTCTTTCTTCTTCTATTGCTTTACTTTCTGTAGTTTAGATTATCAAACATGACCCGATACAGTGTTGAACCCGAAGTTCCTGAAAAGACTTCCAAGAGCCGTGGCTCTCACTTGAGAGTGCATTTCAAGCACTGCAGAGAAATTGCTCACTTCACCAAGGGAATGAATGTCCAAAAGGCTTTGAAGCACTTGGACAATGTCTTGGAATTCAAGTCTGTCATTCCGTTTGTCAAGTTCACTGGAGGTATTGGACGCAAGGCACAAGCCAAGCAATGCAAGGCCCCCGGAAACATTGGTCGATGGCCCGTGAAGGCCACTGCCGTTTACAGAGATTTGCTGAAGAACGCCGTGGCTAACGCTGAAACCAAGGGATTGGATCCTGACACCTTGATTGTGGATCACGCCCAAGTCAACCGTGCTCCTCCAGGAAGACGTAGAACCTACCGAGCACATGGTCGTATTGGTAAATACGCCAGTCAACCAGCTCACATTGAAATTATCCTTAAGGAAGCACCCGAAGGTGTTGAGAAGGCGGCGGAAGAACCACGCGTCAAGATCACCAAGAAGATGGCAGCCATGCGCCGATTCGTAAAGGTTGGTGAACCTTAAGAATTTAATAAATAAAACAAATTGAACTATGCCCAATGGACTGAAGTTAGTTGTTCCATTATGTATACCATAGGGGAGTGTGTGCGATTGATGATGGCTTTGGGAATGGTGAAGTTCGTGGATAGATTGTTATTATCCCTTAAAAGGTTGATGGGAGTCGTTTGATCAGAAGTACTTGGCCTAGAAGGGGTATGCTATGTCCTACATCATTATTGCATACTCTTCTTTGCAGCAACTCCATCTCGGATCAATGGGAGGCAAACGAAAATGCTATATCATCCCCCAAGACTTTCTGCTACTGCTACTGTGATCGTGATATTATTATGAGGAGCCGCTAGGTACTAGAGCTGGGCTTGAATGACACTTTCTGAACAAAAGTTTTAGTTGGAGCCAAATGATGATATGCTATCGTTGCTTCTGTCTGAATACCAATTCTGATGATTGTCTGGGGTGGGCAGCAAGTAGTACAGTAGGTAGGATCCACCATCGTAACAAGGCCAAATCAAACGAGGAGAAAACAAAAGAAAGACAGCAAAAGGAATACAACACCTGGGATTCCAACGTGGTCCCCCACCGTAGTACTAACCAGGCCCGAACATGCTTAACTTCGCTGAGCGGACGGGAAGCGGTGCTGCTAAAAAATAATTATGATCTCATATATGCAAAGGCTTGTTTCCAATGTACCTTTATTTTCCCAATCAAAGTCCCGGCTTTGCATCGAGGATTACAGCAGTACTCACCTGCTTGCCCTTATTACATTGGTGGTATATTGGCCAGATCCATGGTGTAGTAGTGACCATAGGTATTCATCATTCCCAAGAATCATATAATAACTTCGAGAGTATTCTATTCGAACGACAATCATCATAAATACCACAACAGTATTGGTGTTTGGTAGGTCCTAAAGTCATGCATTCTAATTTTTTTCTAAGTTTATCGATATTCTTCAGGACCTATGTACAAACAGAATCAAGGAGAGACATCACACTTGGTTGGCCGCCCGTGAGCATGTCCTTATTGGCTCGAAGCAGATGACATTTCTTTCTCCTTCTTGGCGCCACCACTGCTGCTACGAGACAATCCTTGAATGGCCTTGGCAATAATGTCCACCGTCTCCTCTTTTGGTTTGGTTTGATGACCAAAATAAACTTCCAAAGTCACCTTTTCGTTGGGAATTCCCGCCTGTTCCAATCCCTTTTGGAATTCGTAGACCAATCCACCATTACCAATCAAGTGAAAGTGAGTACTTTGCAAATCCAACAACGAATCGATGGTATTGCTGGCCGTTAGACACTCTTGAAGGCGTTCGACACTGGAGGAGATTCGACCACCATTGTCATTGTCATCACTACTATTCGTCGTGACAGGAGTCCACGAGATTTGGTTTGGATATTCCTTCTGCCATTGATTCAACTTGTCGGCCAAGGCAATTTCATCCTCGGTGCGAAAGCTAGCCACCAAATGAATGGGTGGGAATGGTTCGTTGCAGGCCAACTTGTTCTGAACTACTTGTTCCATGGCACCGACACAGGGGCCCACGCCGACACCGGTCGATAACAGCACGACTTGAGAGGTAGTATCCACATCAATCCCTTCGACAATGGGAACCTTGAATTTGCCACCCACTTTGATGGGAGTTCCCTTGGGTGCATCGGCAAAGGCTTGTGACTTTTCGCCCACCAATTTTAGTAAAACTTGAAGTTCCTTGGATGATTTGGAAGACGAGACAGTATAGGGTCCTCGCATCCAACCATTGTTCTTTTGGGTGTCCTCATAGGTATGTGTACTCTTGTCTTTTGGATCTCCCTGGATTTCCAACGCCAAGACGTGCCCTGGTTCGTAGTCCCATTCATCGTCGCCTTCCGCTTCAATGTGCAAGAGCACGGTTCCCTTGGCCACTGATTCAGCCTTGGACAGACGAGCCATGATCTTTTCGTACTGTGGCGCGACTTGTTTCTTCGTTTCTTGTTGTTTTTCTTCCGTGGCCATGGAAAGAGGAAGATGGCGGGAATGTTGTCTGGTAGCACCCACAACATTTGGTGCAAAAGCTTCTAGACAACTGGCATGGAATCCCACAATCCAGAATGCGAACGCCAAGAATGCTAGACTACTGGTAGGTCGTGCTGGAAGGAAGGGCTGTTTGTTCATTTTCGTGATAGTGCTTTGCTTCCTTGCTTGACTGTGTGTCACTTCTGATTTGAGATTGATTCGGTCCCTTGCGTTATGGTAGTTGCAAATGTTTTGCTTTTGGTTGTCTTTTGGTCGAAGATGAAGATGATGGATCTTCCAAACCTGGGATATGGTACCGGTAGACCTTCACTGCAATTGTTTCGTGTCACTTTGGTGGAAGGTTGCAAGCGCGCGGGACACGTCATCATTGGAATTGATTGCTTCGATTACAGAATCAATCCAACACCGGTCGAATGAGTCGAATGAATCAATTAAAAAAATATACCGTGCGCGCGCTGGCAGTCCACAAAAAAGGCAACCGAGATGTGGACAACGCGTCTCACGAGAAATTATGTACCTTACAGCAGCTGATGAGTTGAAAGAGAAGACCACCGCATATACATGGTACTGAATCAAACTCATAGCACAACACTCACTCAGTATATGCAATAACAGAAAGGAGATACAATGTGTACTGTCTTAACGTGTACAATCTTGGTATGTCTGATACTGATAATAGTCTTCTCGGTCAACAAGAACAACGACGAAGAATCCCCCACCACCAAACTCGTCTCATCCACCGATGGAGGGGGACTTCGACCACCCGACAGCAGTGTGGAAAATACTAACGACAATAGCAAGGTTCCAATGGTATCCAACATTCCCTTGTCGTCTCCCACAACTTTTGCACCAACAATATCACCAACAATATCTCCGACTACTTCTGCAATGCCATCCTCCTTTCCCACCGGATTGGCCGATCGACCGTTGAATTGCGTCCAGTCGGTGGTGGACAGCGATACGCTTTTGATTCCACACAGCAGAGATTATTATCGAGGCGATGTCCATTGTTTACGACTTGGTCAAGAATATGCTTACTTTGGATTCACCTGGATGGGTCAATTTGGTTTGTTTGTCAATGATACCAGCGTTTGGACCATTTCCAGTGCTGCAATCATGGAGGACGCCCATCGATATGTCTTTCAAAACGATGGCAATTTGATATTGGACGACATGGATGGCAATCCATTATGGAAGTCACGGTCGGAAAATTCTTTTGATGGTCAATTGAGAGTCTCGTTCGAACGAGTATGGATTGAAACCACCATGGGATTCTCCCCTTGGTCCGAACCAACACCACCACCACTTGTGAATGACTATCCCGATCCAAATGGCGCATTGCAATATTTTGCCTATTATTATCCTTGGTACCGTCGGGGCGATTGGAGCCGACACGGATATCAAGACGAACCTTTGTTGGGCAAATATGGAACCGACGAGGTGGCCGTGGCCGAACAACACATTGAATGGGCGCTTCAGACCGGCATTTCGACCTGGGTGGTGAGCTGGTGGGGGAATTCGTCCTTGAGCATGCGACACTTTTCCGCCGGCATGATGCAGGCGCCTTCGCTTTCCAAAATCAAATTTTGCATCCTGTACGAAACTACAATTTTGGACGATCGCGGTAGTTGGTACAATGGAACCAAGGAAGAATCATTGTTTGAAGATCTAAAGGTTATTCGGGATGAATTCTTTGACCATCCTTCCTATTTGAAAATCAATGATCGACCGGTCCTTATCTTCTACATTACACGATCCCGAATGAGCTTTCTAGAAGGATTTGATGGAGTTTCGGTCCTTGCCAACATGCGCGAGCGGTTGGGTACGGACATTTATTTCATTGCCGACGAACCCTTTTTCAATACCTACTTTGAAACACCCGAGGAAAATGGAAATGCCTTTGTCAATGGCACTCAAGTCTTTGATGCCTACACGACCTACAACATGTTTCGAAACAGTGTAGTCGTGGAAGGAGAAACGGCGACGGAGTATCAATTGAGAGAAGGCATGCCCATTTGGCAAAGTTGGGCCGAACAGCTGCCCTTGTTTCCCAACGTCATGCCACAATACTATGACTTTCGTGGACACGAGCCACTCTTGGGGAGCTCGGAGGATTTCATGTTGCAGTTGCGCGAAGTGGCATGTTTGCCGCGGACCAATTTCAGTGGTGCACCGCATATCATGTTTATCACTTCCTTTAATGAGTGGTGGGAAGGGACTCAAATTGAGCCAGAAGATGGATCACTCGACAATTGGAACAATTATGGATTCCAATTCATGGAGACATTGGCCGCCTTTAAAAAGGAAGTGGACGCCACTGGAACTCCTTGGTGTGGAGAAGAAGAGGATGACAGGTAGGTAGCTTGATCAAGAGTGGAGGAAAGGATTATGATTGGAACTACTATATATATATTTAGAGAGAGAGAGAGCTGTAAATGGAGCAGAGATGACCAAGGTGCCCGAAAAGTTGCAGTATCGATGTCGAGATATGATTATCGTTTGTTAAAGCATGATGATCATATCCGTTTTGCAGGATAGATGGAAATGCGAGGATTCAGCACACTACTACTATATCGCAGACTTCTTGTGTGTCTAGCAAGAACCAGTAACACCGAAGCTACGTAAGAGTCATTCGAAAGACACGGGAGAATGCCACCAGGTGCTAATAGTAACTGCAATGCAGTTGAAAAATAGCGTATTCCTATCTACTCTACCGGTACCAGGTACATGTAGAATTCTGTACCTTCTCAAGGTTCCCAATAACAGGCTTGATCCGAAATTTCGGGACTCGAAGACATCCCTTCTTGATCTGACATCCGCAGTTCTCGTGTAAGATATTATTGTTGTGTCCGAGTAGGCACGGTACATGTGTCACACTGCGAGTTGGGTCAATCGAAATTGCATTGTTTTGGCGGTGCGCGACCATTCACTTAGCACGGTTGCTCTCCGAACGGAAATCAAATAACTCTATGCAGTCTTTCAATCTTGACACTCTGATCGCGAGAACCACTCCTCCGGATTTGTGCATTAGGTTGACATTCCTATGCCTTTTCATATTCTCGCCAAAGACGAGCCACTCCTGCGAAGGGTTCATAGGTGTGCTCTCAAAATTCAGGACGACCGGTTTGGTGCAAATTCTCGTCATTTCAAAATAATATGCACATGAAACTTCGGAACTCTCTCTATATACGGTATATTGTCACACCTCCTTTAGTCTTCATCTCTTCATCTGCACACATAGCATACCGGTAGTACAAGCATCAACAGTTCCACCTTGATCATACACAAAGACAGCTGTATCAGCAAGAAAAACATACAATGAGACTGTCATCGAACACCGTACTCTTGTCACTGCTAACATTCATCTGCTGTCACAATGATGATGGATCCAATTTTGCTGAAGCATCAAAGCTTCGACGAGGAAGTGCCAAGCGGAATGAAGAGATTGAGGACATATCATCTTCCCCTATACCTGAAGATTCCTCAGCTACAGAAACAACAAGATCTCTTCTTTCCTATTACAGCACACTGACGGACGCCGAGATTTTGGCCCTGAAGAAAACGCCTCCATCATTGCAGAGTTCAAAGTGTGGCAACAGCATGTTTCGCAAGCAACATCCTGGATGCAAAACAATTGAGGAGGCGCTCACAAAAGCTCCATCTGAACCCTTGTTTTCGTCGCCCACTGCCTCGCCGACACAACCTCTAACTACAACAAATGGTCCAACTGATGTACCTTCTCAGTCACCACCACCCAAGCCAACGAGAGAACCATCAACACAACCATCAACACGACCATCAACACGACCATCAACACAACCATCGATTTCACCGTCCACAATGGCACCAAGCACTTCCTTTCCTACGGAATCTCCCACTCGAGTCCAAGATCGGCCATTGAATTGCATACAAACCGTCAAAGGGAATGAACTAACCATTCGAAGCGGTATCAACTTTCGAAAAGGTGATGTACACTGCTTGATTTCGGATAACGGGGATGATGGTGACTCTGAAGCAGAAACCTATTTTGGATATACTTGGACAAATCAATTTGGTTTGTTTTCGAATAATACGAGCGTGTGGACCGTTCCCAGTGCAATCGTGTCAAGTTTCGATCGATGGACCTTTCAAGACGATGGCAACTTGGTGTTGCGAGATGGCAGTGGCAAATCGATTTGGACCGCTCGGACCCATGGCAACCGTGGGGCAAAACTCAAGGTATCCGTGGAACAAGTATGGATTGAAAGCAATGATAATGTGGGATCGACGGTCTGGTCCCAACCACCCTACATTGCTACCCTAGCTCCGTTTACTGGTGAATATCCTGATCCGAGTACCGGCCTACAGTATTATGCCTATTATTATCCCTGGTACCTTCGCGACAATTGGTCCAGGCATGGTTACCAAGATGAACCTCTGTTGGGAAAATATGGAACGGACGAAGTGGCCGTTGCCGAGCAACACATTGAATGGGCTCTTCAAACTGGAATTTCAAGTTGGATTATTTCGTATTGGGGTCCCGATCATTTGACCATGAAGCATTTTAAGGCAGGCATGATGAATGCGCCCTCCCTTAACAAAATCAACTTTTGCATGTTGTATGAGAGTGTCATCTTGGACGACCGTGGCAACTGGCGCGATGGTTCCAAGGAAGAAGCACTCTATCGCGACTTGAAGGTGATTGTGGATGAATTCTTTGATCATCCGTCCTATTTGAAGATCAATGGTAGGCCTGTCATCATTTTTTACATAACTCGATCTCGAATGGCATATGACGAAGGCTTTGATGGACCTTCGGTAATCGCCAATATGCGCCGACGATTGGGTCACGATATCTACTTTATTGCTGACGAACCCTTCTTTGATTGGGACAACAAAAGTCCGGAAGACAATGGAAATGCCTTCAAGGATGGGAAACAAGTATTTGACGCCTACACCACCTATAACATGTTCCGAAACAGTGTAGTTCGACAAGGAGAGACAGCGACAGACTATCAAATGCGAGAAGCCATGCCGATTTGGAAGCGGTGGGCCGAGCAGTTGCCATTGTTTCCCAATGTCATGCCGCAATACTATGACTTCCGTGGGCACAAGCCATTGTTGGGAAACTCGGCCGACTTCATGAAGCAGCTACGAGAAGTGGCATGTTTGCCGCAGACCAATTTTGATGGGGCGCCCCATATCATGATGATTACGTCATTCAACGAATGGTGGGAAGGGACCCAAATTGAACCCGAAGATGGCTCGCCAGACAATTGGAATAACTATGGATTCCAATTCATGGAAACGCTTGCTACATTCAAGAAGGAAATGGATTCCCTTGGAGCGTATTGGTGTCCGGAAGATACGATTGTTGAAGAAGCAGACAATGGCAAGAGGGGCTAATCGGCATGCCCTATTGTCTTCACTTTCCAAATATGCTGAGTTGCTACCGGTTGTTTGGACAGCCTGCCTCCGCGTAATGTGTAGAGCTGGACCAATGAATCCAAGACTACAATGGTGGAACATACGTGTATAAAATGATAGACCACTAGATCTTATGAATCTCACTGTAGAACAGAAATGACAAATATTAAAATAGATTGTCACACTGTTGTCACATTACGAATATTATGAACGGGTGTAGAACTTTCATCCCACAGGCGTCATCGCCCCAGAAGCAATGGAAAGTTTGCCAGGAATGCATACATTCCCTACTAGCACCAATAGGTTCCACGGGAATCGACTTCCTTTTTGAACGCCGCCAATGTCTCCATAAATTGGAATCCATAGTTGTTCCAATTGCCCCCAGAGCCGTTTTCAGGTTCGATTTGGGTCCCTTCCCACCATTCGTTGAAGGAAGTAACCATCATAATATGAGGTGCTCCGTTGAAATTTTTGCGTGGCAAACATGCCACTGCACGCAGCTGCTTCATGAAATCGGCCGAATTCCCCATGAGTGGCTTGTGCCCACGGAAATCGTAGTATTGTGGCATCACATTTGGGAAGAGGGGCACCTGTTCGGCCCATCGCTTCCAAACCGGCATAGATTCCCGTAGTTGGTAGTCCGTTGCGGTTTCTCCCCGTCGAACTCGGCTGTCTTGGAACATATTGTAGGTGGTGTAGGCGTCAAAAACTTGTTTGCCATCCTTGAAGGCGTTGCGATTGCCATTAGGACTTTGGTTGTTATAATCAAAGAATGGCTCATCGGCAATAAAGTAGATATCTCGGCCCAATCGTCGGCGAATATTGGCCAACACCGCGGGTCCGTCGAAGCCTCCTTCATATGGCATCCGAGATCGAGTAATGTAGAAAATGATTACGGGCCGACCATTGATTTTCAAGTACGAAGGGTGGTTCATGAACTCGTCACGAATCACCTTGAGATCTTGATAAAGTGCCTCTTCCCTGGAGCCATCGCGCCAGTTACCACGGCCATCCAAAGCGACACTCTCGTACAGCATGCAAAACTTCATCTTGTTGAGGGAAGGAGCTCTCATCATACCTGCCTTGAAATGCTTCATGGTCAAGTGATTTGGACCCCAATACGAAACAATCCATGATGCGATGCCTGTCTCGAGAGCCCATTCAATGTGTTGCTCAGCGACGGCAACTTCGTCTGTTCCATATTTTCCCAACAGAGGTTCATCTTGGTAGTCGTGTCGACCCCAGTTGTTGCGAAGATACCAGGGATAGTAGTAGGCATAGTACTGAAGGCCACTATTGTTGTTGGGCCTGCCATTGTTGTTGTTGTCATTGTTGTTGTTGGGTTTGGATGGTCCTAGGTATGGCGGCTGGGACCAAGCAGAATCGCCCATGTTTCTCTCGATCCATACTCGCTCGGACGTTACTCGCAAGTGACTGTTCCAATTCCCATCCGACTCTGTCGTCCAGATGGACCTACCACTGCCCTCACGGAGCACCAAGTTGCCGTCTCCTTGGAAGGACCATCGGTCAAACGAAGCCACTTGGCTCTCAGGTGCGGTCCACACACTTCTGCCATTGACAAAGAGACCAAATTGGTTGGACCAAGTATATCCAAAATAGGCTTCGGTTCCATCGCCTTGTCTGAGGCAATGGACATCGCCCTTTCGATAGATGGCATCAATCGGAATGGTAATTTGACCTCCCGCCACGTTTTGGACACATCTCAATGATTGGTCTTGAGGCCTCGTTGGAGGATTGGTTGGAGGTGGGGTAGGAGGATTGGTTGGAGGATTAGTTGGAGGAGCAGTAGGAGGCCTCGTTGGAGGAGGAGTCTGTCGAAAAGTTGGACCAGGTGTCGGTGGCGGAGTAGGAGGGCGAGTAGGACCAGGAGTCGGTGGCAGAGTGGGACCAGGTGTCGGCGGTGGAGTAGGAGGGCGAGTAGGACCAGGAGTCGGTGGAAGACTTGGACCAGGCGTCGGTGGTCGAGTAGGAGGGCGAGTAGGACCAGGGGTCGGTGCTGGACTTGGTGGAGGTTCTACTGTTGGGGAAGACGTAGGTCGAGGTGTGGGGAGACCCGTTGGTGGAGGAGTCGGTTGCGGTGATGGGCCCAATGTCGCAAAGAATGGTTCGGACCACAATTGCAATCCCACATTGCTTTCGATCCAAACTCGTTCCATGGACATTTTGAGTTGACTGCCGTCGTGACAGCAAGTATTAGTCCTCCAAATCCCTTGATTATTGGAGTCTCTCAAGAGCAAATTGCCATCCTGTTGAAAGACCCATCGATTGGAGGCTGCAACACTTTCATCGGGTGCTGTCCATTTGGCACTCCATTCAATTTTGTTGTTGACAAACAATCCAAACTGATTCGACCATGTATATCCAAAGTATGCAGCTTCGCCATCGTCTGAGATCAGGCAGTGGACATCCCCTCGTTTGTAGTACTGGCGCAAGGGAATGGTGAGGTCATTTCCCACAACGGTTTGAACACAGTTCAGTGGTCGCTGGTGGATGAAAGTCGGAGAAGAAGTGGGCGCATCGGTTGGCACTGGAGGTCCCAGATAGGGTGGCTGGGACCAAAGCAAATCACCCACTTCGTCTTCGATCCAAACTCTGTCAAAGGACAGTTTGAATTTTCCGCCATCGTTGCCATGGGATTGCGAGGTCCAGATTGCATTTCCCCTGGCATCGCGGACTGCCAAGTTGCCATCTTCTTCAAAGGTCCAATGATCAAAGGTTTCTTCCAGAAAGCCTTTGGGTATGTTCCATACACTTTCACCATTGACAAACAAGCCAAATTCGTTGGACCAATTGTACCCGAAGTAGGCTGTTTGTTGTGGTTCTTGACCTCCATTTCTATTCTCCCCCTCGAGTGAGGACAGGCACAGCACATCGCCTTGACGAAAAATGGCATCGTAGGAAAGATACGAAATGGAAATCTCTTCTCGAAACTGTTCGCTGTAGGGAATGGAAATTTCACTCCCCACGACAGTTTGCACACAATTCAAAGTTCGGTCTTGAATGTTGGTTGGAGCAATAGTGGGTGTCATTGCTGTTGGTGGTGGGGACAGGGTGGGAGCACCAATGGGCGGTAAGGTTCCTGGTACCATGTCAGTATCTTCTTCTTCAAACTGAAGACATCCAGGATGCTGTCTCCGAAGACTACCGAGGCTTCGAAACAAGCTAGTATCTCCACACTTCGAGCTCTTCAATGGGCCAGGCGGTGTCTTTTTCAAAGCAAAGAGTTCCGCGTCAGTCAATGTACCTAAGGAAAGAAGAGATCGTTCGTCAATGTTTTCTTCGGACATGTCTTCAATCTCGTCATTTTCATTGACACTGCCTCGTCGAAGCTTCGATGCTTCCACAAGATTGAATCGGTCATTGTTGTTGAACGACAACGACACGAGCAATGACAGTGCCACCGTATGGAACGAAAGTCTCATGGTACAGCCTTTTTATGGACTGTGCAGTCTTCTTCGATTATGAGGGTAATCTTATGCGAATGCTTGATTATGCAGTTGAAGATGAGAAGTCCTTCGCACACAAATTTGTTGAGCACCAGATGGTTTTTTGGTTTCGTTGTGCCTTCTTCCATGATGGAAGAGAAGTTGATGTTTGGAAAATTCGCAAAGAACGCAAACACGGTCCCCCCTCGCAGGAGGGTGATTAAATTAGCCCACCTTTTTCCTGGGTATGCAATAAGATACAGGTGCTCGAATGACTAGGGGTGTTCGTATTAGGCGAACGGTGTCACACCTGATGGCTGAATTCCCAGATACATTTATAAATTTCGCTTCCGTTCCAAAAAAGCGTTTTGAATAGCTACTAAATTAATTTAATCGCGGCATATTTTCTTAATGCATATTGTGCTACTGCATATTTCGCTGGTGCAAAAGGCACTGGCATTGGTCATTGCATGTAATGCACATGGATCGACCAACTCGGGCGTGACACCTTTGCTCGAAAAGTGATGCTCTTCAGTCCAGTCGCGTATTTGGCAAACATATCAAAGGAAGATTCTTATCTGTATCGTGCCTCTACTACTCTATGCATCGGGTTGGTGGTCCAATAAGTTGAATACATTCCGAGACTTACTAACGCTGTACCATGAGAATAGTGGCGACTCAATGTCTCTTGTCATGTCTGCTAATTTTGTTGTCGAATTTCAATCTCGTCCAAGCTGAAAGTAAGAAGAAGCTTCGACGAGGCAGTGTCAATGAAAATGACGAGATTGAGGACATGTCCTCATCGGATACAACCACGGGTGATGAAAGTCTTGGTACAACCACAAGATCTCTGTCCTACAGCACAATGACGGACGCGGAAATCTTTGCTCTCCAAAAGACGCCGCCCTATCCATTGGGCAATTCTAAATGTGGTTATTCGTCGCCGAAGCAGCATCCCGGCTGTACTCGGGGGGTCGCTTCCAGCCCACAACCAACGCCCCCGCTGCCGACTACAAGTCTTCCAAAATTGCCAACGGATGCTCCGGCGTCTTCTGCTCCCAGTATATCTCCTAGCATGGTACCTACGACATCAGAACCAACCGTATTTGTCCCAAGCTCCTCTCCTACGGCAGTCCCAACAAAACTAGCCGATCGGCCATTGAATTGTGTCCAAGCAGTTCAGGGAGAGGAACTGACGATTTCATCCACAGCGACATTCCGCCAAGGCGAGGTCCACTGTTTGTCAGTCGACGGCCAAGAAGCCTACTTTGGATATACTTGGACCAACCAGTTTGGTTTGTTTGTCAATGGTGAAACTGTTTGGACTGCACCCGAGGATCAAGTGAATGCTTCCTTTGAGCGGTGGTCCTTGCAAGGGGACGGCAACCTGGTCTTGCGAGATTCCAACAACAATGCGATCTGGAGGACGGGGACCTGTTGTCACAATGGCAGCCAACTCAAGGTGTCGATGGAACGAGTGTGGATCGAAAGCAGCCGAGGATCGCAATTGTGGTCCGAACCATTCTTTGTGACGCAGACCCCGTCACTGACACCGACCTCTCAGCCTACTGGCCCTCCAACGCCTACACCGACATTGGCCCCGTCATTGTCACCGACCCCTCTCCCCACTGGCCTTCCCACGCCTCCGCCGACTCCATCTCCAACTGTGGAACCTCCACCAACGCCGCCACCGACTACTCCTCCCACTTTCGAAAAACCCGACCCCTACAGTGGCCTACAATATTATGCCTACTATTATCCCTGGTACATTCGCAACGACTGGTCCCGACACGGCTACCAGGACGAGCCTCTGCTTGGAAAATATGGAACAGACGAAGTTGCCGTCGCCGAGCAACACATTCAATGGGCTCTGGAGACGGGCATTTCGTCCTGGGTGGTTTCTTGGTGGGGGGCAGACCGCTTGGCCATGAAGCATTTCAAAAAGGGCATGATGAATGCCCCTTCCCTCAACAAGATCAAGTTTTGCATGCTGTACGAAAGTATGATCTTGGAAGGTCGCGGTAATTGGTACGATGGATCCAAGGAAGAAGCTTTGTTTCAACATCTCAAGACGATTCGTGATGAGTTCTTTGATCATCCTTCGTATTTGAAGATCAATGGTCGACCTGTCATCATCTTTTACATTACAAGATCTCGTATGATGTTTCAAACTGGATTCGATGGTCCCTCCATCCTGGCCAATATGCGCCGCAGATTGGGCTACGACATTTATTTCATTGCCGATGAACCGTTCTTTGATCCGTACAATAAGAGACCGGATGGTAATGAAAATGCTTTCAAGGATGGAAAGCAGGTCTTTGATGCCTACACCACCTACAATATGTTCATCGATAGCAAAGTTCGACCGGGAGAGACGGCAACGGATTATCAATTGCGGGAAGGCATGCCCATTTGGCAAGAATGGGCCAAAAAAGTGCCAATGTTTCCCAACGTCATGGCGCAATACTATGACTTTCGTGGGCACAAACCACTCTTGGGGAACTCGGATGCTTTCATGAGACAACTACGCGAAGTGGCGTGTTTGCCGCGGACCAATTTTAATGGGGCGCCTCATATCATGTTCATTACCTCCTTCAACGAATGGTGGGAAGGGACTCAAATTGGACCCGAAAACGGCTCTTCCAACAATTGGAACAACTATGGATTCCAATTCATGGAGACACTGGCGGAGTTCAAAATGGAAATCGATTCTCGTGGAAGCTATTGGTGCTGAAAAAAGAGAGGAGAGAAGAAGGAGAATCGCCTGCAATGGAAAGAACGACAAAGTTATCGCCCGTTCCGTTATCTTTATCGCTTGCATCATTGATTTGATTCAAGCATTTATAATTCATAAAATGTGCCGTAATACATGTCCACTCTATTTAGTTGCATTCCATCCAATTACAATTGACTTCTATGAAGGAAGATACAATAGTACACGTACTTCACTACATTGTTACAATTAGATTTTATGAATCTCACTGTAGAACAGAAATGACTTTCGTTGTCATTGTCATACTGTAGTCACATTACGAATATTATGAAAGCATGCTGAAAATTCATCCATCAAGCGTCAGTTACCAGAAACCAAGGAAAGGTAACATCAATGGAGGAATGAGTCATAGTTGGCCTAGTCCCTATTGTCATTGTTGGACTTGGCGGTGCTGTCGTCTGGACACCAATGGGTTCCACGAGAATCGACTTCCTTTTTGAATGCGGCCAATGTCTCCATGAATTGGAATCCATAATTGTTCCAATTGTTGGAAGAGCCGTTTTCAGGTTCAATTTGAGTGCCCTCCCACCATTCGTTAAAGGAAGTAATCATCATGATATGAGGTGCCCCATTGAAGTTGGTGCGAGGCAAACATGCCACTTCCCGTAGCTGTTTCATGAAATCGTTCGAGTTCCCCAAGAGCGGCTTGTTTCCACGGAAATCGTAGTATTGCGGCATGACATTGGGGAACATTGGAACTTTCTTGGCCCAATTCTCCCAAATGGGCATACCTTCTCTCAATTGGTAGGTCGTGGCAGTCTCACCATCTCGCACGCGGTCGTCCAAATACATATTGTAGGTTGTGTAAGCGTCAAAGACTTGCTTCCCGTTTACCAAGCCATTTCCATTTTTATCGGGCCACTTGTTCCACGAATTGAAAAAAGGTTCATCGGCGATGAAGTAAATATCATGACCCAGTCGTCGTCGCATATTGGCAAGAACCGACTCTCCATCGAATCCCTCTTGAAATGGCATTCTGGATCGTGTGATATAAAAGATAATTACCGGACGGCCATTGATTTTCAAGTAAGATGGGTGATCAAAAAAATCATCCACAATCACCTTCAGGTCTCGATACAGTGCGTTTTCCTTGGAACCATCACGCCAATTGCCACGATCATCCAGGATGACGCTCTCGTACAACATGCAAAATTTCATCTTGTTGATGGAAGGAGCATTGATCATGCCTTGTTTGAAATGCTTCATGGTCAAGTGGTTTGGACCCCAATACGAAATAATCCAACTCGAGATTCCAGTTTCGAGTGCCCATTGAATGTGCTGCTCGGCGATGGCCACTTCATTGGTTCCATATTTTCCCAATAGAGGTTCATCTTGGTAGCCATGTCGACCCCAATTGTTGCGCAGGTACCAAGGATAATAGTAGGCATAATAATGTAAAGTTCCATTGGGATCGGGATACCCATCGTTGGGTGGTGGCCTTGGCGGGCCAAGGTAGGGTGGTTGGGACCAAAGCGTGTACCCCGTGTTTCGGTTGATCATTACTTGCTTGAAGGAGATTCTCAAGTGGCTGCCAAAATTCCCATAGGACTCGGACGTCCATATGGATCGACCTTCTGCATCCCGCAACACCAAATTGCCATCTTCTTGGAAACTCCATCGATCAAAATTCGCCATTTGGTTGTCAGGGGCTGTCCACACGCTTTTGGAATTGGAAAACAAACCAAACTGATTGGTCCACGTATATCCAAAATAGGCGGCTTCGCCGTCCTCCGAAATCAGGCAATGGACATCTCCTTTTTCAAAGGATGTATCACTTGGAATGGTGAGTTGAATGCCCATGACGGTTTGGACACAATTCAAGGCTCGCTCGTCGACTCGAGTGGGAAATGCCGTAGGAAAGGAAGTGCTGGGAGTCGCCGAGGGCGTAATGCCGGTTGGATTTTCCGAGGGCATGGGAGTAACTCCTGTGGGAATAGCGGTTGGGTGCTCTGATGGCATGGTACTGGGAAGAGTGGTTGGGAACTCCGAGGGCATGGCACTGGCTCCTGTGGGTGGGTTGGTTGGGAAGATGTTATCATTCACGGGCTCAGTTGTTGGAGGTTCTACTTGGGGCGCCGTCGTGGGTAGTGGAGTGAGTGGTTGGAACCATACAGTATTGCCCGATCTTGTTTCAATCCAAACTCGCTCGAAGGACACCTTGAGTTGACTGCCCGAGTTTCCACCCGTGTGCGTCCTCCAGATTCCTTGGTTCCCGGAGTCTCGCAACAACAAATTGCCATCTTGTTGAAAAACCCATCGGTCCGATACGGCTACACTGGTCTCGGGTGCTGTCCAAAGCGCTTGGCCATTGACAAACAAACCAAATTGGTTGGACCAATTGTAACCAAAATAGGCTGCGTCGCCACCCTCATCCGAAATCAAGCAATGCACGTCGCCTTTTCGATAAAAGGCACTAATTTGAATGGTAAGCTCGTTTCCCACGACGGTTTGTACGCAATTCAAAGTTTGAGTGGGAGTTGTGGAGGGCATGGGAGTAGTAGGAAGCATTGTCGGCTCGGACGTGGTGGATGGCAAAGTGGATGGCATTGGTGTCGGAACGGCCACAGTAGGAGCTGGCGAATTGCTGGGGGCGTCGATGGGCGGCAAGGTCGCAGGCACCTTGTCGGCGTCTTCCTTGTACCGGGTGCATCCAGGATGGTATTTGCGAAGACTCCGAAACAGACTGCTCCCGCACTTGGAGCTTGCTAGCTGTCCTTCAGGTGTCTTTTTCAGAGCCAAGAATTCAGCGTCAGTCACTGTGCCTGAGGAAAGAAGAGAGCGTTCATCGGAAAGATATTTTTCTTGAGATGGATCCAATGAATAGTCGTGAATCTCGTCATTGTCATTGACACTGCCTCGTCGAAGCTTTGCAGCCTCTGCGAGATTGGACCGTTGGTCATTGTTGAACGACAAAGATACGAGCAATGACAGTGCAAGCGTATTGAGTGACACTTTCATTATACAGCTACTTATTGACTGTTTAGCCTTTGTCTATCGCTTCAATCTTCTATGGTAACCTTATGTGGCTACTTGATATGTCGTTGTTGAAGATGAAGCGACTTTCAATCAACCGTTGCAACGGCAAATTTTTTGGATGCTTGTGACGCTTTTGTGATGGAAGAGAAGGTGATATGGAAAATTCTCAATGCGCAGATACGGTCAAGAATTTTATAATTTTAGTCGCCTCTACCCGTAAGTATTCAAAATAACAGCCGAGGACGCCGTTATGGTAGGGATGTTCTGGTCTTCCGTTGATGTCACACATGCACCATGAAAAAAGACAATTGCGGATCGTTCCAAATAGCTAAAATGTTAAATCGCGCCTTATTTTGTTTAACAAAGGTCGAGTATTTGCACGTGCCACACGAAAGGTATCTCAAAAGTGATGTCTTCAAGTCAAGTCTCGGATGCCAGTTTAAAGACTGGGCACGTTTCTTTCTGAATAAAAGCTTCTTCCTCTGAATGAAAGCCCCGACTTCAACAGCCGTCAATAAATCTTTAACATTTCAAGAGAGACCGTCCTGTGGACAATACACATAGGTTGGAAAAACAAAGGAAAAGGAATTGTAAGTCCAAGCATCAGGATTTCGTCCGAGGAGTTCGTTGGGGGGCGGTGCAGGGATATCATCATGTCAGAAAATGTTCTTTTGCAAATGTAGATTCAAATGAAGTGACAACAGGGCGATTTCTAATATCAAAAATAAAAATGGACTCGACTTTTCTCATACTTTGAAATGTGCTGCTGCGGATAGGTGATATCCGACAGGCTTCCTTTTTGTTGGTGCAAAGAAGAAACAAAAACGACGGTCCAAGCAAGAAGAGCCATACCATGAGAACAGTGGTCGCTTCAAGTCTCTTGCCGTGTCTGCTACTCTTGTTATCGAGGTCTTTCAATCTTGTCAAGGCCGAAAAGCTTCGACGAGGCAGCGGCAAACAAAATGACGAGATGGACGACATGTCGTTATTGACGACATTTGATGAATTTGATGCATTTGAAGCCACAAGATCCTTGAGCACGGGAATCTTACCCGAAAGAAAGACACCTCCCTATCCATTAGGCGATTCCAAATGTGGTTTGTTGCGCAAGCAGCATCCCGGATGTATTCGGGTTTCTGCCCCAAACAAACCACCCTCAATTCCCACGCCGCCTCCGAATTTGTTCAATGAGGAATTATCTCCACCGCCCACGACATTACCTACCACAGCACCCACGCCACTCCCAACGCTACTCCCAACGCCACCCCCAACGCCACCCCCAACGATTCTTCCGACCACCACTCCTAGCTCAGTTCCGACGGAGGTAGCCAATCGACCCTTGAATTGTGTGCAGAGCATCCAGAATGATGGGGGTGCAGCTGAACTAACGATTGAACACACGGCAAGGTTTTACAAGGGCGATGTTCACTGCTTGTCAGTAAATGGTCAAGAAGCTTATTTTGGGTATACTTGGACCAATCAATTTGGATTGTTTGTCAATGGTCAAAGCGTATGGGAACTTCCGTATCCACAAACGCTTGAACCCGTGTTCCGATGGACCTTTCAAGGGGACGGCAATCTGGTCATGCGAAATGAGAACGACAAAGTTCTCTGGATGACAGGGACTTGTTGCTACAGTGGCAGCCGACTCAAAGTTTCGATGGAACGAGTGTGGATTGAAAGCCGAACGGAATCGCAATTGTGGTCCGAACCATTCTTTGTGACACCCGCCCCGTCGCCGCCACCGACTCCTCCGCCGACACGACCTCCCACACCCCCACCGACGCCATCTCCAACCGTAAAACCTCCACCAAGTCCGCCACCGAGTCCTGGTCCCACTCGCTCTCCTACCCCGCCACCGACACCTGGTCCAACTCGTCCTCCTACTCCACTACCAACCAATCCTCCAACAAGGCCTCAAGACCAATCGTTGAGATGTGTCCAAAACGTGTCCGGAGACCAAATTACCATTCCGATTGATGCCATCTATCGAAAGGGCGATGTGCACTGCCTCAGACAAGGCGATGGAACCGAAGCCTATTTCGGATATACTTGGTCCAACCAATTTGGATTGTTTGTGAATGGCAGAAATGTATGGACTGCACCTGACAGCCAAGTGGCTTCGTTTGATCGATGGTCCTTCCAAGGAGATGGCAACTTGGTGCTTCGAGAGGGCGGTGGTAGGTCCATCTGGACGACGCAATCGGATGGGAACTCGAACAGTAATTTGAGAGTTTCGTCCGAGCGAGTTTGGATCGAGAGAGCCACGGGATCTACTGCTTGGTCTCAGCCACCATACCTAGGACAACCACCGATACAACCACCCATCAGTAACGACAAGCCCAATCCACATGGCGGTTTGCAGTATTATGCCTACTACTACCCTTGGTATCTCAGAAACAATTGGTCCAGGCACGGCTACCAGGATGAGCCCCTTTTGGGAAAGTATGGAACCAACGAAGTGGGCGTTGCCGAGCAACACATTGAATGGGCTCTTCAGACAGGCATTTCGACATGGATTGTCTCCTGGTGGGGACCAAACAGCTTGGCCATGAAGCATTTCAAACAAGGAATGATGAATGCCCCTTCCCTCAACAAGATGAAATTTTGCATGTTGTATGAGACCGTCATCTTGGACGACCGTGGGAGTTGGCGCGATGGCTCCAAGGAAGAAGCACTGTATCGTGATTTGAGGGTGATTGTCGATGAATTCTTTAATAATCCTTCCTACCTCAAGATCAACGGTCGACCTGTGATCATCTTTTACATTAGTCGATCTCGGATGCCGTATGAAGCAGGCTTCAATGGACCTGCAGTGATAGCCAACATGCGTCGACGATTGGGTCACAACATCTACTTTATTGCCGACGAACCGTTTTTTGATTACAATAACAAAAGTCCGGATGGCAATGAAAATGCCTTCAAGAATGGCAAGCAAGTCTTTGACGCCTACACCACGTACAATATGTTTCAAGACAGCCGAGTCCGACGAGGAGAGACAGCGACGGATTATCAATTACGAGAATCCATGCCAGTTTGGAAGCGATGGGCCGAGAAGTTGCCACTATTTCCCAATGTCATGCCCCAATACTACGATTTCCGTGGGCACAAGCCATTGTTGGGGAACTCGAACGACTTCATGAAGCAGCTGCGTGCAGTGGCATGTTTGCCAAGGACCAACTTCAACGGAGCACCTCACATCATGATGATTACTTCCTTCAACGAATGGTGGGAGGGTACCCAAATTGAGCCTGAAAACGGCTCTTCCAACAATTGGAACAATTATGGATTCCAGTTCATGGAGACCTTGGCAGCGTTCAAAAAGGATATCGATTCCCGTGGAACCTATTGGTGTTGAAGTGCCTGTATCTGGATACTTCCCATGGTGTCAGTGATCCTTTGCTTGTGTGCATGATCGTTCCATACAAGCATTTATAATTCATATATGTGACAAATGTCAGTCAAGTCAGTTTTCATAGTGCGATGCACAACAAATGTCGATGAACAAATAGCGGATAGTACCTGCTACGCTTCTCCGAAGTAAAATCGGAAGAAGAATAAAGTAGTACATTTGCATTCTATTACTTTCGCGGTTCTTCGTCTCGACGAAAGGAAGATGATGTTGACCACGTCCCACGTCGATTAAAAGATTCATGTTGTGCTAGTGATTACTTTTGAAGCGCAAGAGTGAGTCAAAATCGTGTACGATGGCGAGCGTTCCACTGGCTTTTAGTTTTGTAAGCATCTTAATGGGATCCCGTCGCGGGCAGACCCAACATTTGTTTCACGATATCATATACGACCAATTGACTGGTAATGATCATACCAACATGCAGTATGCGTGTAGACAATCCTCGGAAGAATTCCCCGCTTCCTCCACGCTGGTAAATATCCCCAACGGCGACGCCGAAAGGTTTGGTCGAAGAGGCAGGGTCTTCAGCAACACGACGTTTCTTCTTTTTCTTTGCTGCCTTGGTGGAAGAGTATGTTTCAGTCAAGATCATGTCTCCGGGTTGGCTCAGCAAGCAAGCAGCCAAACTGGCACAAGCTGCAGCCGAAATGGAGACCAGCCACTTGTTGACAATTTCTAAAAAGTTTCCATAGAATTGATAGAAGAAGGTTGCCAAGACATCAAATGAAACTTGCTTTCCGAAAGTGTATGGAACCTATAGGACAAAAGCAAGATTAGATGAGGATTCAGATTCGCATCATGGCCGAGACTAAGAGAACAAACATTCCCCCAGAGTTCAAGTATCCCCATTCTCAGGTGACATCTATTCCTTTTCTGAACATTTTCAACCTACCTGCTTGGCGAGCATGGCCAGCACTCCACCGAAAAGACTCAAGAATCCATCTTGTTCGATCAATTTGGGCAATCCAGTCAACAAAGATTCATTCTGAAAGGACTCGTCAGTAACTTGCTTGATTCGCAAGGATTCCATGGGACACAACAAGACTGCTGCAATGGCACCTGCCAAGATACTGGATAATAAGAAAGCAAAAGGCTCCGTGTTGGTGTTCGAGTTTTCAAACAGGGATGCGAGCAGGCTCTTCAAGATTGGCTTGGAAACCTCGTATACGCCAAACTTCATGGCACCTTCCACCCCATATCCGACTATGGTTGGCCCCAGTCCAGTCAATAGAGCTCCGGCTCCTTCGGTTTGCACAATATCTTTAGTGACAGCCAACATGTTCTTGTCTTGATATTTCTTTGGGTCGGCCTGAATCTTGGTCTTGACCACATCAATGGGAGTGGTAATCCCGTGGGAAAAGGCGGCACAAGTTCCCCCGGCGATGAAATATCTCAAATCTATATCCTTCAAAGCGGCGGAAAGGGCAGATTTGGTAACAGCCGCACCAGCAATCCCTTCTGCTTGAACCGGTGTCGTGCTCAGCATCAACAAGGCCATCATGGAGAGGCATGATAGGATCCTTTTGGGTAATCCTAGAACGCTATTCTTTGTCATTTTGTTCGATTTGTGTTCAAATTTGAGGTTATTGGTAGCAGTGGTGATTGATTGTGGGTGCTGCTCCCTGAAGAACAATAGTGACACGTTGATGTCTCTCCACCGACGATACTGTACGATATACGATATACGCGGTCGATAATGATGCATCTTCTCAATAGTTTGAGTCTGGCATAGATACGTCATTGGGCGACTGGATGGACCAAAACATTGCGGGATTTGATGTGCGTGAAACAGGTCTTCTTTAGTACCAAAATCTGCCGTTTTCGCAGAAAAATTCTTCAGCGACATCAAAATCGCCAAAGCAAAAAATTGCACCGTACAGTATACCTTTACCTGCAGTGACAATGTCTGTCGTCTTCATTGACAAGAATACCAATCAAAGTATAAAGCACCTCACTTCATCTTCCTATCAACGATGAATCAGAGCTTGCAGGGATACGGTGAAAATCATTACGAGGGATTCCCAAGCAGAAGTGGATACTACAACTCTGAGCACTTTCTGCATCATCAGGAGCATCAGCTGCCGTATGCGGCATCGTACCCTGGTGTCAAACGGAGACGGTTAGCTGGGGCATCTGAACAACCTTATGGAATTCATTACAACAATAACTACAATGTACTGCTAGGACTATGTCAATCAAATGCCTGGCTCGATGCCCTACAGTACTGGCGAGCGTATCCACAAGCAGCAATACCAAGTCGGTTGGACCAAACATCGTTCATGAGAAAACGGGGTCAATTTTCAGCAATGACAATACGGAGGGGATGCTGGAATCGAGATGGTGACTCGAAGGGTATGAGTCCATTTGAGAAAGAGGAAACATCGCCCGCATTGTACCAACAAACAGTTTTGGGACTGATCTGTGCGTCGCCAAGTATTATTGCTGGAGATCAGGAATCACCAGCTAGAGTTCTGCTCAAGGAAATATTGCAATATTCGCCCGCACAGGTAGCCTACAGTCAAGTACAATGTGGCCATACACCTCTGCGAGATGCTATTTTGAATCCGCATTGCCCTTTTGACGTTCTGAAAATGTTACTCCAGGCGGATCAAGAGAATTGTCACCACGATTCCGAGTATCTTGCTGCTTCCTACCAGAAAGACTCCCGGGGCTTATTGCCACTAGATCATCTCATATTGAGACTTCCATCGGATACATCTACTCGATCAGTTGATATGTTGGAAATCTTTTTGGAAACGCGACCACCAGCATCGAGTACTGCAAACGTCATTTCAAAAGTGTCACCATTGATACGCCTTTTGTCAATGGTAGATCCTGTTACGCATTCGCTTCCATTGGATGATAGTGCCGAAGAGATGCGTCTCTGCAAGATACAACAGGTTGTTAAGTCTCTACTTCGCCACCAGCCAGAGCTCCTGTATGTTTGTTCCTCTGGAACAGGATGCTCTCCGTTTCACATTGCAGCCCGGACTTGTGGAAATTTTTTGCCCATTCTTCAGGAACTTGTCTCTGCTGATGCAAGCAATCGATTTATGGCAATGGAAAATATCGTTGGTGATCTGCCAATCCATGTTGCATGCAGCAATGGAGCCGATTTGGACGTTTTGAAATATGTTGCATCCAATACAGCTAGCCATGATCGTCAACTGTTGTGGAGGACGACACGATTTGGATATACTCCCGCAGATTTGCTATGGCTTCATCACATTGAGGCAGGCTCGAGTTTTTCAAAGGTGCAGACGTTTCATTTGGTGCATTCCACTGCTGAAAACCGCTTCGACAAGGACAACGAATATTATGAAAAAGTGCTCCGAAATGAGGTCGATGATGCAATGAATGGCAGTAGAAACCAGGATCATACAACAATGGAAAGAATGGAGCGAGCTAAGAATAAGTTTGGGGATCTTTTGGATAGACTATTTGTGCTTCTCTCGGCGTCGTCCTATTCGGCAGCGGAACCAAAGGATGATGGTAAACATTTGCATCAAGCATGCAATGTGAGCACACCATATGGGCACACCCTTCCATCGCCGCTTTTCAAGCTAATATTATGGATCTATAAGGACGACTTGCTGACAGTGGATGAGAATGGAAATCTCCCATTGCACTATGCGTTTGACAGTAATAGTCCTACTCTTGAGAAGTTGTCAAAAGGGACAAACGACAGCAAAAAGAGAGAGACAAAGGAAACAACGTGCTGGAACGAGTGGGCAGAATATTGCCACGACTTGATAAATGCTGCCCCAAGAGCGTGTGCAATGGCAGACCAGCGTGGCCAGTTGCCACTGCATTTGCTGCTCAGCAACAACCGCCCAGCGGGTTCTTCGAACTGTGCTAATCAAAAGTTGCTCCAAAGACTGCTAGTAAAGGCAATTGAGGCATTCCCAGAGAGTGCGCAGACTCGTGATCCTATATCTGGTTTGGATCCTTTCATGCTCGCAGCCATGGGGAGCAACGAGCTTCCACTCGATACAATCTACTATCTACTTCGCGGGTGTCCGAATCTTTGCCATGTAAATAGTGATGCTGCGAGTTGAAACAGGCTTTTATCAATATGGAAATAAGCTGTGGCTTGTAGCACGTGGATTTCAAAGTAGGTTAATAAATACTATATGAAATGGATCAGTACTTGCTGAGTGTATCGATACTGGTATTAATACCTTATTGTGCCAGAATACAAACTTGCATGATTTGAGATCGCGGACAGTTTCTGTTCGAGCTTGAAAGTTGGGTTCGTCAATAATAATACGATTTTCACGGACAAACATCCTTCGTGCAACTGTTGCTCTCTTCTTTCATATTATGGCAGTCGCGTTTGCGTCCTGCAGTAGAGCAGATCTGTACAACATGTATTGCACCGGTTTCGTTGTTTGCCGCAGCTACTATTCAATAGAAAAACGAATTTATTCTTACTATGGATGATGAAGCAAAGAAGAACAAGACTGATCAAAATACCTCCTCTTCTTCTGACAGTGAAGACGATGAAGGAAGCACTCAGTTTTCCGTGGATGATGAATCATCAGAGGACAATACTGCTGGTGACGATTACGATAGCGACATGGAAGATGGCTACAGCTTCTCTGCTCACGAAACTGAGGTCCGAGAAATCGCTGCATTGCGAAAGAAGGACTTGCAAAATCCAAGCCAGTTTAGCTATGAAGGCGACTTCACAGCTGAAATCGCAGAAGAAATGATTCGAACGTTTCGACACTTTGCCTCCAAAGGAATATTTTGGGTATGTCTGTATATCGAAACCGGGTTCGAAGGTGGTGATGATGCACGCCGTCGTTTTTTCAAAGTGCTCCAAGTTGCCAATCGAGCAAGCTTATTCGAAGATATCACCATCGACATGTATGACATTGGCAATGAATTCTGCCCTTCCGGACATCTTCAGATACACCCATCATTTGAAGACAGCAATCGCTTGAAAGGGGTTCACCTAGAATGCTTCCACTTTGATTCGAGATCCATCCAACTGCTTTGCCGTGTTCTTACGCAGTCAAAAAGTCTCTGTACTCTTGGCATGACAAAATGTGGCAACATTGATGACCCACTTCTCTGTGAAGCGCTGGTCAATTCTAACATTTCAAATCTAATAATTGATTGCAACGACCTAGGGGACGTTTCTATTGCGAACACTGTGCAAGCATTAATGGGTCATAGAACACTGAAGGAGCTGCTCGTTTTGAAGTGCAGGCACACCGCTGTTCTCTTGGATTCGGTTACAACTCTTTTGACTTCAAAGAGTTGTCGTCTCACGCATTTTCGAATTGGAAATCCATTATTCCCAAACAAAAGCGATTCGGTGCCAATTCAAAGTATCCTACAATGGATTCGAAAGAACAAATCTCTGCAAAGCATTGCAATTCATTGTCCACTATCTGGAGATCGTCCTTTTCTCAAGCTTTTGGGCTCGGTGGCATTGCACCCAAAACTACAACGCGTCGACGTCGATCACCGTGACATCACAATGCAAGATCTTCAGGAGGCCCGAGCCCTTCCCAGATTTCAGCGGCGCTTCGAAATAGGAAGGATTGGGTCGAATCAAACAGTTGGTCCATATCAAGCAGCTCTCAAGGATTTCCTTGATGTTCATCCAGAAATCGTTTTGAGAAACGTTTGCTACAACGCGGAACCTATCAAACACGCAAACTTTCTTAACCATTCGGGGAGGTATTTGGTAGGACGGCGCATTCCTCTTGGACTTTGGCCCCTGGTCTTGGCAAGGATTGAAAACTGGGTTCAAAACTATTTAATGGGATATTTGGGTCTTAGATATAGATCTTTTATTTCTGGCTACGACAAGTATGGAAAAAACCTCAGAATATACAAGGCAGATGCTATCTACCATTTGTTGCATGGTCCAGCTTTTGCTGGCAGTCCAATTGCAGATGACAACTCCGCCCCCAAATCCACTAAGAAGCGAAGAATAGAGAGCAATACCAAATCCCCAACTACCTGCTCCACGTCGCCGTTTCGTAAGGTTCGAACCAAATAGGTATAGGTATATATAGATAGTTGATCAATATGAAAATCAGCTATGTGGCTTGAACGATACAGTATAGCTTCTTTCAGTGTAATCGAAGATGAGGACTATCATACAACTCTCAAAAAGTTCCTCGAGATTCATCCTGAGATCTCTTGACTGTGACTTATCCACAAGCGAGGGTTTCAGATTCTGTCCAATATGCAAGTCACATGAACCAGTCTGGCGGGTACTTGCTGCGCCAGAAGAACGTACCGCTCGGCCTGTGGTCCCTGGTCTTCGCTAGAATAGAGGAGACACATGATCGGAACAACGGACGATTCCACTGCATGGGTTCTCAAAACTACGATGCAGACGCCATTTACCTTTTGTAGCATGGTCCAGCTCTTGCACTGGCGAAGCTGACTCCCCAAAGTCCAAGAAAAAGCGAAAACGCAGACCGATAGAAACAGGATAAATGAAATCCCTAGGAAGATGCTCTACACGGGTATGATGCAAGTGGCAAAGCATATTGACAATAAACTTCTACATTATTGCTCCCAAACTATATAATCACTAATCACAGTTCTTTTCTACCAAAGAATCCAACAAAGCGGAAAAGTCTGTTTCTACCTTCTCATCGTCCCTCTTTGGGAGCAGCCCGCAAATCAAACGAACGCCCAGCATAGGCATCTCGGTTCTTGACTGCCTCCAGCATGGCATGAGCGATGTCCTCGCGTGGAACAGTGCGAGAGTCGGTTCCGATAGTAACATCATCATCAACTCCTGCGACTACTCTTCGTTCTCGGCGAGGTTCATTGACCAAACCTCCTGGATGGACAATGGTGTAGACCAACTTTTCTTGTTCCATGAGATAGACTTCGGTCTTGCGCTTCCACTTGACAATGTTGCCTCCAGAGAAGCTACCATCTTCATTCTGGATACGTCCCAAATTGTTAAGTGGATGGTTAGGATCGGTCCCTCCCATGGTGGAACACACCACCACATGAGTTCCATCCGGACAAGCATCTATTTGATTCTTTTGTCCCTCCCAGTCGACAACTTCAGGATCCCCATTGGGAAATCCAAAGACGGGTCGACCAGTTTCTTCGTTCGTTTCTCCAGTTGGAGCAGGCTTCGCCGAAGTGCAAATGCAAAAGGCAGCCACGTTGTCACTATATTGATCGACAACCTTTTGGATGGCTTCTCTGTCGGTCACATCGGCGACTTGAATGCAGGAAGGATCTGGAATCCCACCAGCATCCAACAAGGCTTGCTTGGAGGTCTCGCTTCTCACGATTCCAATAGCTTGATAATCTGGTTCCTCCAAGCATTGGCGAAAAAGGGATTGTCCAGTTTGACCACCAGCACCGCTGATGAAGACCACCTTTTTGGACATGGCCAAAGATAGGAGCAGTAGAAAGGAAGCTTCTTGCTATCGTCGTCAATCTATAGTATACGTTGGTGAAAGTTTCTTCATCTTCTTCCACTTCCATATGAGACATGAGACAGGGCGAAACATGCAGTAGTCTGCAAAAAATCGATGATCAACTATATTGCGTCTAAAATAGAACCTTTTTCATTCAAATTCAAATTCGATATGAGTACTGTGTAACATTTTGAATTTGTTTTACAGCTTTTGTTGTTCGAACTTCCTCGATGTGTTCGGTTTAGTTCGCTACTCTACCGTATTATAACTGGCCGTGATCCGAAACTCCTGTTATCCACCATAGCTGCTCGTTGGCAGCGAGAAGGATTCATTTCATCATCGCCATCCACCAAAGCAACCTTGTTTTTTCTACGAGGCTGTAGAGGTATCATATTTTCATCGTGGGGGAGTTCTTTGGGCAAGAAGTGGAGATATTGTATCGTCGATGTCATCCGCAAAGAAACTTTGGTTGGCACATTAAGCTGTCCCACGGGAGGTGGTAAAACCCTTGTTATACAAGGATTTGCTACTCGCTGCCACTGCCGTGGTGGCAGTCTAATCATCACATCATACATCGTGTTGACAGCCTTGTTCATGTTTCGAGACGTCATGGATTCTCCTGATTTCGATGGTGTCAATATTGATATCCTCATGAAGAGGGAGGATTCTATGTCAACATTGAGAAAATCCCTCCTGCAGGCAATCTTTGACGTTCCTTCTGCCAGACAAAAAGGATACATCATCTTTTCCTCTCCACACACACTCTCGGAACCCTACAGTGGGGTCAGCTGTTTGCTCTGATTGCGAAAAAACGAAATTAGAGGCCCATTGTCAACGATGAGATTCATTTGACTACACAACAAGGTCATACTTTTCGAAACAAGGACTACAAGTACATTGGAGATAACTTTTCGAGTCATGCCTTCGGCTTTCTACTAGTAGGCCAGAAGTGTTGCTAGTGTCAGCAATTCTCCGCAAGACTACTATAGTGGAAGTGCTAGAGTTGTTCAAACCCCACGCGTTATTTGACAAAGTTGTTCAAACCCCACACATTATTTGACTCACCAGTGTATGGCCACTTCTATGGAAACGACCCGCCCATGCAAGCCCGTGGAACTAAAGTATCCACCAAGCAGATCAAAACATTGCTTTTAACAATGAGATCATGAGCAAACCACATAGCAAAAATTTTGTCTACAAAATAAAAATCACGAGTCCCCGGCCTTCAGGTTCGTGCTTACGGTGTAGCCTCCCGCGATACGACTAAAAGAATGGATACTTCTGTTCCAAGTATTCAAGATAGTGTGACACCATTCGAAAAACAAGGAGCAATACCAAAAGAAAAAGAGAAAACGCAGACCACTAGGTCCATCATACATCGATTCCCCTTCCTCTCCAAAGTCCAAGAAAAAGCGCAAGCGCAGACGCTTACATCCAGGAGACATGGAATCTCTAGGAAGAGACTCTGCATCGATGTGGTGCAAGTGGCGAAGCATATAGATGCAAATGTTAGAGTGACGGTTGCAATAATGGATGGGGGGTAGTAGAATATCATTTACATTATTGCTCCCAAACTATAATCACAGTTCTTTCCTTCCAAAGAATCCAACAAAGCAGAAAAGTCTGTATCTACCTTCTCGCCGTCGTCCTCTTTGGGAGCAGCCCGCAAATCAAACGAACGGCCAACATAAGCATCTCGATTCTTGACTGCCTCCAACATGACACGAGCAACGTCCTCGCGCGGAACAGTGCGAGAGTCGGTTCCGGTGGTGCCATCGTCGTCAACTCCCGCTACTAATCTTCGTTCTCCGCGAGGTTCATTGACCAAACCTCCTGGATGGACAATGGTGTAGACCAACCTTTCTTGTTCCATGAGATAGACTTCGGTCTTGCGCTTCCACTTGACAATGTTGCCTCCAGAGAAGCTACCATCTTCATTCTGGATACGTCCCAAATTGTTAAGTGGATGGTTTGGATCGGTCCCTCCCATGGTGGAACACACTACCACATGAGTTCCATCCGGACAAGCATCTATTTGATTCTTTTGTCCCTCCCAATCGACAACTTCAGGATCCCCATTGGGAAATCCAAAGACGGGTCGACCAGTTTCTTCGTTCGTTTCTCCTGTTGGAGCAGGCTTCGCCGAAGTGCAAATGCAAAAGGCAGCCACGTTGTCACTATATTGATCGACAACCTTTTGGATGGCTTCTCTGTCGGTCACATCGGCGACTTGAATGCAGGAAGGATCTGGAATCCCACCAGCATCCAACAAGGCTTGCTTGGAGGTCTCGCTTCTCACGATTCCAATAGCTTGATAATCTGGTTCCTCCAAGCATTGGCGAAAAAGGGATTGTCCAGTTTGACCACCAGCACCGCTGATGAAGACCACCTTTTTGGACATGGCCAAGGATTCGGCAAAGGATAGAAGCAGTACTAGAAAGGAGGAAAGAAGGAGAGCTGAGCCTCTAGCTGTCGTCATGGATAGATATAGTAGTTCTGCGCTGGAGTGTCTCGGAAATGCAGGAACTCGATGTTTTATATTATGGATCTATGGTATTGTTGCCGCAATAACACATCATCTATATCTGTACCAACCCAGACGGATGACGTCACAGAAAAAAGAAACATTCACATTGGATCGGATGACGGCGGACGGAAAGACTCTGCCTGTCACTCGCACGATTGTTTCAAGATGATGTTTGATAATTCTGATTCATTCATTCTGTTGCTTTGGCAAGAGCATCGCTTGAGAGTACTATCTCTGGTTCGGTTAACGGGGTCTACTGGCTGTGTATATTAAAAAGAGGTGATTTGGTAAACAGTAAGTATTGTGCTTCTGGTGAATGAATGAAATGAACGATGCAAAGGAGTTCATGTAGTAGGTACTATTCCAAGACGAAGGTGGAATGAATGAGAATTTAGCATCTTCAGAGGCAGTCGTGAGATTGATTCATTCTAGATTCCTGCGATACTGCACAGTCGCTACGGTAGGACTCTAATGAGACTGATCATGGGATCAGTTGTGGAAACAATGCACGGAACGGTCAGCTGTCGGTTCTCGTGCGTCAGATTCCAGGTACCGCTCGTGGGTCGGAAGAATGTCAGTTTTGGCGGCATCCCTAAACAAGAATAGATGGGATCTGTCCGTCATTCGTACGATACACGACCTACTGCGAGCCCTCCGATTTTTTTTCCCATTTCTCCAATAGTTGAGTGAGGTGTCGAATTCACTATGCCCAACACGTCGACTGACATCAGCATTTTACTTAATGGTAAAGTGAAAAAAGCAGCTGCACGAAACGGAGCTTAAGTCGTCATTGGCCAGCCAGGTCGCACCAAATATTGCAAATTCCTGTCGGTCAGCGACCCTGCAATATTTTCCTCAGACTTTCCGTCGGTATCTTTCCCACAGTTCACGGTTTGGTAGTTGTTGCTTCCATTCATTACCTTAAACTTCAATTTCAGACCTTTAACACTCTCTCGTTCATCACCACAAAGCAAGATGGCCACCCTCGCACTTTCCTCTTCCAGAAACAATAATGGTTCTTCCTCAACAAAAAGGCACCAGCCAGTCCAGATTCTGCCAAGGCAAGCGACCACCCCTGCGGTCTCGCATGCCCCATTGTTGTCTTCCTACCCAGCCTCCGACTTTGTCTTTCCTGAAAACGTCTTTGACTTTGAGGAGGAATTCATAGATGTCGATGAGCTGCTCATGGACTTGGGCATGGATCCTCCTCCTGCCTCCTCCTCCTCTAATTATGATGGAATGACCTCTAGTAATCAGCATGATGACTATGAGTATCATGATTATGATCATCAAGCAGAAGAGCAGGCTTTGCTGCCTCCCTTCCTCACTAATACTTCTTCCGATTGGCCTCCAGTGGAAGCATCCGCAGCATCAGAACGCTCCAAGGCCTACAACCACAGTTTTGGAGGAGTGGTTCGAACTGTCTCGTTGGACCAAGTTTCCGCCATTACCGGATCAGTTCCCAACCCGATGAGAAACATTCCACCGGACGAACCTCCATCCAAGAAGCAAAAGATTGTCTACAATCCTTTGCTACCATACCCCGCTACATCTGCTGTTGCTGCAGCTGATGCTGCTGCAGCTGCTGCTACTTCCATCAAAAGAACAACAACATCCAAACCCCATACTGCTACAAGGAACATCATCACACCCACCAAGAAAATCACACCCACCACCACCAACAAGGTTACCATTGCCAAATCATCTTCCATTCCAAGTCTACTCCCATCCAGCTATTTTTCCTCCACCACTCAAATCAACAAGCCTAGTACTAGTACTATTCCAAGTACGAGTAGAGCTCCCGCAATGGAACTTCCTCAAGCTCTAACAATTTCCAATGAACGCAAGCGTAAGATGTCTCGTAAGGAGGCTGAACTCAACTTGTCCATGGATGAATTGGAAGAACGAAGGTATGTTTTCAAATATTTATATATTTGTCAATCAGTAAATTGACAATTCTCGATTTCCGATTCTGACATTCTTTTTTTTCCTTCCTTCCATCAAATGTAGAGAACGCAACCGAAGCCATGCCAAAAAGAGTCGCCAACGCAAAAAGGCCATTACCGAATTGTTGCAAGAGTCGGTCCAATCCCTCCAACAGGCCAACCAAATTTTGAGACAAGGCTTGAACCAAGAAATGGGCGAGCACTATGCCGAACAAGTCTTGGAATCTCAAAAGGAACTCGAAAAGCAATCCTTCTTGGAAATGTTGAAAAATCCCGCCAATCGCGTTGTCGATGCATCAGGGTTGGCCTTTTTCAAGAAGCTTCAGAAGCGAGTCCCCAAGGACAATGAAGAGGATGGTGACTGCAGCAACTAAAGCAAGTCAAGTCAAGTCAATCACCTCATCTGTCAGCAACCATGCCGACTCTTGGCATCCAGGAGTATTGGAATGCTACCTACTAATACTACTACTACCAACAACAACAAAAATCATCAACAACAAGAGGAGAAAGAAAAAAATATCCATGTTTCCGTACCAAATCAACTTTTTTCATCCACCCGCTAAGCTACATCTATTATTACCATTTTAAAAAATTAAAAATAACTACTATTATATTATAATATTTATAATATATTATACTCCTAAATAGTACCTCTGAGGCCAAGAGCTTTTGATGATGATGATTTCATTTGGCACATTGCATAACATACATACCTGCGGTATATTGGTGATGTGAGGTGGCAATCTCAATTGTCAGTCCAATGGAAAAGGAAAGTGATTGATTGATTGATTGGTTGATTGGTTTGCCTTCGGGTTGACGCCCGGTGACAGGTATTGACACCCGAAATGACCGGTCTTTTTGTTTAAAGGATGTGCATTGACCTCAAAGGATAATCGTAAAACCTTGATGCCTTAAAATTAATTGTGTTGATGTGAAAACATCCAAGCAAACTATCGCTCAACGTACGCATAACGCGCACGTACAAATCGCTAGTGTTGTCGGCTTCAGTCAGCGAGCCAACCAGTCTCAGGTATGTCTGCCTGGCCTTAAAACACTTGGACCATGAAACGTCTGAGCGCCACGAAAATCCCATACTGAATCCTGCAGGAGTTCTGTACGTGGGTTTTGTACCGGCCTTTCTGGATTGCAAACATCCAGTAAAGGTTTGGGAAATTTGAGTTTTCGTGCAAGGCTTTTGCTTTGCCCATTCCATGTAGATAACAAGTCTTTTAGAATAGTTATTTCCTGTAGAGATGATTATTTCCTATTAGGCGGATCGGAGATCGCTATGGACGGTGCCTCTGCATGATGGGTCGCATGCTGGCACGGCTGGTTGGCAATCATGGCTTGATGGGCCACAACGTTGTCAATCGGTTTGGACGAAGACAAGCAGTCTGATGTCCGCCAGAACCGATTTCCAACTTTATCTACATGTTGAAATTGCTCTCTTGGAGACCATTCATTGGAAACTCCTTGATGGAAGCAGTTCGACACGTCCGATCGGACAGACGGACAAATGTCCGTTTGGTCCGTTTTATTCGGGGGATTCCTATGAGTCGGTTTTGCAGGGAATCCGAAAACATGGAATTGTTTTAAGGCAACAAGAATAATCGTAAAACCTTGATGCCTAAAAATTAATTGTGTTGATGTGAAAACATCCAAGCAAACTATCGCTCAACGTACGCATAACGCGCACGTACAAATCGCTAGTGTTGTCGGCTTCAGTCAGCGAGCCAACCAGTCTCAGGTATGTCTGCCTGGCCTTAAAACACTTGGACCATGAAACGTCTGAGCGCCACGAAAATCCCATACTGAATCCTGCAGGAGTTCTGTACGTGGGTTTTGTACCGGCCTTTCTGGATTGCAAACATCCAGTAAAGGTTTGGGAAATTTGAGTTTTCGTGCAAGGCTTTTGCTTTGCCCATTCCATGTAGATAACAAGTCTTTTAGAATAGTTATTTCCTGTAGAGATGATTATTTCCTATTAGGCGGATCGGAGATCGCTATGGACGGTGCCTCTGCATGATGGGTCGCATGCTGGCACGGCTGGTTGGCAATCATGGCTTGATGGGCCACAACGTTGTCAATCGGTTTGGACGAAGACAAGCAGTCTGATGTCCGCCAGAACCGATTTCCAACTTTATCTACATGTTGAAATTGCTCTCTTGGAGACCATTCATTGGAAACTCCTTGATGGAAGCAGTTCGACACGTCCGATCGGACAGACGGACAAATGTCCGTTTGGTCCGTTTTATTCGGGGGATTCCTATGAGTCGGTTTTGCAGGGAATCCGAAAACATGGAATTGTTTTAAGGCAACAAGAATAATCGTAAAACCTTGATGCCTAAAAATTAATTGTGTTGATGTGAAAACATCCAAGCAAACTATCGCTCAACGTACGCATAACGCGCACGTACAAATCGCTAGTGTTGTCGGCTTCAGTCAGCGAGCCAACCAGTCTCAGGTATGTCTGCCTGGCCTTAAAACACTTGGACCATGAAACGTCTGAGCGCCACGAAAATCCCATACTGAATCCTGCAGGAGTTCTGTACGTGGGTTTTGTACCGGCCTTTCTGGATTGCAAACATCCAGTAAAGGTTTGGGAAATTTGAGTTTTCGTGCAAGGCTTTTGCTTTGCCCATTCCATGTAGATAACAAGTCTTTTAGAATAGTTATTTCCTGTAGAGATGATTATTTCCTATTAGGCGGATCGGAGATCGCTATGGACGGTGCCTCTGCATGATGGGTCGCATGCTGGCACGGCTGGTTGGCAATCATGGCTTGATGGGCCACAACGTTGTCAATCGGTTTGGACGAAGACAAGCAGTCTGATGTCCGCCAGAACCGATTTCCAACTTTATCTACATGTTGAAATTGCTCTCTTGGAGACCATTCATTGGAAACTCCTTGATGGAAGCAGTTCGACACGTCCGATCGGACAGACGGACAAATGTCCGTTTGGTCCGTTTTATTCGGGGGATTCCTATGAGTCGGTTTTGCAGGGAATCCGAAAACATGGAATTGTTTTAAGGCAACAAGAATAATCGTAAAACCTTGATGCCTAAAAATTAATTGTGTTGATGTGAAAACATCCAAGCAAACTATCGCTCAACGTACGCATAACGCGCACGTACAAATCGCTAGTGTTGTCGGCTTCAGTCAGCGAGCCAACCAGTCTCAGGTATGTCTGCCTGGCCTTAAAACACTTGGACCATGAAACGTCTGAGCGCCACGAAAATCCCATACTGAATCCTGCAGGAGTTCTGTACGTGGGTTTTGTACCGGCCTTTCTGGATTGCAAACATCCAGTAAAGGTTTGGGAAATTTGAGTTTTCGTGCAAGGCTTTTGCTTTGCCCATTCCATGTAGATAACAAGTCTTTTAGAATAGTTATTTCCTGTAGAGATGATTATTTCCTATTAGGCGGATCGGAGATCGCTATGGACGGTGCCTCTGCATGATGGGTCGCATGCTGGCACGGCTGGTTGGCAATCATGGCTTGATGGGCCACAACGTTGTCAATCGGTTTGGACGAAGACAAGCAGTCTGATGTCCGCCAGAACCGATTTCCAACTTTATCTACATGTTGAAATTGCTCTCTTGGAGACCATTCATTGGAAACTCCTTGATGGAAGCAGTTCGACACGTCCGATCGGACAGACGGACAAATGTCCGTTTGGTCCGTTTTATTCGGGGGATTCCTATGAGTCGGTTTTGCAGGGAATCCGAAAACATGGAATTGTTTTAAGGCAACAAGAATAATCGTAAAACCTTGATGCCTAAAAATTAATTGTGTTGATGTGAAAACATCCAAGCAAACTATCGCTCAACGTACGCATAACGCGCACGTACAAATCGCTAGTGTTGTCGGCTTCAGTCAGCGAGCCAACCAGTCTCAGGTATGTCTGCCTGGCCTTAAAACATTTTTACCACTTCCCGATACTGTCTGTCCCTCATCCACGTATGAAACAGAAATTCTCATTCTGGCAGTCCCGATTGATGAATCATAGGAATTTGGAATCTTGTGAGAGCCATGGAAATCCAGATTGGAGAAGATCCCAAATTCTCATTCCACCTTGGGAAGCAATTTACCACCGCATGAAAAATCCTTTGGCCATCATTGATTTCAACTTTTACATTGGTTGGAAGTATAAAATAATTACTGTTTGCACTACTGCACTCTGCACTGTTGACTAAAGCACCTATAACGAGAACAAAAAGAGAAGGCTACAAAGAAATAACAACACAATGAAACTGATATTCCCAGCCACCACCACCACAGCGCTTCTTTGCTACCTTTTGCCGCTTTCATTGGCATTTCAGCTACCACCACAGGTTGCCAAGCCGTCGTCATGCGTTTCCCCAACGTCGCTTTATTTGGCGGATGAAATCAAGGAATACCGAAGAGGATTGAGCAAGATTGATAACAAGAACAGCAATAAGGCAAGTGAATGGAAAATGAATAGATCGATCGCTCCTCAATCAATCCATCAATCTTCCTGAAAGCCAGTTGGCGGTCATTATGACACTGATGATGATGATGGACGATGATGGATGATGGATGATGATGATAGACAATGATGCTTCAGCACCAACAACAAGTCAATGAAATCAGACGATCTCACACAATCTTCTCTTCATACTCCCTATCGTCTATTGCAATATACATGTATATATAGGAATCGACCATCAGTTGTGTCTTCAAGTTTGGTGGTTCCTCCTTGGCCGATGCCAGTCGGATTGATTACGTTGCCAATCTCATCAAGGATCAAATTGCTGCTGGAAGCCAACCAAGAGCTGTCGTTTGTTCGGCCATGGGCAAGACTACCAATAATTTGTTGTCGGCAGGAGAATTTGCATTAGGTACGTCGTTGCTTTTTGTAACAAGAAAATTGTTTTTCCTATATATGCTGGTTTTGAATGAATGATTGTACCTAAGCATATTATACTTTTCCAACCATCATCACAATCATCATCACAATCATCATCATCATCATATTCATAGAGGGCAAAGTCAATGTCGAAGCGATTCGCACATTGCACAGCAATACCATGGACACATTTGGATATCCCAATTCTACCCGCGATGACGTCAATGCGTTGCTGAACGAATGCGAACAAATGTTGACGGGCGTCAAAATGATTCAAGAATTGTCCCCCAAATCCTTGGATCAATTGGTGAGTTATGGCGAACGATGTTCGGTCCGCATCATGGCGCAACGATTGAATCAACTCGGTGTTCCAGCCCAAGCCTTTGATGCTTGGGATGTCGGCATTTTTACGGATTCTCAATTTGGGGATGCCAAACTCAAACCGGATTACGAAGAGACCATTCGCAAGGCATTTTCGAGGATTGACAACAATGTGGTGGCCGTGGTGACTGGATTTATTGGACATGACGACTCTGGCAGGATTACTACCTTGGGACGCGGAGGATCGGACTTGACGGCGACGGCTTTGGGAGCTGCCTTGGGATTGGACGAAATTCAAGTATGGAAGGACGTCGATGGAATCTTGAGTACGGATCCCCGATTGGTTCCCCAGGCGATCCCCTTGGATCAAGTCAGTTTTGAAGAGGCGAGTGAATTGGCGTATTTTGGTGCCCAAGTGTTGCATCCCATTGCCATGCAACCGGCCATGAAGTGCGACGTCCCAGTCCGTGTCAAGAACTCGTACAATCCTTCGGCCGTGGGAACCATTATCAAGCAAGAAAAGTCAAGCGCTAGTCGATTGGTCACGGCCATTACCTTTAAGCGTGGGATCACGGTTCTAGATATCTGTTCCACTCAAATGTTGGGTGCCTATGGTTTTTTGGCTCGCGTCTTTGCCGAATTCGAAAAGCACAAGTTGTCGGTCGATGTCTTGGCCAGTTCCGAAGTTTCTGTCTCGTTGACGTTGGATAAGAAGCAAGATACGTCGGAGATTAATCAATTGATTTCGGACCTGGCAGATTGTTCGGAAATTTCTCGCAAGGACGACATGAGTATTTTGACATTGATTACCGATATAAACAAGTCATCGGAAGTCTTGGCCACGGCCTTTCGAGTATTCGCCGAACAGGGTATCATGGTGGAGATGATGTCCCAGGGAGCATCCAAGGTGAATATTTCCTTTATCATCAAGTCATCCAAGCTGGAAGATGCGGTCAAGCATCTGCATGCATGCTTTTTTGAAGAAAACTGTATTGCCGCATAGATCTTGTTGTTGGTGTGTTTGGGTGTTGGCTGGGAAGCAGCAGTACGATACTGCTGGTGAATATCCAATGTGTGTATGTGTGTGTGTTTTTTTGCTCGGATGTAAATAAAATGAAGCTGGGACTTCCTATGTACGGGAAACAATAGATTTAGAAGCTTCTTTTTTCACGCTATTGTCGTGGTTACAGTATAGTACAGTATTGAAATGTCATTTCAATCAATCACTCTTTGTTCCAGCAATACGCAAGATGCAACCATGCATTCGATTGTCAACGAATGGTGTTGGTAGCAACAGTCTCGTCTATACTAAACCGAGTCTCTTTGCTCGGCCAGTCATGTTTCCCCACATCATCTGCCAAGCCAATGCTACCTCGATTTCCAAAACTTCGTTCTTAGTTCTTAATGAATTGTTTTTGTCGTGCAAAGCCTTGTTCTCGGCCTTGAGCCTATTGTTTTCAGTCAAAATGGATCCCTGTAAATCAATCACAAAGCCAATCAAAAGAACAGCAACAATGAATTTCATGGCCACGGATTTGAATGCAATGCGATGATGTTTCGTGTCGTTCTTGGTGTTCTCCTTGTCCTCATTCTTCGTAGTACTATGATCATTGCTGGCGGAGGAATCAATAATGTTCATGCTGGAAACGTGATGTGACATATTATTCAATGACAATGGAGGCAAGATACAAAGAAGGCTCTTTATCAAACAGCAAGCGACGGAAGATTAGCAACACAAGTACTCAATCATTCGACCAACGGGTTCCCTTTCAAAT